CTCCGCCACCTGAGTCTATTTGGGGCACTGCGGCAGGCAGCGGAAGTACCCGGCTCACACGGCCGCTCAATATGGGGACGGCTGGGCGGCAGACCGGTCTGGAGCCCGACTTACCGGCCGGGCAGTGCAGGGCGCCGGTGGACACACTCAGCAGACAGTGATGAGCCGAGTCCTGCGGTCTGTCTGCCAGGCTAACATTTGTCTGCCAGGCAGTGAAGCATGGGAGATTATGACTACATCATGACCGAAGGCTGAAGGCAAATGATGCTCATTAAAAGTAAAACATTAAACTAACCTAAGTAAGATCCTAGCACTGAGGTTTAGTAAAACAAAACCTCGCATCAACAGAAAAAAAAAATGAGAAAAAAAAATAATTTCGCAGTTCGTTATCCTGTTCTTTTGTCGCAGGGGGGTCGATGGTTGATAATTCGGTCAATACCACCGCAGCCATCAACAATACCAAAGCCATGCAACCGGAACATGACAGTTTGAGGACCGTTCTCGCCTCAGCGGAAGTTGTGAGGAAGTGTTATGTGCTGTCGATTTGGTGTGAGGTGATAAGCGATCCACTCCTGTGTGAGGTATCCCTCTCCGGTGTAAGAAGGTGTGACAGGGTGTACCAGGGCCTATTTTAACATGTTAACTGGGGTGGCAAAACCCACCCCAGTGGTGCGGTTTTCCACCCCAGTCGTCTTACTTTGCCACCCCAGTGAAAAACAGCCCAAAAGTCCGCCCACATATATTGGCTGCCGACAATCACGGATGCGACACATTCTTGGGGCGCAACTCAGCTTGACAGGGGGAAAAGGGCTCACTGAGGCGCCACCACCACCAATGGGGGTGCCCTCTCACTACTGGGGGACGGGGGTGCCCTGCCGCAAGTGCAACTGTGGCGCCCTACTTCGATTGGGACACACTACCGGCAATGGGGCGCCCTACCAGCACTTGGGCGCCTACCACGACTGAAGTGTCCTATCAACATTGGGGCGCCCAGACACGATTGGGGCGCCAACCACCTTTGGGCGCCCTATCAGAAATGGGACGCCGTACCACTACTGCGGCGTCGTAACACTACTGTGACGTTCCGCTGGTGCTGGGGCGCCCTAAGTTTCTGGTGCACCCTACCGCCACGAGGCGCCCTACCACCACTGGGGCGCCCACCACTACTTGGGCGCCCTACCACTACTCCGGCGCCCTGCTACAACTGGGGCGCCCTACCATCACTGGGCGCCCTGACACAGCTGGGGCGCCCTATCACAACGGGTGCACCTTACCACAACTGAGGTGCCGTACCACTACTGGGGCGCATTTACTCTAGCAGTAAGTCAAGTAACTAACTCGCCCTTACTGCCACTACTGGGGCGCTATGCCACAACTGAGACGCCTTACAACCAGTGGATCGCCCACCGCTGTTTGGGCTCAATGCCGCTACTGGGGCTTCATTACACTACTGAGGGGTGCCCCGTCACGCCTGGGGCGCCCTACCGAGACTGGAGCGCCCTGTCACTACTGGGGCGCCCCTCAGGGACGCCATACCGCTACTGGATTGTCCTACTATTCAGGCGCCTTACCACAACTGAGAAGATATCTCGGTTGAGGTATCAATGGCGCATCGATGACAAATAGCAATATACAAATTACAACACTGGTCAGTGGTCACCAATGCATCTTTCTTGGCATTACAGAGCCATAAGCTCTTCAAAATCTGGAGAGCGTCTCGAAGCAGTGGCGTGGCGAGATATTGGCCGCAAAATTGAATTGTGATGTGGCTTTGAGACTGGCCGCGTGATCAACAGCGGATTTTCAAACGCACGTGCACGCATTGCTTCTGACGAGGGTATTTCCAAGAGAAAAATCTGGCGGGCGGCGGTTTAATCCTCGCCCGTATTGGTGTTTTTCCAGCCGCGGACGTATAGGGGAAGGGGGGGGGGGGGTCCGTTAGACCCCCCACCTTGCCGTTTTGCCCCTGATTGAGCTAGAGCTTCGCGGAAAAAACGAGCGTGTTGCCCGTGACGAGAGAAAGCCGATGATATCCAATTTTAAGGTCCTAGGTCATCGGTTGACCTTCCAGGTCAGATCAATGACCCAAAAGTCGAGAAAATCGGGACCTGTTAGAACGTCGTAAAGGGTGGCTCCTATGGGGTTTTTCGGGGTGCTGATGACGAATATCATGTTAGTTATGATCATAGATGATTCTTCATGCATTTAGGCCAGGTCGGGTCAGGTCAGGTCAGGTCAACCGGTAAGGGTTTTGCCGGGTATTCGTAGTAAGTGGCAACCGCCTCTGACAGCTTCGTAACATGTAGTGAAGGCACCAAAACTACATCGTTAATGTTCAAATGATTGCTAAATTCGAATTCAGCTCCAAAAACTAGCCTAGAAACAAGTAAAACTCCAAAAAGTGAACTGAGGACATCAAAGATCAATGACCTGACCTGACCTTCCAGTGACCTTGACACCCACCCTAATGCTGGCATGGGAGCAACATCATATCACATGCTTGAACGCTTGAAACCACGAAAAGACTGCAAACGCGCGCCTAATGCGAGCCGACACGCCGAATCGCGATTCCGACCAAACATGGTCTTGAAAAGTAGGTCACTGGTCAAAGGTCATTAGGGTCAGGGTCATAAAATTTTCAGGGTAGGTGTAAAATTGATTATCGTGAGGGTACCAAAAGTTTCGTCGCGATCGGTCGCTTTTTACGCGAGTTATTCGCGAAAAACCGAGAGGGGTCCGTTTGACCCCCCTCCCCTATCCTGGCGACCGGTTAAGTGACCTCGAGTGACGCCGCTGCCTTGGGATGGGAAGGTGTTTTGTTTATCATGGACGGATCGGGGGGGGGGGATTTTAGGGCCATCGGCATAAGCAGTAAAAGTTCTCTGACGAAAGGGGGTTGCACCATGCACAGCCGACTTTTGGCTGAATTCTTTCCATGCAGCGCCCGAAAGGGCTATGTTAGAAAAAAAAAACTATGCCAATAAACGCCTCCAGACACTTTCCCGAAACATTAGCCCTTACGTACTACCGTCACAAATAAAACATTCTGAGACTCGATTGTGTCGCCCCCCCATCGAAATGCTGCGCACATCAGCATTTCGGTGGGGGGGGGGCCACACAAGAGACAGGGGCGCCACCACTGCCTGGCCACCCCAGTCAAATTGTCTTAAAATAGGCCCTGGGGTGTACGGCGTGAAAAGCCGCCTTGCTGCGGCTGTCGGAGGGAGGCGGTGCTCCTGTATCGATTGGTCCCGGCCGGCCGGTGTCGGAAGCGGCGCACCTGACCCCGGTACACCGCGGCGGGTCACCGGGTCACGGTCGGCACTGGTCACTGTCCAGTGGTCACTGCTCGTCTGCATAGCTGTGAAACCGTCAGAGATGAAGCGTGAACGCTGAAATGATGCATGCCAGCAGGCTTGATAAGAAAGTTGTGTATTGTTTTAGGTATTTTATGTTGGAATAGATTGTTTGATTGATTGATTGGTTGAACTGATTGTTTGACCTTGTTAACCATGCTTAACCCGCGCGGGGCTGGGGGGGGGGTAAATTTTACCCCCCCCCCTCGCGAATTTTTGCGATATCTCAAAAACGGCGGCGCGCAGCGCCGCCAAACTTTCAGTACCTTTTTTTACATCAATTTGACACGTTCTCTGAAAATGTGAGCGAAATCCGTCGGAATTTTTTGAGAAATTGACGTTTTAGTGACGTCATGTTCGCCATTTTCGCCTCAAAAACGGCAAAATTTCAAACGCCGCTAACATCTTCATTTTTAAGGGAATCAAGACGTAACAAAAAAGTTTATACGTAATTTTACTTTGTCTATCAAATGGCTATCTCGGTTTTTTGAAAATTTTGGATTTTGGCCTAAATGTTTTCAAAAAACTGACTTTTTTGGGAAAATCATTATAAAATCCAAAATTTTGAGTCTATCAAAAAAACCGGAATATATGTCAGAGAAGTGGTCTATATGCACCTACATACCAAATTTTAGAAGAATCGGTTCAAAAATGTGGGAGTTATTCAAAATTTTATGACGTCACGACACACAATTTTTTTGAAAAATGACTTTTATGGAAGTTCTAGACCTCGTACGGAAACAAAAATAGCACCATTCGATTCGCCGTGAAAAACTGCATCAGATAGACACCTTTTTAGGCCTTAACAACCAACTTCAAAATTTGACCTCACTTGACCTGACCTTGACCTGACCTCGACCTGAAATTCATCCAGAGGTGGTCCATATCACTTATTGAGTATGCCTATTGAATTCTATGAGTAAAATGACCCATAAAACATGTGTCGCACATGCCCTTTTCTATATTTTGTTTTTGGTGACCTGACCTGACCTGACCTGACCTTGACCTTGACCTCTGAATGATATTGTATGCAACGAATATTGTCTTGGTAGCCTAAGAACACGTTTTGGGCGATCAGTCTCAGTCCATGACTCCATTCTTCGGCAACTACGGTGCAAGGCCGATACTGTAGAAACTTGCAATTTGTACCCTTGACCTGACCTTGACCTTGACCTCAAACTTTAAATTAAGTACATGTTTTTAGTAGTTCGTGATGAGAGCTTTCGATTGGCGTTTGAATTTTCCAAATCGGACCATTAGTTCGGGAGATAACAGGGGGGGTAAAATTTACCCCCCCCCCCCAGCCCCGCGCGTTCGGCTGGAGACCCCAGCCCCGCGCGGGTTAACCCACTGATGAGTGATGACACATTGAATACAGTCAGTGAAATGTGAAATAAGCAAAGATGTCTTGTCGTTTTACTTTGATCATATAAATTTTTGTTTTTCATCGGGAGCCTACTGCATCGAGTGACTTGAATTATAAGTCACTGCTGCTATGTCAAGATAAAAAAACGCGTATCTGAGTTTGTTCCGGTAAGGACCTTGTGAATTACGATACCGTTCGATCTCCGGCTTCTTATCGTCTCGAACTGTTCGGAGACGTAATCAGCCGCCGATCGACGTCCTATAAATCGGTCTGAGAGGCCGCCGGCCACAGTCTGTGGACTGGAGGTCCTCGACATGTGGACCCGACTCGTCACGCTCGCCTGCCTGGCTGCAGGTAAGGCCGTAACAACTTATAGCTCAATCGTGCAATAGGTATATCTGATTGTATAAACAGCATGCTATTCTAAATTTATACAACAGAGCGATAAGTGTGAAGCATCATAACGCTGAGCCGCTCGGAATTAAATGAAAAGTTGTTATTCAAATATATCGGCCAATTTATAAAAGTTTAAAGTCAGTTAAACACATTTCCTCAATGTTCAGCTTGCCCTGAACCCGCGCCCTAGTGGGGTCTGATTATAACGCGACCTTGTGGGGGGTCTATTTTTGCTCCCCCTCGTATCTCCGAAACTACAGGACGAATTCACAAAACTCGAACAGCGTTTGATAGCCCTGTAAAAACAAGTCGAGGGATTATTAGTTTCATTGACGTTGGGGTCACCGATGACGTCATAGGTCAGGTCAAACCTAAAATGTTTTACTGTTCACGGGCCTTCTAGGAAATGCGTTATAACATCGAGTAAAACGTATTTTATCGAAAATCATCGATAGAGAGTCGGTTGCCTAGTACATATGCTGCTAAAAGAGGTCCTGATACCAGGTCAGGTCACAGAAGTCAGGTCGCCGAAGGTCAACACACGAACCCTACTTTATTAGGGCCGTGTGATGCATGTTTTATGGCAAATTTTTCATTTCCAACTCAATGATGTTGGTTAGACGACCATCAGGGATTGTTTAGGTTACGTTTTGGTGGAGGTCAGGTCAAGGTCAGGTAAAAAGACCAAATTTGAATGGTGATATTATATTTCGTTTTTTTTTTTAATTTTTTGTATGTTTAGGGTATTATTTCAAAGAATCACTTTTTCAGTCTGGGGGTGAAAATCAAAAAGTTCAAAAATCTAAGATAGCAGTTTTGTAGCCCTACTCGTTTTATATCTTTTTAACTTGACCATTTTTCTCGATTTCCAAAACTGTAGGCAGGATAGCTCTTCACGCAAACCTTTTTTGGTCGAAAATGACTAAATATGACGTCACTCTGACGTCATTTGTGACCAACCTGTCATAGGCTCTGGAAATTTGTTTGGACACGATATGTTAAAGTGGTGAGGCTAAAGAGGGTACCGAAAGTTTCGCGAGATCGGCGCCGTTGTTTTTGAGATCATGCGAAAAGACTGGAGGGAGAGGTACAAGAAATAGCCCCCATCGGGGCTCCGGTTAATTTGATATTTTTTTTAATAAAATTGTTAGAAAAGTCGTGAGCTTATGAAGCCAGGTACAGCATAGCACAATAAAAGATAAGGCTTATTGATGCTCCTTCCTTTCCATATAACGTTTCCAAATTAGAGCGTTTTTTATTTTAATATCACGGCTCACCGTAGGGTGGGCTAGGGTCAGACACCATAAAGCAAGTTAGAACCATATTTAGTCAGGCACTAGTCAGAGGTCATGGTAGGGTCACATGAGGTCGAAGTTCTAGACTGTTATTTAGTAAAAAAAAAAAAACGGTATCTATTCGATACTCTCTGTCACGGGGAATATGATAGCCTTGCTTTCATGCTACTTTGTCGAAAATATCGGCTTCAATTATACTTTAGTATCAGCAATTTTCAAGCTTAGGTAATTATCATCATAAGAACAACGAAGCTTGAGTGTGCCAAGTAAAACTAGTACCTATGCTAGTCAATGGATTGTAGTTTTGAGGTCTTTATCACATTCTTTTTACTGGGGGCCCCCCCCACTGGGGGGGGGGCTATTCATAGCCCCCCTCCCGTTTTTCTGCAATAACTTCTAAACCGCTTGACGTATCGCCGCCAAACTTTCAGTACCTTCGGTTGTATCAATTTGACACCTTGTGTCAAAATTTGAATTTCGTATCTATCATAGGTCGGCCGGAAATGACGTCAGAGTGACGTCATGTTCGGCCGATTTCGGCGTAAAACATTGAACCACGGCAATCACTCCCAAGAGCTCAGTTTTTGAGCTAGATCCAATTTCTTTGCATGAGAGGACTCAGAATGAACTGCGCTATCAAACTTCTATCTCGAATGTTCAAAATTTTGAAAATTTTGAAAAATAGTTATATCAAAATTCAAAATTTGTATTTTTATATTTGTTCAAAAACTTTTTGACTTTTCTAAAAAAAAAAAACGGAATATATATGATAGGACGCATGCTTATCCCGCGACCTGGTGGGGGGGGGGCTATTTTTGCCCCCCCCCCTCCAGACTTTTCGATATATACCCAGAACCACTGCGCCGATCGTCACCAAACTTTCAGTACCCTCCCGGACATCAATTTTACACATTGTGACCAAAAATTTTTCCAAAGGCTATGATAGGTTGGCCGGAAATGACGTCAGAGTGACGTCATGTTCTGCCGTTTTCGACCCAAAAAAGGGTTTCGCGGGAAGAGCTGTCAGGCCTATAGCTTTGCAAATACAGAAAAATGATGAAGACATAAAAGCTGTAGATTGGACAGGGCTACAAAACTGCTATCTCGGATTTTTGAAATTTTTGGATTTTGACCCCCAAAAATCAAAAAATAGATTTTTTGGATATAATAATGGAAAAATCCAAAAAGTTTTTTGAATTTCGCAAAAACCGGAATATATGTGATAGTCCTTACCGCCTTCCATCCACATACCAAATTTTAAATTGATACCTCTTTTTTTGGCGAAGTTATAGCGAAAAAACTGTTCAAAATTGATGACGTCAAATTTTCAAACTCAATTTGTAGCAATTCTAGACCCCCTAGCGCAAAACAAAGACCACCATTAGACTCCCCGTGACGAGCTGCATCGAATCAATACCCATTTTATGCAAAACTATCAACTTTAAAATTTGACCTTTTTTGGCCTGACCTTGACCTGACCTTGACCTGAACTTCACCAGAAAGTGACCTAAGCCGTACCTGATAGTCTTATAACCAACACCATTGAGTTGGAAATGAAAAATTGGCCATAAAACATGTATCACACAACCTTAGTAAAGTTGGGCTCATGTGACCTGACCTGTGACCCTTGGTGACCTGACCTGTGACCTGACCTGGTATTGCCAGTGACCTCTAATAGCAACATATCTACTAGGCAACTGACGCCCTACCGCTGATTCTTGACAAAATGCGTTTTCCTCGGTGTTATAGCGCATTCCCTAGAAGACCCGTGAACGGTGAAACCTTTCATCTTTGACCTGACCTGTGACGTCATCGGTGACCCCGAGGTCAATGAAATTTGGGTTCCTTCGACAAATTTGACAGGCCTTTCGAACGCCGTTTGAATTTTGTGGATCCGTCCAGTAGTTTCGGAGATACGAGGGGGGCAAAAAATAGCCCCCCCCCCCACCAGGTCGCGTTATAAACAGACCCCACCAGGGCGCGGGTTATGATTTACTCTAGCAAGTTTTAGCCAGATATCTTAAAAAATGGCCCCAAGTTATACGCATGATAAAAAAATTCACAATTTTAACCCTATTAGTGGCAGGCTCCTGGCTACCCCATATTAGTGGCAGGGGGGGGGGGGGCTGTTTACGACCCCCCCTTGATATCTCGAGATCTAACCGGCCGATTTTCAAAATTCAAACGGCATTCGATTTGGCTCAACGAGATCTACATTTCTAAAAAAAATAAAAGTAAAAAATGTCAATAGGGGGGTAGAGGGGGGTAAAAACGGGCAAATTGCAGATACATTTTAGACTGTTTATCACGGCCAGGTTTCTGAACCAATCTTAACGCAACTTTTGCCGATCGATAGAGAATGAACCAGGAATTCACATGGATCCTAAAAATATGCATTTTCAAAAATCATAGGCGGATACAGATCATTGAGATTGGGGGTACACAAAAAGTATAGTAAATAAGGTTTTTGTTGGTACTGTTTCTAAAAAGGGTGGCAATGGTCTTGTTATGTTACAATTTTCTTATGAGAGAACGACTAAAATTGTATTGGTCATGCATAGGCGGTGTCAGGGCACCTATGTTGGGAGGTAGAAAATAACCCCCCTTTTTGGACGCCTGGATCCGCCTATTATAGCAAAAACGTGTCAAAAGAGGATGCACAATAACTTTGTATATGTTATCACATGATACCTTTCATTCACTGTTCGTAAAACTGGTGCAGCATCGTGATCTTCGCCAAATGACTCGCTTCACGAATAGGACCCCCCAATTTCCAGTGCTCTGGAGCCGCCCCTGGTAAAGTTATGAACTTGAAATTTTCAGGGAATGTGCCCAATTTAGTTTTAGGAAAAGTCAGAAAATTTCAGCATCGTAGCTTCAGCGGTTTCGGAGATATTCCCGAAAAACCTGAGGGGTGGATAAAAACAACCCCCCCCCCCCCCTGCCACTAATAGGGTTAATTTTTCAAATCAATTTTCTGTACGAATTTGACATCGTACATCAATATAAATAGCACCATGGTGTTGCTGAGCTCAAACTGCATCCGATAGTTATGTTCTTTTTTACTCAAAAATTTCAACTTTAAAATTTGATCTTTTTTGACCTGAAAGTGACCTGACCTCAGCTATAATCAGATGAAAATGGCCTCAAATGACACAGGCGACACCGAATTCGAAATCTATGGCCTAAATGGACCATAAAACATGTGTCACGTGACCGACTTCTGACATAAGATTTCTGTGACCTATGATGACCTGACCCTGACCTGAAAAAAAAAAACAAAGTACAAGTTTGGTACCTCAGGGTATCTAAAGCACGAGTGCGTAAACCAAAACTCAGCCTGATCTGACTTGTAAGACGGCAGCCAGAGCCCAAAATGGGAACAATGTAAATATCGATAATTTTTACTTTGATCTGACCTGTGACGTCATCGGTGACCTCGAGGTCAATGAAATTAGGTTTTCCTCAACAGTTTTTCCGGGGCTATCAGATGTCGTTTGAATTTTGACGATCGGCCCAGTAGTTTCGGAGTTAGGAGGGGGGCTATGAATAGCCCCCCCCCCCCCCCAGTAGGGCGTGTTATACACAGACCCCAGTGGGGCGCGGGTTAAAAGCTCTTCGTTTAGAATTGGTAAATTAGTAGGTAGGTGTCTAAAAAAAACGCATGCGCTGATTTATTCTGATAGAGAGAGCGAAAAAGAAGAGAGGAAATGGGGAGGAAGAGATCAAGTGAGAGCGAGAGAGGGAGAAAGACAGAGAGAGAGAGAGAGAGAGAGAGAGAGAGAGAGAGAGAGAGAGAGAGAGAGAGAGAGAGAGAGAGAGAGAGGGAGAGAGAGAGGGAGAGAGAGAGAGAGAGAGAGAGAGAGAGAGAGAGAGAGAGAGAGAGAGAGAGAGAGAGAGAGAGAGAGAGAGAGAGAGAGAGAGAGAGAGATGCAAGTTTGATTCGGAATCGGCACACTTTATAGGATAATTATAGCAATGAGTGGAAGGAGACAATGTGCGACAAGGTTTTCGCCGTTTTAGTGTAACATTTTTAGTGTTGGATATCAGTCTCAACAGACGCCCACATTGGCCATGGCCACTATCGGCCACTTGAAGACACCGCTCCTGTCGCATGAACGCATATTTATCAGATATGCGTCCTGTCTGCGAGATATGGGTCGCCGGTGTGAGTGACAGGCTCTCCACAGCGGCGTTCGCTCCACAAATATCTGACCAGCTCGGAGAGGGGGAGAGGGGGGGGGGGTTCAAGTGCGTCCTGTGCTCTCAGAGTCCGGATTAGTGTATCGGGTCTAGGGCGCCTTGACCAGAGAGGGCACACGGAGTGATATCGATATCCGGTTTGCGTACAATTTGCCAGGGGATTAGATGCTGAGTGCGCTGAAGATGAGTGCCCGTAACACTCTGCAGTGTACACCAGTGCAGCATGTGATTTATTTATAATTTCAAATGCGCGAATTTTTACAGACTGAGGGAACTTTCTGGGCGATTAAATCTTGTTTTTAGTCGCTTCAAAAACTAAATTGAACATGTTTGTTTGCAGCAACCTTGTTTTACCTTGAATCCAGGACCCAGGTATGCAAATGATGTAAGTGCTATTCGTCGATGCATCTCCACTCTCTCACGATGGTGGAGTGCGTTATGCTTTTACTCTTAGCGCACGGAGGGCATCGAGCTGAACTGAACAGCAAAGGACTCCCGGTATACATGAGGACCCTCCTTCATATCATTCTCGAATGCATCTTATCGGCTGGCTAGAGAATGGTGAGAGGTTCAAACATGCTCAAGAAATCTTGGCGACAAATACCGATCGGTCGATCGATACATTTCGTATCTTATCAATCTACAAACATGCTTCCATGTCCGTAAAATTTGCAACGCTATCAGTGTCAAGATTAGGAAATGTCTTGAGAGGCAGATAAAGGCCTCAGAGATGCAAGGATGGCATGACCTCACGATTACGTCGGGAATAATCTTTTCTTATTTCAACCAATTATACTGATATATTCATACTCTTCTGGCAATGCCTGATGCCTAGGATTTGCATTTTGAACAACAGCATTTGCATTCAATACAATGCCACTATCGTTATTTGAGGTCATCAAAGCATTCCCTTGTACGTACTGTACTGACCAAATTGAGCTAGCAAACCGGGAAAACACCAGTTAACAATGGTGTATTGTTGCAGGCCTGCTGGCGGCGCCGGAGCGTCCGGAGGCCGGTCTCAGCTGCCCGCGGTCCCAGGGGCTGTTCTCACACCCCACCGACTGCCACCTGTTCCTGCACTGCGACCATGACCACCCCTACGTCAAAGAGTGCCCCGCCAACCTCCACTTCAACGCTAAGCTGATGGTGAGTCACTCATTTATTCGGCACAGATTCGGATTATGGTCTACCGAAAGACTGGCATCCGCCAAACTGTTTCGGATATTCGATTTATGCTTCGGTCAAGGAGTCTTTGATCCTCTGAAGGGACTAAGAGATTAATTACTCTTTCCAACGCACGGCATGGATTTTATAACATGTCACATCAAATAGCTCCATGTGGAACATCTCTCATGGTCAGTAGGAGTCAGTAAATCTTCCACACTGGTCATCAGTTCTGCAGCTGCCCAAGTCCCCGCTGACCCGCCCGGCCGTTTGGTGCGGCCCGCGTCTCCAGGTGTGCGACTGGCCCGAGAACGCCGGCTGCACGGGGGGCGCGCCCACCGAGCCGCCGCCGCCTGACACCGACCCCGAGCCGGGCATGGAGTGCGACTGCGAGTGCTGTCTGGAGCCAAACGCCGACGACTGCACCACCTACTACATCTGCAAGGTAAGTGCTGACCCGGTGGCTCGGCAGAACAAGGGCAGATGTGCATGAACAGTGATGACCATAAATCCGCGCCCTTAACGACTCAAATATGTAGTTATCTGCCCTTGTGGCTCCGCCTCGGAAACAATCGGCACGTCTCTCTTGAGTCCGTCAAGTCCTGTGTTCCGTCCATATAGGTATGTCCAACGCTGACATTTATTGGCAAGTTTGTTAGTAGTTAATTTCCGTAAGTGATGCCGCGATCATCTAGCAGCGCTGCAAAGATGAGGTGACTAATTCCGAATGCTGCACTTCACCTAGTGCCATAAACCTTCAAACTTTACACGCAAACGAACACAATTAGTTCGTGCTTTTAGAATCGCATTAGTGGAGTGTCAATTGCCAATACCATGGACCACTTTCAGGAAGGCAAGGCCTACAAGGCGACCTGCGCTCCTGGTCTGGTGTTCAACCCCGAGATCCAAAACTGCGACCTGGCCGGAAACTATAAATGTGGTAAGAAACGAGTTTACAGATATCGCAATGCTAAAGGCAGATACCAAACCATCTCAAATGATTTTCATCCTATTTTTCATGTTAGCTGGTGAAGAAAATACTTGCACTTCTTATGTTCTGCCCGCAAATTAACCCTAGAACGCCTAGGGGGGGGGGTTGTATCAACCCCCCCCCTGAGGTTTTTCGGAAATAGTGCAAAAACGGCGGCGCGCAGCGCCGCCAAATTTTGGGTACCTTATGGGGCAAACCTTGCGCATCTTTTGATAAAAAAATTTGACCGGGTCATGTCAGGTCACGGAGTTATGACGTCACAAAGGGAACAGCCTCCGGCCGGATTTTCACAAACTGAGTGCCAACGCCCGAGGTTTCCTGCCGGTGGTACGGACATCGGTTGATGGATCGTGATGAAACTTCCCATGCATGTTGGGGCAAGTATTGGCTATCATATGGTATAAGAAACTTGACCGGGTCAGGTCAGGTCACGGAGCTATGACGTCACAAGAGGAACAGCGTCCGGTACTATTTTTGAAAAGCGCCCGAACCACTATTTTGCTAATTCTTGTCACCTCAATGAGAATATGCAGCAATATTAGCTTCTATAGGGAGCAAATGGACATCCCAAATCCAAAAATACAATCAGATTTCAAAAATTTAAATTTTGATTTTTCGAATTTCTGCCGCCGACTGTGACCTTGCCGACTTCCGGCGCTCCCAACGCGCCATTTTTAGAGCTAGGGAAACGAAATACATACCAAACGATAGAGAATTGATCAAGGAACACGATAGTGAAGGTTTCAAGTCGATATCTCCCACCGTTTTGCCGCAATCGCCGCGAAAAATTTGGAAAAGTCTATTTTTCCGAAAAATTTGACCTTTGACCGGTCAAAAGTAGGTCAAATGTTGACCTAGGACCAAAAAATATACCACCAATCGCGAGATCTCGTTGAGAGCAATCCGTTGGTTTTTTCCGCTAAGCTCTACGACCTTCCGTTTCGAAACGCCAGGGGGGGGGGTCGTAACAACCCCCCCCCCCCTGGTCGTTCGTGTTATGAGAAATGGCCTGGTCGTGCGAGGGTTAAAATTGTTGGAGCTATGCTTATGATGGTTTGTAGGTCATAGGCTGTTATAGCGTGATGCGTTCAACTGACTCACAAACAATCTGGGTATTTTATCGCTCAAGTAACCTTGTCTACTTATCCAAAACATTATCAATATCGCATCTTCGTATGGGAATTAGGGGAAGTTGAAGAACAGCTATATATGTACCTACTCAAACATCTCCCATCGCAGCTTCATAGATGGATGCCCATAGCCAGTATCGGACACATATCTCCGACCAAGCTTGATGCGCATCACATATTCATACCCCTTGGAAATTAGCTGACCACGCCGATCTTCGTTTCAGAGGAGCCCACTACCACCACGCGCAAGCCGGCCACCACAACGACAACCACGCAGGCACCGAATCCAGCCTTCCAGTGTCCGACCGGGGATGGCCTCTTCCCCAACCCAGCAGACTGCCACACCTTCTACCACTGCTCCAACGGACATGCCTACCTGAAGGATTGTCCGTCTGACCTCGAGTTCAACCCTGTCCTTCTAGTCTGCGACTGGCCCCAGAGCGCTGGATGCTCCGTCAAGCCCACTCCTGCGCCCCAGCCTAAACCTACCTCTCCCGCGGGTTTCGACTGTCCGACCAGTAATGGCCTCTTCCCCAACCCAGCAGACTGCCACTCCTTCTACCACTGCTCCAACGGACACGCCTATCTGAAGGATTGTCCGTCTGACCTCGAGTTCAACCCTGTCCTTCTAGTCTGCGACTGGCCCCAGAGCGCTGGATGCTCCGTCAAGCCCACTCCTGCGCCCAAGCCTAAACCTACCTCTCCCGCGGGTTTCGACTGTCCGACCAGTAATGGCCTCTTCCCCAACCCAGCAGACTGCCACTCCTTCTACCACTGCTCCAACGGGCACGCCTACCTGAAGGATTGTCCGTCTGACCTCGAGTTCAACCCGGTCCTTCTAGTCTGCGACTGGCCCCAGAGCGCTGGATGCTCCGTCAAGCCCACTCCTGCGCCCAAACCTAAACCGACCTCTCCCTCGGGTTTTGATTGCCCGACCAGTAATGGTCTTTTTCCTAACCCTACTGACTGCCACAGTTTTTACCAGTGCTCCAATGGAGATGAGTATTTGATGGATTGTCCCGCCAACCTCGAGTTCAATCCGGTCCTTCTGGTCTGTGACTGGCCCGAGAATGCCGGCTGTTCCATCAAGCCCACTCCTGCGCCCAAACCTAAGCCTACCTCACCCTCAGGTTTCGATTGTCCATCTGACAACGGCCTATTCCCCAACCCTGCCGATTGCCATTCCTTCTACCAGTGCTCCAACGGACATGAGTATCTGATGGATTGTCCCGCCAACCTGGAGTTCAATCCTGTCCTGCTGGTCTGCGACTGGCCTGAGAATGCCGGCTGCGGTAAAAAGCCAGCGCCCTCGCCTGTGCCGACGACTCCGAAGCCCAATCCGAAGCCTGATGGCATCTGCCCGAATGAGACGTGCGCCTGCAGGTTCGTATAGCTTGTGGACATATAAAAATTAAAGGCTTCCTCTGCGGTGTGTAATCAAAGTCGATATTACTAGCAATTAGCAAATAACTATGGAACAGAAGCATCGCAGTAGCAAATCTATTTTAACACCGATAGACAGTAGCAATAATGTCTGATGATTGTATGCATTGTTGCAGGGTTCCGGACCCCAAAGACTGCAACAAGTACTACCAGTGCAAGGACGGCAAGGCCTACCCCGAGTCCTGCCCTGCCGGCCTGGTCTTCAACCCCGAGACGGAGATGTGCGACTATCCTGAGGATGTTCCCGGCTGCCAGAACCCGACAACGCTGAAACCCACCACCAAACCGACCACGAGGCCGACGCCGAAACCCACCACCAGGCCCACGACGCCTAAACCCACCACCAAGCCGACGACTAAACCAACAACTAGGCCCACGACCAAGCCCACAACGAAACCTACCCCGAAGCCAACAACCAGGCCCACACCCAAACCCACAACAAAGCCCACCCCAAAGCCAACCACGAAACCGACGCCCAAGCCGACACCCAAGCCCAAGCCTCCCAAGCCGGACTCATCGAGCAGTGAAGAGTCGGATAGCAGCGAGAGTGGATCCAAATCCAAGCACAGCGGATCCAAATCTAAGCACAGCGGATCCAAGTCTAAACACAGCGGTTCGAAGTCCAAGCACAGCGGTTCGAAGTCCAAGCACAGCGGCTCGAAATCGAAGCACCACGACTCGAAGTCAAAACACAGTGGTTCCAAGTCAAAGCACCACAAGCACTCGTCCGAGCTGATGCAGTCTTCGGCACCGGCGAACTCTCGCCTGTACCGCAACCCGGACCAGGGCCGGATCGAGGACGACGACGGATTCCTGGGTGAGTGAAACATGCTTGATATTTGTGAAACAGTCAGTAGATGCGAGCCGAGCAGGCTGCTGAGCTGTTTTGATAGCTGTTGTTTCACAATTGTGTGCACGTTGAATGATACATAATACGTATAAAATAATTTTCACAAGTTGTGTCCTACTTTGAGCGTTTATCCATTTTCTTTTAAGCTCCTTAATCGACGCAATGCCTCACTTACTAATTACCTACATGAAACGTTCATTATCAATCGCTGCCCTTGACCGTGCCTCTGACCTCCAACAGAGGCGCAGTTCTGCCCGCGACCGACGGGCAAGTTCCCGTCCAGCCGGTGCCACTACTACTACCACTGCGTCGACGGCGTGCCCACGCTGAAGCGCTGTCTCCACGGCACGCGCTTCTACGCGCCCGATCAGCGCTGCATCCTGGGATCCTGCTGAGAGGCGCCACCGGCCGGCTCCAACGCCATCAGGACGAGCGTGTTTGTTGGGGTGTTGAATGGGGACATCCCATAGCAGAAACGATGTGGACTTCTCATTGTTAGCGTGTCTACCTTCCTGTGACTTCTGTATGACCTGAATACAAATGTTGTGCATGAATAAAGTATCTTACTCATACTTTCTGCACATGTTTTTCAAAGCACGGGGAGCCAGAGGCAACTCAGGAGGTTTCCAGGATACGATCAGACGACTATACTCGTTGGCAATGATTCGGCCCACATTGGCAGCCAATGAAGGACAGCTGCAGCAAAATATAAAACTGCTGACGGTTAACTATTTCCTCCATTTGAAACGTGTAGGCAATCGATGGACATGGGTCACGCTTTTTATAGATTCCGTGCTAGATAATATTTTAGTACGAGTCAACACATTTTTTTTTCTTTTCCGCTCACTTTTCAGATCTTTTTTATCATTAAATTTATAGGAAAAAGAAATAACTCGTACACATTGCCAGCGAAGCGCGCCACACTCAGCATTATAATGGCATGAGAATATTGAATCCATTACTTTCACCAAGTAAACGGACATTGACCTACAGCCATGCATTTTCGGTATTTGGTATAGCATAGACTTACCATTGACTTACTGGGACCACTTTCACTCTTGTTCTTGTGCATATATTATGCTTACCTACTTTGCAGAAATTTTGCTAATCAGGCAACCTTTTTAATGAATTTTAAAGATTGACAAAGACAAGTGGCCTATACCATGGTGTACCGAGCAGCAGAGGCAAAAACCATTCAAGTCCGAACTAAAATGACGTAAACTTACCTGATAATATTTTTCTTCAAACGCTACATAGACGACACAAATAAATTCATGATATACCTACCAACAATTATTTGATGTAAAAGAGATTTGGTTACATTTGTAAAGTGACATGAATTCGCCTGATAACTCGTCATAAAACGGCTAATAATTCCTATTGACTTCTCAAACACGCTCAGTGGAGGGATTCCGAGAACTGAGCGTGTGAGAACGCCAAGTGGAAGGGAGGGGGGACGAATGTCGCTCCCCCCTCTAAGATATCAGCTCCTATACGGAAGCTCAAAAGACGAAAATTGGAGGGTTGGTGCCGGGGCGGTGGGGAACACTTACTAACTAATGTGTGTTCATTTCATGATACTAGGTCAACATCTTCAAAGTCAAATGAGGTCAAATAGCGTCAACTTTGTCAAATGAGGATCTATTTTTAGTTCACACATCCTTACCTCAAAAAGTTACCCGCCAATTTTCGTATTTCTTTTATTATGCGGCGGCACATACACTTCTGAGATACCTATATTGAGAATCTCTAGTTAATCCAGCCATAAAATGCCAATAATAACGAGGCGGGCAACAGCTGACGCGGAAAGCGTGCTATTCCACACTCGTAGCTCAAAATGTTACCGGCTGATTTTCGTATTTATTTCACCGTAAGGCTACCACTGCATTGTTAACTCTTCACAGAGATTTTGACGCGAATCGATCATTAGCAGCGGTAAGCATCGCAATGCAAAGACGGAGCCATCCGGCGCTGGCCGCCGCGCAAAGAAGAGCTATTAATATTCTCCTTTTCAGGCTCCGGCAGTGGCGAGAGCCCGCCTTGCTCTTGGAGGCGCAGCTGGTGACGACGGTCCGAGGAACGGGCGGCACCGGAACTCGAATCCGGGTCCTCCCGAATTCCGAGACCACTTCGTATCAACTGCGTTACGAAAGCCGTTACGTTACGGCTTGCGTTACGGCTGGTGATTGGGTAAAGTTCAATACGAATTGCGCAATCAATTTGCATTGTGCAAGCTTTGCACATGAGAGTGGCACAATGGTTTCTGTAATATGGGCTCGAGTTGGAACGGGGAACAGGGAACCCTCCATTGAATAATGTTGAAGGAAGCTGCGCTGTCCATCTTGTCATTTTTTCGTTGCTTCGTCATAAATAGCCTTCTGCAACACAAAATTGTGCGACTAATGGGTACATTTTTGTGTTGAGCTGTTAGTGCGCTGTCATTTCCTCTGTTCCGCTCTCATCTTTTGCAGAGTCTCAGTAATTTGCATTACTCCGCGCCGTGCTGGTGGCCTGAGTTTTCGGTGACGTGCTGGGGGGAGCGTTTGCATGCCCCCCCCCCCACATCTAACTCGGCTCCTGGCCCACGTAGCGACACGCGGTAAGCGGCAATCGAAAGAGCGTCAAAAAGTAATGACAGGAACACAGAGGTCATCAAAGGTCGAATTAAGTCCATTTCAACAGTTTTTGGAAACTGCCAACGGCTAACTTGGGAACCAATAGAGCTACAGAGCCGCAAAAAGGGCATTCAATAGCCCTTTTACGGAGCTTTTTAAATATTGTTCTCCGATTTGACCTGAGGTCAACGGTTAAGCCTGCAGAGGGCAAAACTCTATACAAAATGGCCGTTTTCACGAAATATGTTTTTCAGTAAAAACTTTTGACTCAAGAAAGCCACTATATTAGGATCGTATTCCTCTCGCCGAGACGCGTCGAATAAACTATGCGTTGACCTTGAAGGACATTTGGAAAACTTGACCTCAGGTCAAGATCATGACCTGACCGGAAAGGGTCATATTGCATCAGTCGATCCGTATCGTCGACCTGAACACATCTGACGTGTTTTCACCGCTCTAGCACGTCTCTATCAAACGTTATGGAAAAAACTGCTGGTGATCTTTCATGAACTGAGGTGACCTCAGCAGCACACAGAGGGGTCACAGGTGCATTTTCCGATTCAGTGTGTCATGTTTATCTGCGAACCGATGTTTGAGAGGGTTTAAAACGGCATTCGTCTAAAAGAGGCGCATTTTAATCTCTCCCATTGACATGATGAAGAGGTCGCAAAATTGACCTGACCTTAGGTATTATAACAGATAATAAAATCCGAGATATACATTTTATGCATACTAGCCGTTTTCACGACGGGCTATCCGGCGAATGCACCTGACTTGACCAAATCTGCACCTAATTTCTTTTACAGCAAATATCTTCATTTTATGAAATTATTTCAGTGTTTTAATCGATGATGCTCTCTGATAATACGACAAAGCAAGCATATAAGCAATTAGTGCAACCCTAGCTGATAGCTGGGGCATTCCACGTCAAATCAAACACCGAAATCCGTCATCCCCTTCGATTTTTCTGAAAATTTGTAGGCAGACTGGGCATGGTTCAAAACTGAGTTACGTATAATATTTTCGAAATTTGATAACGTATCGCTGAGATATAGGTCATCGAATATAGCGAAAAATGCCACACATCAATTTTTTAAATGGCTATAACTCTGGTTCCTTTTCTGGTATCAAAATGATATTAACAGGGTCTTATAGGCAATTAATAAGACTTTGATTTTTAATTATAAAATTAAATTGAACTGACCTTGAAATGCATTTGACCTTGAATTAAAACAGAAAAATTTAAATAGCAAAAAACACGTCACCTTCGATTTGGGTAATTTTTACATATTATGTCCGTCACAATGTTGTTAACCATCTGTGAAAAAATTGGAGTGGGCCATTCATAACTTTCGCGGCAAACGCCGTTTTCATGCATCAACATCACGCAACCGCGCGTGACCTTGAAAGACAGAGTCAAGACATGCTTGCTTGTGTACACTTTCTGAAATGAATGATTGCTGATTAGTGATATCCCAAACTCTGCGAGAATGGAAATGCATAGTCATCGTAGTCAAGCATTCACGTTCCATAGTAAAAGTGTCTCAGGCAAACGGTATTTTGCGGTGAATTTTGAGCCATGTGGAAATGCATCATGAAGTAAATTCAACGAAAACATTATCACCCATCGATATCTTCACGTCTTTTGATCTTCACTATACGAAAGAACATACATTTTTTAAAGTATGTATGGGGAATTTCTAGTTAATCCAATAATAAATATGGCAGTTAGAGGCCTGCTAAGAGTAACATGTCGCCGGCTGAGGCGGGCTCGGCCGATGCGGGAAACGCAGCAATCACAATTTTGTGTTTACACGTTCATATTTCAATTGTTTACCAACCGATTTTCAAAATTCTTTCACCATAAGATTGCCTGTACATTTCTTAGTCTTCTCACAAAGGTTGACGCGAATCGAACGTAATCAGCGGTAGGGAGCGCGATGTAAAGACGGAACCGTTCCGTTCCGTCCCGGCACAGTCTACAATTCAGGCGGCGCGTAGCGGTCGGCGCCGGCTGCCGAGTCGCCGCGTCGCTGCGGCGACAGGATGTTCACTTTACACCGCTATTACTAGAACAGTTGTGAACCGATTTTCTTATTGCTTGCACGATTAGATGTCCAATTCAATTCTTGACAGGTAGCCATAATTAATTTCGCATTAATCTTATGAGATATTGGCGAAAAACAGGAGGGGTGGGCGAAATTCGCTCTTCCCCCTCCACTGCGCGTGCTAACATACGTTTGCATATGTACAATTTTCTTCAAAACTTATGAATGGCCCACTCTAATTTTTTCACAGGTTGTTAAGAATATGGTAGGCAATAAAATATATGAAAATGAGCCAAATCGAAGGTGACGTGTTTTTTGCTATTTCAATATTTGTGCTTAAGAACAGAGTTAAGCAAATTTCAAGGTCATATATTTAAGTAGGTGCAATTCTAAACAAATGCTTAAGAAATTACCTAAACAGTAAGGTTTATTTCATTCAAATCAAACAAGTACAACCAAAGTTATGGTCGTTCAAAAATATAAAGATGCAACATTTTGTAAAAATTTGATGCCCTATATTTAGAAGACCTGTGGTCAGAATGTGCAAAAAACATCAATGTAATGTCCGGGGCCACACAGGAACTCGCTCACAAATTTATAATGAAATCGCTGATGGTAAGGTGCAAAACAGCCGATTTTTGTTCGATTTGACGTGGAATGCCCCAGCTGCTAAGAGACTCACTGAACCTAATTTGACCAAATGTGCACCTAATCTGTACAGATGTGCACCAAATGTGTACCAGATGGCCGTCGTGAAAACGGCTACTGTAACTCTTATCAATCGCTGAAAGTTTGAAAGTAATCCTCCAGTCGGTGTAGCTACAGCGAGCCTTTGAACTTTTCTGAGGTTAGGTCACTTGACGTGACCCGACTTTAAACGACCGGGGTCTAAATTTTCATCATGTGTGCAAAAATGTATAACAGGTCTACCAAAAATGGCGGCGCTGCACGCCGCCGTTTTGGAGATATTTATGAAAAACCTGAAAGAGGGCGTCTCTTCTCTCCCCCCCCCCCCCCCCCCAGCACGGTGCGGGTAAAACAAAAATGTGGGAAGATTATAGTTTGATTTTTTAGCCTGTCTTATCGTTTAAAGCGTTCTAATGAAAATCACTCGTGAAACCTCCATACCTTTAGCGCTATTTAGCTGAAAATGTCATCTTTTTTTTTCTCGACCCCCTACTCATGGTAACAGCTCAACTCGTGCCTCACTTGTTTGTGCACATAAAGCGATCAGACAGGCTTAAAATCGGACTATACCCTCCATCGTGCGAGAGAGGGCCATTCGAAACGTTCCCGTCAAATTAATCGTAACTGCCTATTGATAAACTATCCAACATGCGCATCGCTAATATATTCAACAACAAATGGATCAGCAAAGCAGTTCATCAACAAAGACACAACTTACACTGCAGAATGGTGACAGAAATGAAAGGCGAGGTGAGAGGCTGTAACATCCATCTCGAAAAATACATCGCAAAGTAGCGAGGATCAGTCTTAGAGGGGTCAAAACGGTAGTAAGTTTTATATTCTGGCATTTACACCGAACGGCAGGGCAGCGAGTCCGCTCGAGCTCAGCAGGATCCCAGGATGCAGCGCTGGTCGGGCGCGTAGAAGCGCGTGCCGTGGAGACAGCGCTTCAGCGTGGGCACGCCGTCGACGCAGTGGTAGTAGTAGTGGCACCGGCTGGACGGGAACTTGCCCGTCGGTCGCGGGCAGAACTGCGCCTCTGTTGGAGGTGGGAGACACGGTCATGTCAGAAGTGTGTTGACAAACAACGACACGGTTTGCGTTGAGTTTCGATGTAGAGTCTGAGAGGAGCAGCGGTGACGCATATACCAGTTCATCTAAAAAAAACATTTAATATCATTTTATACCCAAGGTTATCGAATATGCCAAATATCGGCAGCTTTTGTCCTGAAGATACAAAAAAAAAACTTGCGAGACTTGTCCTTCTAATCCTATTAGACCAAGTAGCGCCCACTCACCCAGGAATCCGTCGTCGTCCTCGATCCGGCCCTGGTCCGGGTTGCGGTACAGGCGAGAGTTCGCCGGCGCCGACGACTGCACCGGCTCGGCCGAGCGCTTGAGGTGCTGCGACTTGGAACCACTGTGCTTCGATTTGGAGTCGTGGTGCTTCGACTTGGAGTCGTGGTGCTTCGATTTCGAGCCACTGTGCTTGGACTTCGAGCCGCTGTGCTTCGACTTCGACCCACTATGCTTGGACTTGGACCCACTATGCTTGGACTTGGACCCGCTCTTCTTGGATTTGGATCCGCTGTGCTTTGATTTGGATCCACTGTGCTTTGACTTGGATCCACTGTGCTTCGACTTGGATCCGCTCTCGTCGCTGTCACTGTCGCTGCTGTCGGATCCACTGCCGGACTCTTCGCTGCTCTCTGAATCGGGCTTAGGGGGCTTGGTCGGCTTGGGGGTGGGTTTTGTGGTGGGCTTGGGGGTAGTGGGTTTCGGAGTGGTGGGTTTCGGAGTGGTGGGGCTTGGGGCGGTGGGTCTGCAAGCTGGCACGTTTTCAGCGAAGTCGCACACCTCGGTGGCGGGGTTGAAGACCAGGCCGCCAGGGCAGGAGTCGGGGAAGGCCTTGCCGTCCTTGCACTGATAGAACTTGTTACAGTCAGTTGAGTCCGGAACCCTGCAAGAAACAAAGATAATGTCTCAGCCCCTAGGCACAATTAAAACCGGTGACAATACTGTTTTATGATAAAGTGTTTCATGCAGGAAATATTGCAGACATACAATTACCTTGAACTATGTAGGTAAGATTTTCATGTTTCATTCTGTCACAACCTTCGTGAGGTGTTGTTTACGGAAAAAGGCCTCGAGAAATGTTGGCCAAATGCATACGGCCGCTACCCTTCCTTTGGTTCTCAACCAAGCAAATAAAAAATCCTTATATACTGTCTCGTCCTAATTGTAACTAATCAATTATCACTTATCATCACTCATCATCAATTATCTCACCTGCAGGCACACGTGTCGTTCGGACAGATGACATCCGGGTTGGGCGTGGGCTTCGGCGTGGGACTGGACGTCGGCTTCGGAGGAGGCGTGGGCTTTCCACCGCAGCCGGCATCCTCGGGCCAGTCGCAGACCAACAGTGTGGGATTGAACTCCAGGTTGGCGGGACAATCCTTCAGGTAGGCGTGTCCGTTGGAGCAGTGGTAGAAGGTGTGGCAGTCGGCGGGGTTGGGGAAGAGTCCGTTGTCGGTCGGACAGTCGAAGTCAGACGGAGCCGGCTGTGTCGGCGCGGGAGCCGGTGGCTTCGTGGTGGGCCTCTGAGTCGTCGGTCGCGGGGTGGTGGGCTTGCAGCCCGGCACGTTTTCAGCCAAGTCGCACACCTCGGTGGCGGGGTTGAAGACCAGGCCGGCAGGGCAGGAGTCGGGGTAGGCCTTGCCGTCCTTGCACTGGTAGTACTTGTTGCAGTCGGTGGAGTCCGGAACCCTGGGGGCAGACACCTTACACTGCTTTAAACTTGTAGCATTATGGAGCAGGATGATTGCGGTTCATGAAATTCAGATCTTACCTCATTCGCAAATTGTGCCTTGAGTAAGCGGACACGGGCTTTTTATCTCTTTTGTTTGCACATTTTGGGTATTCGGTGGGCAAGACTTGAGAAATGCTAATTCAATATGAACAATATATACCTAAACGCAACAAGTTTCCACTTCTTACCAGACTGGTGAGCAAGACCCAGCGACTTTCAGTCTCCATCCATGAGCCAGCCCCCCGGTGTTCTTGCTCATCTTTAACTTTAAGAGCTGCTCTTGGTCGGGGAATGCTGATGCGGGACCTGCACACCGCACAAGTGCTGACAATTGTCTTTCATGATATGAAATATGAAGTTCGCTTCTAAATTAACAGTAGGTATTTAGAAGGGTACCTTACCGGGCCAAAATGTCCCCCCCCATCAGGGCGCGGGTTAAGGGAATCCTTTCGATACTAATGATGGTAAAAAGCATTCATTATTCACGTATAAGTCTCCAAACAACTCTTCACAATGGCTATCTACATAGCGTCCACAATAGTCACCTTCCGACAGTGCTCCCGAAGTTTCCCAGGAAAAAAGTGATGAAAGAAAAGGGAAAATTGAAAAATTGTTTCTATATAGTTGCCAAAAGTTTGCCGAGAGGAAAGCAGGAAGTTGAAAAGAAATAAAGAGACCAAAGTGTGTCAGCCACATTTCACGAAACGACAGATGTAGATGGAGTAGATTCTGAAAAGAGTGTCCAGAAAGTTGAGTTCAAACTTCTGGAACCTCACGACAGAAGAGTGTCGCCAAAAGCAGTGACGATGATAAGCCTCCCAAGCGAATAAATACAGCTGCTGATGGTAGAAGGCACATTTCACTGACCTATCTGCCGCATCCGTGTATGTAAGTACGCAGCAAGTAGTCGGTGCAGTTTCGTTGTCAAAAGGCTAGGGGATGGATGTTGTAGGATTTGTGTCGGTGGATGTGGTTTACAGTATGTCAATGGGTGAGCTAAAAAAGCTAAACATAGCACATGGATCAGTATATGTTCCTGTGTAAATAATGTAAATTACTCATAAGACATCATGTAACAAGTGGCGATGAACTAACGTAGTGTTGGCGGTATCTGGTCAAGTTCGGCGGAAGGTCGTGAGGGAGGCCGTGAGGGAGGCTGGGGCTCAGTGAGTTAGAGCTCACAGCACCCGGCCGTCTCAGGCGCATCGCAGGAGTTGGTGCCCGTGTTGAAGTGTTTATCGGACGGGCAGTAGCGGATGGTGGCCTGGCCGCCGGTGCACTCGAAATAGGTGCCGCAGTTGAGTGGGTTCCCGTATTGGCCGTCACTCTTGGTGCAAGGGAACGTGCAGGTCGGAGCCTCAGTGGGTGTGGGCTTTTGCGTGGTGGTGACTGGTGCCGGGACGGTAGTGGTAGTGGAGGGAGGCGCCGGGGTGACTGGGTCGCAGTCCACATTCTCGGGAAGGTCGCAGACTTCGGTGTCTTTGTTAAAGTGCAGGCCCGGCGAGCAGCACTCTTTGTAGGCATCGCCCCTCTGGCATTGATAGAAGCAGGCGCAGTCCTTGGGATCCGGCACCCTACGCAAACACGGCTGGTAAGCGACCCTAGAACATGCTAACCCGATTCGTGCGGTAACAACAGTGTCTAACTTGCTTGCAGTTGATATAAACACTTTAAAATTTCCTCCCAGTGGATTGCATTAATAAACTTTTTCAGTATGGCGCGTATTTCTGCATCATCCTTAGCATTATAACATTACATAGTTAGAAGCGATATTCTGACATGGAATGCCTGTGCCGCACTTATTTGTAAATAATCACGGAAACATATTTGGCCAACAAGACTCCTAAATGCAGCTCTTTTCAATGATCTCTTGAACTCTCTGGAATGGCAAATGCACTTAACTGAGTTTGACCTTTCATTTGTTACAGGTTATAGAGCTACAGGGTTAATTGCAATGTGAGAGTGACTTCTACATGTCAACGTCAATTTCTCTGCAAATAAGTAATGGATGCCTTTTTACGTACTTACGTAATAAATGATCCACACGAGGTGACGTCTTACCTGCAGACACAAGTCTCGTTCGGGCAAATGATGTCAGGGTTCGGCGTGGGCTTCGGCGTGGGACCTGAAGTCGGCTTCGGAGGAAGCGTCGTCTTTCCACCACAGCCAGCATTATCGGGCCAGTCGCAGACCAGCAGGTTAGGGTTGAACTCGAGGTTGGCGGGACAATCCTTCAGGTAGGCGTGTCCGTTGGAGCAGTGATAGAAGGTGTGGCAGTCGGCAGGATTGGGGAAGAGGCCATCGCTGGGACAATCAAAGTCCGGACCTGGCTTGGGCGTTGTGGGCTTTGCCGTCGTGGGCTTCAAGGTCGTCTTTCCACCACAGCCGGCATGTTCTGGCCAGTCGCAAACCAGCAGCGTAGGGTTAAACTCAAGGTTGGCGGGACAGTTCATCAGGTACGCATGTCCGTTGGAGCACTGGTAGAAGGAGTGGCAGTCGGCGGGGTTGGGGAAGAGGCCATTGTCGGTCGGACAATCGAAACCGGAGGGAGTGGTAGATTTAGGCTTGGGCGAAGAAGTAGGCTGGACGGAACATCCAGCGTCCTTGGGCCAGTCACAGACCAGAAGTTTCGGATTGAACTCCAGATTAGCTGGGCAGTCCTTCAGGTAAGAGTAACCGTTGGAACAGTGGTAGAAGGTATGACAGTCCAGGGGATTGGGGAACAGTCCGTTGCTGGTTGGGCAGTCGAAATCTGAAGGAGTAGGATTGGTAGGAGCAGGCTGTGGCGAAGTAGTCGGCTTTCCGTTACACCCGGAATTCTCGGGCCAGTCACAGACCAGCAGGGTAGGGTTGAACTCGAGGTTGGCGGGACAGTCCTTCAGGTAGGCGTGTCCGTTGGAGCAGTGATAGAAGGTATGGCAGTCGGCAGGATTGGGGAAGAGTCCATTGCTAGTCGGACAATCGAAACCGGAGGGAGTGGTAGATTTAGGCTTGGGCGAAGAAGTAGGCTGGACGGAACATCCAGCGTCCTTGGGCCAGTCACAGACCAGAAGTTTCGGATTGAACTCCAGATTAGCTGGGCAGTCCTTCAGGTAAGAGTAGCCGTTGGAACAGTGGTAGAAGGTATGGCAGTCCAGGGGATTGGGGAACAGTCCGTTGCTGGTTGGGCAGTCGAAATCTGAAGGAGTAGGATTGGTAGGAGCAGGCTGTGGCGAAGTAGTCGGCTTTCCGTTACAGCCGGAATTCTCGGGCCAGTCACAGACCAGCAGGGTAGGGTTGAACTCGAGGTTGGCGGGACAGTCCTTCAGGTAGGCGTGTCCGTTGGAGCAGTGGTAGAAGGTATGGCAGTCGGCAGGATTGGGGAAGAGTCCATTGCTAGTCGGACAATCGAAACCGGAGGGAGTGGTAGATTTAGGCTTGGGCGAAGAAGTAGGCTGGACGGAACATCCAGCGTCCTTGGGCCAGTCACAGACCAGAAGTTTCGGATTGAACTCCAGATTAGCTGGGCAGTCCTTCAGGTAAGAGTAGCCGTTGGAACAGTGGTAGAAGGTATGACAGTCCAGGGGATTGGGGAACAATCCGTTGCTGGTTGGGCAGTCGAAATCTGAAGGAGTAGGATTGGTAGGAGCAGGCGGCTGTGGCGAAGCAGTCGGCTTTCCGTTGCAGCCGGCATTCTCGGGCCAGTCGCAGACCAGCAGGGTAGGGTTGAACTCGAGGTTGGCGGGACAATCCTTCAGGTAGGCGTGTCCGTTGGAGCAGTGGTAGAAGGTGTGGCAGTCGGCAGGATTGGGGAAGAGTCCGTTGCTGGTCGGACAGTCGAAGTCGGGCTTGGGTGCGACGGTGGTAGTGGTGGTGGTGGTAGTGGTGGTGGTAGTGGTGGTGGTCGGCTTCGGGGTTGTCGGAGCCTTCGTAGTGACCGGCTTGGGCGTAGTGGATTTCACTTCTGAAAAGGGGAAGACAAGCATGATGACACAAGTGTGTCATGACATCGGAACAAAGCGGAAACAAAACCAAAAACGTTATCAGCTAGATGGATGCACCACTCTACTGGTTCCGGGAGTTCCTCAAGACGCCAAGGCTTTGGACGCCAAGGCGACATCTAAAAGTAGGAGTTCATTATTCAAGCATTTTGTGATTTCCGAAGGCAGATAAGGTTTCATAACTTTTCATCCAAATTGAACTTACCACACTTGTAGTTGGAAGCCAGATCGCAGTTATCAATGTTGGGGTTGAACACCAGACCTTGGGCACAGGAAGCCTTCCAGGCTTTGCCATCCTGGGGAAGAGAAGTGACTCTCTTACCATGGAATGCATGTCCATATGCATGCATGTAGTTTCCAAACTCTTGTGTAGTATGCCCTGGGGTGAAGTGCAAAAGTCTCAAGTGTTTCCAGATTTTGCATTGTTGAAATATTTGGACTATTGGAAAAGAGACTCAGGAAGTCCGCTGTTTTCCGTTCTACTGACCCATGCAACTCGATTGATGAATTTCCCCTCAAAGTGTTCACCCATGAACCAAAGCGCCGGATGCACTCCCGCTGTGCGAGTGACTGCCTGCTGGACCACCGCACCAGCACGCACCATGGTTACCGGACCCGGGACCAGCGCATCAGCACACACCTTGCAGATGTAGTAGGTGGTGCAGTCGTCGGCGTTGGGCTCCAGACAGCACTCGCAGTCGCACTCCATGCCCGGCTCGGGGTCGGTGTCAGGCGGCGGCGGGTCGGTGGGCGCGCCCCCCGTGCAGCCGGCGTTCTCGGGCCAGTCGCACACCTGGAGACGCGGGCCGCACCAAACGGCCGGGCGGGTCAGCGGGGACTTGGGCAACACCGGTACTGATGACCAGTGTGGAAGATTTACTGACTCTTACTGACCATGAGAGATGTTCCACGTGGAGCTATTTGATGTGACATGTTATAAAATCCATGCCGTGCGTTGGAAAGAGTAATATCTTAGTCCCTTCTGTGGAATTGATTTACCCTCAGTGGTGATTTTATCTCCGCGCATGGAAGCACTGAACGTAAATTTGTGTGCGCGATTTGAATAAGATTTTGTGCTGTAAATATTTCAAATTCAAGTGACCCAAAATAACGGAAATAACGCAGAAAAGCCAAGAAATTGATAATAGAAACAGAAATGTGAAAGGGAAAGAAGAGATAAATAACAGCAAGAAGAATTGATTGAAAAGAAGAGGAACATGAAGAAATGAAGTTGTAGTGATGAGAACATATACCGAGACAAGACGAGACAATTCACTCGAACGAAACAAACGAAGCGAAACGAATGAAAAGAACCAAACAAAATTGAGTTGAATCCCGCCACACCGAAACTGTAACGTCGAAAACTGTTCTTAACCATTATTGTTTGTTATTACTGCGAATATATTACTTAAATGCGTGAAGAAGTTTTCACTTAACTGACCTGTAATTTTGGCTGTGGCGACAGTTAAGAACAGTTCGAAAACCATGGAAGAACAGAAGATTGCAAAAATCAAGAAAATAAGAGGAAGGCATCGTGGTACTTTGACTCGGCTACGCAACCAGGCCCTTGCTATCATTGAAGGCAACGGTAACCACACGAAGCTCCTGAATCTGGTTGAAGAATCGGACAAGGCGCTACGATCTTTAATCGAGGTGAGTGACGAGTATGCGCTTTTGATCGGTGATGATGCGAGTTGTGAGATTGAAAGGTATATGGAGGAGGAGGAGACAAAGCATGTTGAGACAGTGATGCAAATACGAGAATATCTAAAGAGCCGACGAACCGCAGTTGAGCCCAGTAATGCTATTGATCATGAACCAGAGACCGAGACAGAAGTTGTCCAAGAACGATTCTGCAATTCTAAAGAAGCCGAGATTCAGGCGAAACTCAAGGAGCTACGGCTTCAACAGCTGGAACGCCAATTGGCGGAGCAGAGGAAAGAGCAAGAATTAGCACACCAGAGAAAACTGCAAGAAGCTAGAGACGCTGCACAGTTGGCTAGAATGGAGGCAGATTGGAGAAAGCAAGCTGACGGATCTGAATGTGACCATTCTGACTTCGGGACGCCTGTAGAACAGGCGGAATTACATGATTTACCGTCTTGGCCGAAGGCGTTGGGCGCAGAGGCGCAACAGACGAACAGAGGTAAGACCGAATATGAATCTGTCTCTAATTCTTTACATAAATTCGATCAGCATCGTGCATTGCCAGACATTGATGAACGGCAGGTAGAGGAGAATGAGCTCCACAGCACTTCCAAACCGGTTGATAGTGGAGCACTTGACCATTCGGGCCACAAAGCTACTAGCCATTCGCGTACTAGTGGTCATCTGCTACCTAACAGTATTCCTCGTTTGACCCTTCCTGTATTTGATGGCAATCCACTTGAATGGCCGCGATGGTTTAGCCTTTTCAAGCATCTAATAGACGACCAGCCAGATTTATCAAACACAGAAAAGATGGTTCATTTGCAGTCGGTTGTACAAGGGAGCGCAAAGCAAGCAATATCGGGACTCATTTTCGATCCTGAACTATATCCCCAGGCTATAGACGTGCTAAAGGCAAGATTTGGCAGGGAGCAGGACATAGTACAATCACATTTAGATGCAATGCTGTCGGCCCCCCCACCAACGTTGTTTGGTACAGCTGGCATGGAGCAGTTCTGCGGAGTTATTAACAACACGGTGACTGTGCTACAGAAGCTCGGTTTCGTTGGTGACCTCGAGAGTTACGAAAACCTTCGGCGAATGGTTGACAGATTACCGAGAGAGTTGCGACGGGAGTGGGGTAGGCATGTTGTTGAAAGGAACATTGATCGACCCACGCTCGTTGATTTCAATGCGTGGCTAGGAAAACAACTCAAAATAGCATTGAGCTGTTCTTCAAAGGGACAGGCAGTAAGACGAACAAATTTGGTGACAAACACATGGACTAGAGAATGTCCGTGTTGTGGAGATACCCATGACCTTCAGTCATGTGAATCGTATCAGCAGAAGACACCAGACGAGCGACTCCTATTTCTGACAGAAAATCGAATGTGCTTTGGATGTTTGCGCAGAAATCACCTGGCTCGAGATTGCCGGACAGCAAGAGTTTGCGGAATCGACGGATGCAGATTCAAACATCATGAAAGCCTGCACGGGGCACAAGTGAAAAGGAGCGAGTCAGCACCCGACCGAGAAGAAAGTCGGCAGGGCAAAACTGCACATCGTACGATAGCAACATCAGTTCAGGATCGTGCGGGAGCCGTTACGTTGCTGCAGATCGTTCCTATACGAGTCCATGGAGTCGGTGGGAGATTTAGAGACACGTATGGTTTGCTGGATCCTGGTTCAGAAACATCGCTTATCTCTGAAGATCTCATGCACTACTTGGGATTAAAGGGCCCTGAGCGAATACTACGCATTGATAACGTAGAAAGCAGTGGAGTTCCCCAAACATCAACTCGAGTTGCTTTCGATGTTAGCTCACGAACAGCTTCAGGCACAAAGGAATTGATACAGGTGCCTGAAGCTTTTGGTATCCCACGGATAAACGTTAACGCTCATCACATCTCAGAGGAGCAGCGAAACTCATGGACCCATCTCAACGGTCTGGACATTCCCCGCTGTGATGGCGACATTGAGGTGCTGTTAGGTGCCAATGTCGTAGAAGCGGTTCTACACCAAGACGTTCGAGTCGGTCGATCTGGTCAGCCAGTGGTGTTGAGGACGGCCTTTGGATGGACGCTGACCGGTTCAGTGAATGGGCTACCACGAGGCGCCAGACGGGTCATGTATGTCCACAACGCCTCCGCCGATGAAGAATCCAATGTTCTGTTGCAAGAATGGTGGACGACAGAGGCTTTTGGGACAAAATTTGACTACACACAACCGATATCACAGGAAGATAAAAGGGCAATCGAAATCATGGAAAACTCAACAAGAAAGATCGGATCTAGATACGAGACCGGCCTGTTATGGAAGAATGACTGTGTATCATTACCGGATAACAAGGGAATGGCATTACGTCGCCTAGAATCGCTTGAGAGAAGCTTGCTACAGAAACCAGAGAAGGCGGAGGCCTACCAGAAAATACTGAACGGGTATATTGAAAAGGGACATGCCAGGAAGGTAGACCAAGGAGAGGAGAATCGTCACGGCCCAAGGACGTGGTATTTACCACATCATGCGGTTATCCACCCCCACAAGCCTGGGAAGCTACGGGTCGTTTTTGATGCTGCTGCCCAATTCGCCGGAGTATCATTGAATAGCTACTTGCTCACTGGACCAGATCTACTACGAAATCTCACAGGGGTGCTTTTAAGGTTTAGACAGCAGGCTATAGCTATAACTGCAGACATAGAGGAAATGTATCATCAAGTTAAAGTCCGTGCCGAAGATCAAGAGGCTCTGCGATTTCTTTGGAGAGGTTTAGATTTACGAAAGAAACCAGAAGTCTATCAAATGACGGCTACGATTTTTGGGGCCAAGTGCAGCCCGGCGTCTGCCAACTTTGTGCTCCGACGCACTGGGGAAGACTATGCTGGAAGTCACCAACAAGGACGAGCAATGACAGAAGCTATCCGCAACAACTTTTACATGGACGATTTTTTGTATTCGTGTAGAAACGTTCACGAAGCAAAGACTATGCAAAATAACATCACACATCTGCTGGCAAAGGGAGGATTCCGCTTGACAAAGTGGAAGAGCAACAGCCCGGTCGTATTGGAAGCAATTCATCCTACAGAGCGCGCCCAAAAGGAAATCAACTTTACAGATGAAAGCGTTCTAGGCTGCATGTGGAACACATCTGTTGACACGCTAAGCCTTCGCCAGGTTGAAACATCTCCGCTGGAATCCAAACGAGGCATTGTTCAGGTAGTGGCCAGACTATTTGATCCTTTGGGGATGGCTCTACCGTTCGTGCTACAAGCTAAGCTGCTTGTACAGCGTCTCTGGCTACGGAAGTGCGCATGGGATGATCCGCTCCTCCAGGGAGAAAAGGGTGAATGGCGTGAATGGCTGAGCGGTTTGATGATCATACCAAGTTTGCAGATACCCCGAAACATCAAGCTCGGCACAGTCGCAGACGAATTCCATGAGCTACACGTATTCTGCGATGCATCGGAAACGGCGTTTGCGGCGGTGGTGTATCTACGCCTGGCCCAGGAGAACGGCACCGGCGAGTGTAACTTCTTGATGGCAAGGTCTAAAGTCGCGCCACTGCGACAACTCACTGTAGTTCGACTTGAACTGCAGGCGGCAGTACTGGCAATTCGTCTAGTGAGCACGATCAAGAAAGAACTAAACTGCTTGAATTCCGTGAAGACCACATTCTGGAGCGATAGCAAAGTCATTTTGCACTACATTCGAAACGATGAGAAAAGATTTCACACATTTGTAGCGAATCGAATTGCTGAGATCAGATGCTCTTCATCACCTGAACAGTGGCGATACGTACCGAGCGGACTGAATCCCGCCGATCTTGGCTCTCGCGGAACCTCAGCTGCAAATCTGTTGAAAAGGACGGACTGGCTCAGCGGCCCAGAATTTCTGAAGCAGCAAGAAGCTGGCTGGCCTCCGAACTCAATCACACAACAAGAAGATAGAGATGACCCAGAGGTCAGGGCGACCTTCCTCACACAGCGAGATACCACCGGCGGCCTGTCAGTGCTCCCTTCGCCAGAGAGATTCTCATCTTGGACACGGTACCGACGGATTGTTGCTTGGATGTTGAGATTCATACACAATCTGCAGTCAAGGAAGGTAGCAAACAGGCCATCTAGTTCTCGATCAGGCAACTTGACAGCGGACGAAATACACGGCGCGGAATTGAGCATTGTGAAAGATGCCCAGAAGCGGGCGTTTGCCGAAGAACTAGCCGCCCTCGAGGCCAATAAGCCAGTGGCACCAGACAGCAAGCTGCGGCCATTCTCGCCGTTCATTGATGACAGTGGCGTTATACGAGTGGGCGGCCGGATCGATCGTGCCCCAGTGTCCTACGATGTGAGACATCCAGTAGCGTTATCATCGGATGATGACGTCACAAGGCTCATCATCGTTTACTCTCACCACAGAGTGCTGCACTCTGGCATGGAGCGGACCCTGACTGACGTCAGACGGCAGTACTGGATACCGAAAGGAAGATCCCGTGTGAAACGAGTCATTCACAGTTGTCCGGTGTGTCGCAAGAGAAGAGCTCGCCCCACACCTCCGTACATGTCAGATCTTCCAGTAGAGCGCTTTGACATGACGCGGGCTTTCGCTACGGCTGGAATAGACTACTTTGGGCCACTGCTTGTGAAGAAAAACAGAAAAACAGAGAAGAGATACGGACTCCTAATCACATGCATGGCGACAAGAGCGGTCCACATTGAAGTTTCCCACGCTCTGGACACAGATAGTTTTATAATGGCGCTACGGCGTTTCATTGCAAGACGAGGGAAACCAGCGACGATCATGAGTGACAATGGTTCAAACTTCATTGGAGCGGAAAGAGAACTCAGAGAAGCAATGGCTGCGTGGAATCAAGCCCACATCCAAGATGAGTTGAGCCAGGACAACATTATCTGGAAGTTTTTGCCACCTACAGCCAGCCATATGGGCGGAGTATGGGAAAGGTTGGTAGGTACAGTAAAACGGGCCCTGAAGATCGTCATAGGAACACAGACATTGACAGATGAAGTTCTGCTCACTGCGCTTGTTGAAGTCGAAGGAATGGTCAACGGACGACCACTGACGTACGTCAGCTCAGATTCCGGTGATATGGAGCCGCTCACACCAAACCACCTTCTCCTCGGCTGCTCGCAGGTGCTGCTTTCTCCTGGTCAGTTTCAAGATCGGGAAATAAACAGTCGCCGTCGTTGGCGCCAAGCACAGGTCCTCGCTGACCAATTTTGGAAACGTTGGAGGAAGGAATATCTTCCCACCCTCATGAAGAGATGCAAGTGGCTGCAGGACCCGGCCAATCTCGAAGTCGGCCAAGTAGTCCTTATCGTCGATGACACAGCACCCAGAGGTTATTGGCCACTGGCACGGGTGACCAAGACATTTCCAGGACAAGACGGTCGAGTGCGCTCGGTGGAGGTGCAGGCAGCCGCTGGAGGCACCTATCAGCGACCAGTCACCAAGATATGCGGTTTAGAAGAATGTCCATGAAGACGTACCGCATGGTAGCAACAACCAGCAAGGACATGTTGTGCTGGCCGAGACATGATTGCGCGTGCAAGCCCCAATGCGCGGGGGGAGGGTGTGGAATTGATTTACCCTCAGTGGTGATTTTATCTCCGCGCATGGAAGCACTGAACGTAAATTTGTGTGCGCGATTTGAATAAGATTTTGTGCTGTAAATATTTCAAATTCAAGTGACCCAAAATAACGGAAATAACACAGAAAAGCCAAGAAATTGATAATAGAAACAGAAATGTGAATGGGAAAGAAGAGATAAATAACAGCAAGAAGAATTGATTGAAAAGAAGAGGAACATGAAGAAATGAAGTTGTAGTGATGAGAACATATACCGAGACAAGACGAGACAATTCACTCGAACGAAACAAACGAAGCGAAACGAATGAAAAGAACCAAACAAAATTGAGTTGAATCCCGCCACACCGAAACTGTAACGTCGAAAACTGTTCTTAACCATTATTGTTTGTTATTACTGCGAATATATTACTTAAATGCGTGAAGAAGTTTTCACTTAACTGACCTGTAATTTTGGCTGTGGCGACACCTTCAAAGGATAAAAGGCTCCTTGACCGAAGCATAAATCGAATATCCGAAACAGCCTGCAAGATGCCGATTTTTCGATAGCCCATAAATCGAATCTGTGACAAATTATTAAGTGACTCACCATCAGCTTGGCGTTAAAGTGGAGGTTGGCGGGGCACTCTTTGACGTAGGGGTGGTCATGGTCGCAGTGCAGGAACAGGTGGCAGTCGGTGGGGTGTGAGAACAGTCCCTGGGACCGCGGGCAGCTGAGACCGGCCTCCGGACGCTCAGGCGCCGCCAGCAGGCCTGCAACAATACAATACACACACGCAGTCAACGGACTGGATCAAGACTAATAGCCAATGACATCGGTCAAGCAGCTATCATATATAGATGTAATTCAGATGTTTTCCAGATGTCCAGGAATAAGAAAACAACATCACATACCGAATTTTCACGATGACATTGTGTCCAAATCATAACGAGACGGTAGCGATTGCATTATTGCAGCTTCACCCTAGGCTAGCCTACAGAGGAAGAATTTAAACAAGGTTGTATTTCGCAAACGATTCAATCGGTGTTCAGCCTCAAGTGCGGCGCCCATCGAGTACTCATATATGTACGTGGCGACATGCCGGACGTCGCAGAGTAGCGGTATCGGCATCTTAATCCGAGCCCACATCGGACTGACTCTTGACCCCGACGCCCCGACACGACGGCCCGACGCCCAGCGGCCGGGCGTGTGACCCCGGAGACGGGCCGCTATCAGCAGATCGCACACTATCCAGAACACGAAACGGTAGCGACCGCAGGACAATCGATAGCAGGCTGGCCTTGGTACGCATTTGTCAACGTTCGTTGGGAGGGTCTGGCGCGGAAGCCAAATGTCGTCTCCGTAACACTTGACAATGCCCAATCGGTACTTAACAGGGCCAATGAATGACACAATGCCGTTCAATTTTGGACTGGTATGCATAATGCATAAGCTTATAAGCATCTATCATGCAAGTCCGCCTTGCATCACGAACCAGACAGCCCAAGTTATGGCAATTCTTATCGAGTGTGATCCGGGCAATCCCATGGAAATATCCGAGATATTATCCGCCTCTACTGCAAAATATGACAAGTTTGTTTAGCGAAACATCCTCTTTATTTCAATTTTTAGTTTGCTATTTTCATTGGTCTTAATTATTTTGTGAAACTCTGCTTCTAAACGCTCTACCTGAAATGCCATTCGTGATAATTTGACTTCATCCAAACAAAAGTTTTCCATTCCACGCGCCTGGGAATGTTGAGCATGATGATGCCCAAGTTGTTTTTTTTGCGACCATTTGTTTACGAGCCTATTTTCACAAAAAACAAACCCCTACTTTGGGGTACTTGACCTGACCTCAGCGATCATCGGTTGACCTGAGACCTTACACTCGGGTACCAGTCACCTCGTCTCGTACTACGGCGTAGACGCTCGTTTTTCGGAGAGAAGCGCGGGCGATTAGGGGGCGAACTCACCAATCCCTAGGCAGGGTCGCATGTGGAAAACCGATAGGTTCGGCGAGAGGTAAAGCTGATTCGATAACGGTAATGGGAATGATCACGAAAACCGGACTGGGTTCTTGAAGAATCAATGACATGTAGGATGTCTTCTAACCATGCAGTTTTCACTCAAGGCCTTGCTAGTTGCCGACCAATTTGTCAACTAACTAGTTAGATCTTGCATTGCAAACTGTGCTATGCGTCGCAGCTTATCAGTGGACAGTGGAGCCGTGTGATAATTTATAAAAGTAAATTAGCATTTGACGGCTGGGGCTGAAAGGAGACTTATTTCAACTCCTTTGAAAGTTTTATTTGTGTGTGCAGAAAAGAAGATATGCTGCACAATGTGCATTAAGCATAGGTATCTCAAATGGGAGACTCGACTCATCAGCTTCTGAAAAACCATCGGGATCCGCCTGGACGCCACGAATAAAATGCCACCTTCAGGTGGCAGCATTTGGACTTACCGGTGGCCAGGCAGGCGAGAGTGACGAGGCGGGTCCACATGGCGAGGGCCTTCAATCGGCACAGTGTCGCCTACCTGCCGCTCCCACCGATTTATAGGGCGGCCATCAGCGGCAGATTACGAGTGCGAGTCAGTGCCGGCCGATAGCGAATCAGTGCAATAAGGCGACGACATGATTTGGAGAACGATCCGGTGAAATCTAGACGAAGCATGGTATTATGTTTATGGTAGCTGTAATTGTTTCTGATTGTGAAAGGCGCAAAAGATAGGAGCTCTCATTTAAGACATTTTCATTTCCATTTATGACATCTTATCGTCTTTGGCTTCAGCAACAGCAGGGCTTTAACCCGGCCGGGCCCGGGGGTAATCCCAACCACCGCAGCCCGGGGCCTGTCTAACTCCGTAAACAAGGGAGCTACGGAAACAAAAGCGATACCAAACGAAAGGTCCTTACGAGACAATTCTAAAGCACCTAAAATTTTTGACCTCAGGTCAATTTTCAAGGTCAGAGATCAAGGTCAAAGGCAAAAACCGGCACATGTGTACTGTGTAGTGATCTCAAAGTAAGCTTTCTATAGGACGGCAGGCTGCATCAAACCGGCAAAATTGGGTGTCAAACGAAAGAAGAGAATCTGAGGATTCCGAAAATGTGCTCAAAATCAAAGATCAAGGTCAAGGTCACGCTCAAAATTGACCTCAAACTTGGCACTTTTTCGCACATCTTACGTGCTAACTTCCAAGATGTTTTGAAATGTTTTGAGGCTTATCAGTTCCCTATTTGTGGTTCGTCTTACGATACAAGGCTGCGCAGAGGTCAAGGTCACAGAAGAGTATCCCTGCTAGAGGCTATTTCACTGATTCAAGTTAGTAATAATCAGGGCTGCGGAGTCGATGGATTTTAGGATGACATGACTCCGACTCCGACTCCGACTCCGGCTCCGGCTTCAAAAATTGACTCCGACTCCAACTCCAACTCCGACTCCGACTCCGGACGGTTGTATTAAAATCCATATCGTGATATTGAAGTTCATAACGGAGACGTTTTTATCTTGCCTGCAACGATCCCTTGCGCGTTCCAAGGCTTTGCGTTGCAAATAGGCTTTACAAATAACATGCAGAATTAAAAAGCAGGCTCTGGGGAATTCACAGTCTTCTGCTTCTTTCGCTGAAAACGTTTGTCCAAAACAGCAACATGGCCTTTTTTCGACAAAATCTCATTTCGAGCGCAGTATCGTCAATCAGAAAGGTGCAGTGCATTACGTTGAGACATGCAGCGTTAACTCCAACTACGGAGTCGGAGTCGGTAAGATTTTGGCGACTCCGACTCCGACTCCGACTCCGAGCAGAACTGTCGACTCCGACCGGCTCCAACTCCGACTCCGACTCCGACTCCGCAGCCCTGATTATAGGTATGTGCATTCCCATATTTTTAGATGAACATTCTCAGAAAAGGCACGAGCCTGAAAAATGATAAAATTCAAGCGATCCTCATTTTCATTATTCCTTGATTATTCCGGTTATATGGCCTTGGATTCTTTCCATTCCTTCTCAACGTTCCCAACAACGCTGCGCGCTTGAAGTTGACAATAATGACGGCATATGGTGCTGAATGATTTTCTAGCAATTTAAAAAAGCTTGTTTCGCATCGCAGTAATTCTTACCCCTTCATGGTGTCAATTTGGACGATGATTCGAAGGCGCAGCAGTGGACGGGCCATCCTGATATTTCTTCTTTTGGTATCGGTTGACAGAGCTGTACAAAGCCAGAGTCGAGTCAGAAAGAATGTAGGTGAAGAGAGCAGCCTCACAACAGACCAGCCTGAATCAGCTATTACTACGAAAGCGGAAGAAAAGCGAGTTACATGGGACCCGAATAACCCGGCCGACGGCACTGACCGACACTCTCGGGACCACCTGCACGACTTCGACCACTATGAGAAGGCACACGGACACGCAAAAGACCACGAGGGCCAGAGCATCATATACGATCATCCGCACCACGACGACGAGGAGGGCCACGACGACCTACACCATATGCCCTGGGTGATTACAAAGCCCGGCTACGACATCCGCCACCGGCCCGACAACGACGAGCCGACTAAAATCAACATCAGCCTGTTTCACGACTTCATAGAGTATGTTGACGAGCTCGGCGGTGAGATGGTGATAAAGTTATTCGTCGTGGCCTACTGGAAGGATCACCGAATGCGAAATGTGGATGAAGTTCTAAACGAGGTGGGTGGGACGAAGGAGTCTCGCTCTCTGCCGCTGCCGAGTGAGATGAAGTACCGGCTGTGGGTGCCGGACCTGTACCTGCCGATGGCCAGGCGGGTGCGTGTGCCGACAATCCACCAGCCGGCAGAGAGCGTCACACTCAAGGAGAACGGCACCATGAAGTACTCGTCCTTCTTCGTCATATCCTTCAAGTGCGAGATGCACTACCACAACTACCCGATGGACGTACAGCAGTGCGACCTGGACATTTTCAGCTACAAGTACGCCAGCAGCCATCTGCAGCTGCTCTGGCAGCGCCCCTACGGATTGGTGGGCGCGCTGCGCATCAACACCAAACATTTTGACGTCCGCGTCATGCGACCGAAAGGCAAGAGCTGGTTTCTGCTGCATGGGCCGGGCGGGAGCACCAAGGACGTGCTACGGATCACGTACGTGATGCGGCGGCACCTGTCGTTCCACCTGCTGCAGACCTACCTGCCGTCCATCATGCTGGTCTTCATCGGCTGGCTGTCGCTGCTGGTGCCACTCGACTTTGCCTACGGCCGCATGGTGCTGTCGGTCACCACGCTGCTGGTGCTGGTGTCGTTCTTCGTCACCACCAGCCAGACCACGCCGGGCACCAACGAGGTATGTACGTGCCTCACATGGCTACTCCTTTTGATTACCCGGAATATTTGTATCGGAAAGCAGAGATCAGGACCTAGGCAATGAGCTCTGCTAACCGTGTGCTCCGCAGACTGATCGTGTGTTTTCACCGACGCATTCGAATTAAATTCGAAAATTATGTACATTTAAACAATCATGAAAGAGGGCGACGGACACATATCATAATGTCGAGCCACTTTCATATAAAGAGCAACTCACGGGCTCTTTATATGAAGGTGGCTCGACAGTTATGTATTTTACCGTGTGCCTCAGGTGAAGGCGCTGGACATCTGGCTGTTCATCTGCATCTTCTTCGTGTTCTCTGCCATCGTGGACTGCATTGCCGATCTGCGCTTCCTCTCGATGGTGGAGAAGGAGTCGCAGATCGCCGGCGAGGAGGGCGTCCAGTCGGAGATGCCGCCGGTGGTGGACGAGCGCGTGCGCCGGCTCAGCCGGCCCGACGACGGCGGCCAGACGGCGGGGGAGGACTCGGACCGCGCCGACGCCACGCACAATGTCCAGTTCTTCGGCGACAACACGCCGTTTCAAGTAAGACGAGATGATCGACGGCGACAACACGCCATTCCATTGGCACAGACCGGCGCAGCCCACACATATCGGTCAACTTACCAGCAGGCTATCGGTCTACTTACCAACACCCATGTTTGTCACAGCTTGTAAATTGTATGCACCGCACTAACAAAAGCTAGAATTTCGACCGTTGCTCATCGAAGGTCACTGGTTACCAGGTCCTCCAAATGACCTCCTCTCAGGAAAACGGGGAAAAGGTCCCCAAGTTCCACGACTCGTCACTGGAGATTACTTTCCAAACTTTCAGCGATTGATAAGAGTTCCTTTATAATATAGTTATGTGTATAATAAAGGTCTCGGAGTTGCTTACCGGTAGACGGTTGTCAGGTTAATTTAGTGAACTTTTCATTGCTTACGTATATTTAGGTCAAAGGAGGGACATAAAATCTCGCATCTTTGCGATGACAGTCATTCTAAGCATGCCGAACACTCAACAACATCGTTTATTAGGTTTATGGATATTAAACAGCGCATGACTGGTCGCATGACGTTTTTCAGCAATATCTTCCAAACCGTTTGACGGATCAACACGAAACTTGCGGTACCCTCAGCTGCATCAATTTGACACCTTGTGCCCGGGGGTAATCCCAACCACCGCAGCCCTGGGGGGGGGCGTTTTTCGCCCCCCCCCCGTCTAACTCCGTAAATAAGGGAGCTACGGAAACAAAAGCAATACCAAACGAAAGGTCTTTACGAGACGATTCTAAAGCAACTAAAATGTTTGACCTCAGGTCAATTTTCAAGGTCAGAGGTTAAGGTCAAAGGCAAAAACCGGCACATGTGTAGTGATCTCAAAATAAGCGTTCTAGATGACGGCAGGATGCATACAACCGACAAAATTGTGTGTTAAACGAAAGAAGAGAATCTGAGGATTCCGAAAATGTGCTCAACATTAAAGGTCAAGGTCAAGGTCATGCTCAAATTGACCTCGAACTTTGCACTTTTTCGTGCATCTTGCGTGCTAACTTCCAAGATGTTTTGGTATGTTTTGAGGCTTATCAGGTCCCTATTTGTGGTTCATCTTACGATACAAGGCTGCTCAAAGGTCAAGGTCACAGAAGAGTATCCTTGCTAGAGGCTATTTCACCGATTCAAGTTAGTAATAGGTAATAAATAAGACAATTTTGTCATCCGGAGGCTCTGAATGAAGGATTAGAGGAAAATGGATGCCAGATTCGTGATCAGCGGGTACGAATCCATCTTAAACGACCTTTCATGTGTCAAAGTCAACCAAAGGTCATTCGAGGTCACATGAGGTCAACATAAGACTTGACCTTTTCCAAACAAAATATATATCATTCGACGCGGTTTGACAAGGCGAATGCGATGGTACCACTGCCATAGCTCTAGGGACATTTTTGTCGAAGTGATTTGCGAAAAACTAATATCACATTTCGGGGTCGTTGACCTGACCTCTGACCTCAGGTCACCAAAAATATTTTTTCTACTTTTCTCTAGGTCAAACGCTACACAACCGTGCTCGTAATTTGTATTTATCTCTAAAACTCTATTTTTAGCAGCTATTTGAAGTTCGCGTCTGTGACACCGAAGTTTGCCGTGCAGGGGTCTAGAAAAATCTATCCTGTGACGTCATCAAGGGGCTAGGTCCAAATTTTTTACTTCAGAAGATGTCAAATTGATGGGAGAAAAGGTACTGAAAGTTTCGTTTTCCTATCCCTAGGCGTTCGGGAGCTATCACAAATATTCGCCAGGGGGGGGGGGGCAAAAACGCCCCGGGGCCCGCGACGGTTAACCCACGCCCTGCTGGGGGGTGTTCGAACATCCGCGCAGTTTTTCGCGGATATCTCAAAAACGGCATGATACATATTTTCTGCAGATCCTATGAAAATTTCAGATCAAGATCACTCAAGGTTAGGTCATCAGGTCACGCCAAGTGCCCTCACCTCATAAAAAGTTTCAATGCCTGCCATAGGCATGTATGTATATATGTACATCGAGTGACCGATCATTTTGAAACGTTCAGAAATTGATAAAAGCAACAGTATGCATGTATGTATGCCTCATAGTTTTGATATCGGTGACCTAAGGTCAGGTCAATTTTGCGGCCTCACTATTAGAAGTCAATGGGAGAAAATTGAGAGGCGTCTGTTTTGGACGAAGGACATTTTAAACACTTTCAAACATCGAATTACAAGTAGACACACTGAACCGGAAAATGGCACCCGTGCCCTTGCCCGTGCCCCTCGTTATGTCCCTGAGGTCATCTTAGGTCTCAGGTCATCAACAGTTTTTCGCTAATGACTTTTGATAAAGACACGCTAGAGCGACGGTCGAAAACGCCTTAGATGTGTTCGGCTCGACGATACGGATCGACTGATATGCAACATGACCTTTTCCGGTCTGGTCATCACCTTGACCTGATATCAAATTTTCACGTAAGCCTTTCAAGGTCAAATTATAACTTATGCCATGCGTATAGTAAGCTCGTGCATGTTTTGGGTCAAAAGTTATTGCGGAAAAACTGCTCCGGCAAAAAAAACGTCTGTTTTGGTAGTTTGTGCCCCCTGGAGGCTACACCGTTGACCTTAGGTCAAATCTGAGATATTCAGAAAGACCGTTAAAAGAGCTATCGAATGTCCTTTCCGCGGCGCTGTAGCTCTATCCGTTCTAGCTATGCGCCGGTCGGTCGAAAATTATCGAACTTTGTCCTAACTCCTAATAGTGGCGAAATTTTATGTTCGGTGACCTGTGGTGACCTGGCCCAAAAGGTAACCAAAGTAAATTCTTCATTATTTTCGACGCGCTCCATTACCTAGGGGTTACACTGACCCTCCCCTGCGGTCCCCTCAGGCTGACAAGGAGGTGCTGATTGCCACGCCCAGTGTGATCAAGTGGCTTCGCCTGGCCGTGCTGCTGGAGCGCGGCATGACGGTGGCCTACCCGGCGCTGTTTGTCCTCTTCACGGCCGTCTACTGGGCCGTCTACATCACGGCGCGCAGCTCGCACATTGAGCCAGAGAGCGACGATTGATCGGCGCCGGGTTGTAGCTCGCAAATCGAGCCAGAGAGCGACGACTGAACGGAGCCGAGCTACAGCTCGCATATTGAGCCAGAGAGCGACGATTGAGCCCATAGCGGGAACACATCGAGCCAGAGGATGACGACTAAGGCGGACATACAGAGCCAGTGAGCGACGACTGAGACGAGACGGAGACATACAGAGCCAGAGTGACGATTGGACGACACAAAGAGCCAGAGAGTGACGACTGAGACGGACATATTGCACTCTCTGCAGATAGCAACAACTGAGACGGACATACAGAGCCAGAGCGACGACTGATCGGCACTAGCCACTCTCAGTAGCCCTGCCTCATGATGTGCATGTGAATATGACCTTTGTTCATCGGTTACGTAATAGTACTCGGCATACAGATTAGTGTACAGTAATGATGTGTGAAAACATGTTTTAACAAAAAAGTTCTTACTGGTTTTCAGTCATAACCCGTTGGGAAGTCCGAATGGGACATGAGCCTACATATGGCTGCATGCATAAACTTCCGAAATCGATGCTTAAAAAATGTCATTATCCAAGTAGATGAACGTAAACATGGCCCAGCCATGCGTGGGACACGTGGATAATACACGTTTCGGCCGATCCACGCATTCGCGTAAAAAAGACATAGGTATATGAGAAACGTTTATTGCGAAAATAGCAGACGCATCAACAACGAAAGCTTAGTGAGACTAGATTAGTACACAGTTGGTGACTGCTCGGCCGCGCAGTGCACAGAGCCTACGAGCCAGTGCGCCGGGCCCACACGCGGCTCCGCGTCACAGTGGCTGCACGTCAGCTACACTCAGAACGAGCCAGTGCGCCGGGCCCACACGCGGCTCCGCGTCACAGTGGCCGCACGTCAGCTACACTCAGATCTGGCCGCAGACCTATACAGACCGGTCTGTGATCTGGCACAAAGGCATACTGTTAGAACAGGAACTTCTCGTATCAGTACACATCAGCTACCGCGGCTCTTGGCCAACATATTTTAACGCCTACATCAAATACAGCCAAACGGTTCTGGCCTGGTTAGAAAGCTGTTATGATCACGCTTAACTCACGTATAATGCGTATCGACTGGGAATATCGTGAAACTAGCTGTGATAATTCCACTTTCAGCCTGTAATACAGCTGCCCAGCTATCGGGAAAAGGCAGTACAGGCACACGAAGGCTGAGCATCACTAAATGCAGCGAACTATCACATAGGGTCAGCCGTCCGGTAGTCCGCTATAATACTTGGCGACTACCCATCCCGCTCCCCTCCTTGCGTCACAAAGACCATGGGGGCTGCCTCCTACCTCCCCAGATCTCTCATCCCGGCGGTTACTTGGCTGGACGACGCGACACCGTCCGGGCTCTCATAGACCGGGCCGAATTCGGGCTGTCCAGGACGACCCCGGCCGGCCAAGGGTATCGTCTTCACCGGTGGCTTTCTCATGGGTATTCGGTACAGCCTCTCTTAACACAGTAGTTTTGCATAGAGTGTTCCACTGCAGCAGCTGAGGCAACCGGCACTGCCCGGCTCGGGGTCGGTTAGAATTCTGTATATCCCACGATCTAGCATGCTCACCTATCACCGCAGACTACACTGAGCCACCCCTAAACGGCAGCCAGTGTAGCGGAGATTCAGCCAGAGTGAGCGTCACACTGCGTCACCTTCCGAGCGTCACACGGACACCCTCACGGGCGTTACGCTGGTCACTAGGACCGTGACGAGGCCACGCTGCCGGAGCGGACGCTGGCGCTCTCCTCATCTGTGGAGAGCAGGACGCGCACCAGGTGGCAACCGCGGCTCGACTCCTGCTTCAGAAAGTCCTCCAGAATCTGACAGAGAATGGTACAGCGTCAGGAATTGTAGAGTGGGCCAGATAGCGTTATACATAGAACACCAGAAATAAAAATGGAAGAAGTTACGAATGTTAGAGAGCGTCAGAAAACTCAAGAAAAAAATATCCGAGGACAGAATGAGAAGGAGTCAGGGCCGAAAAGGAATAACTGCTTACGAACCACGGCAACCGGACTATCGGCGAGTTGGAAAGGAGTCTGCATAGCCCGGATACGGTGGGCACGTTGTGATATTGTTACAGCAGTGCATTACATATCATTAGAGCCAGAGTAAAAACGCCCCACGGTATGTAACAGCTTGAACCGGGTATGTTAATCTGTGTGCGCCGACCAGTACTACCGCCCCGTCCCCGGTACGGAAGGAGCGCCTCCCTGACCCTGAGCCGCCGCTATCGTCCTGTTTGGACAGCAGTGGTATGCGCTGCGAGCAGAGTGGACGCTCGCTTCCGATAATCGGCGGACACCGGGCGACTATCTGCGGTGGCGCCCGAGGGTGGGCGGAGCTGCCGGAAGGCGCCAAGTGCCACACAAACAGCAAATGACATAGGAAATCTTAGATACATCCTAGTCAACAAATATTTGTAAAGCACAATGTGAAAATAAAGAAGTGTGTGAAATGTGGTTTTCAAACTGAATGGGATCAAACTGAAATGGGAGATGACTAAATAACAGCATAATGATTTAAGGATATGAGTGATAATCGACAACACATGATAAGCAAAAAGCAAACAAGTTAACCTCTGTTTACAAAAAAATGACGTCAATGATATGTCAACGTAGAATCTACAATCATGCAATACACCACCGCAAGTTCAATACCTAACAATATTACAGGTTCTGTTCCCTGAATCACACAAAACATTCGAGATAGGAACACTGCAAACTGACCGCCCCACATGGCAGTGTGAAATCGGCGAGACTTCACCGATTAAAGTGATACGCTGGCGACAGTCTGCTCGGTTTCAGATGAAGGTGCCGACCACAGACCACAAAGCCAGCAAAGCATCGACGAAAGCAACAGCAAAGGATTTACACCTTCTGGGGATGTATGGTGACGAATATCAGGGCGGTCAGAGTCCCATCAGAGTAGTAACACATGTCATGACTACCTCTTTCATAGCTCGCCTTGAATAACTACAGCCGTCTCCCTACTTCACAGTTCACACCCAATTGTGTATTGCGTTTCTTTCTGCCTTTTAGAATAATTTTCTGTCACCGACAACAGAATATACCTCAACATAGACAGGGCAATTGGTAAAGCCATCCCCCGTCGTTGCCAGTCACATCGCTGCCAGACGCCACAGCCTTTTAGTCGTCACTTCAGCAAGGGATCCACCCGCCTCTCTAGACCGCCCCTGGTCCCATCGTCCTTGCTCGTCACTTTAGGGCGTCCTCGTCCCTTTAAGTCGCCCTTGTTCTACCGGCCGCCCCCGCCCCTTTTGACCAACCCTGTCCTTAAGTCCACCCTTGCCCCTCCGTCGTCGCCGTTACCTGGTAGCTGAGCTCCTGGTCGAGAATGGCGCGCGTCTGGGCGTTGTCCATGCAGCAGGCCAGCAGTGTGGGGAACAACACCACCGTCAGCTGCGGGTCGCTGAAGTGCGCGAACGGCAGCGTCAGCAGCTGCTGCAGCACCGTGGGCATGTTGCCCTTCTGCAGCACCATCTGTGACAGGAGAGACGGAGCGGCGCGTCAGCAGCTGCTGCAGCACCGTGGGCATGTTGCCCTTCTGCAGCACCATCTGTGACAGGAGAGACGGAGCGGCGCGTCAGCAGCTGCTGCAGCACCGTGGGCATGTTGCCCTTCTGCAGCACCATCTGTGACAGGAGAGACGGAGCGGGGTGTCAGCAGCTGCTGCAGCACCGTGGGCATGTTGCCCTTCTGCAGCACCATCTGTGACAGGAGAGACGGAGCGGCGCGTCAGCAGCTGCTGCAGCACCGTGGGCATGTTGCCCTTCTGCAGCACCATCTGTGTGAGGGAAGGCGTGTCAGAAAACAGACTGGGTATCGGGCTGAAACGGAACGGGAAGTGGACGATGATATTGGCCGGTCATGAGGACCAAGTACACTGTACTACTGGACCAAGTACTCCGATTATTTTCACTGAGTTTTGCAAGCGAACAACTGAGCCTAAAGCACGTGCCTTCTGCTCGGCGCCGATCGCGGCCCCACCACGTGCACACCGCTGAACCCACACCCTCGAAAATTTAATACGACAAATGAGTGCACACGTCCGACTTGGCGTGAAAATTTCACCCCAGTAGCCCTTACCGTTCCCGAGCAATAGCCTGTTGCCGATTCTAGTGTAAACCCTATGGCACACCACGTGAGCACGCGCCACGGGCGCACCCCCGGCCGCATCGTGCCCAAAATGTTTAACGACCTGTTGAATCACGTGACCCACGAGTCGTCAAAAGTTCACCCTCGTGCGTCAATCGACGGCGCCGCAATAAGCGTTTTAGGGCGTAACCCCGACGGCGGCGGACTTTTTAGAATTTATAACGCGCCGTCCACGCGTGGACCCGAGCAGTGTTACCCGAGCAGCCGCGCCGGCGGCCGCTCGTACCTTGTGGTAATTATGCTGGTTACTTGGGCATTACCATTCCGTCGACTGCAAGTCCATCTGGTGATCGTTGAGTTAGCTAGGCGGCATTTGGGATAATGCTCAACCAATATGTGGTTTCTCTTCAACAAACTTCAACAAACATGCATTTTTCTTCAAATTATGGCCTTCCGAGCAAGTCCCCTGCACTTACTCACGTCTGAAGGTAGCAGTCGTATTTCATTAACGTAAGTAAATGTTCTATATGTACAGAAGCACCAAAACAATATCTCAATACGACAGGCTTATCCCATCGATACGTATTCAAATTAATAAATGGCCCTTCAGATAAGAGTCATTACTTATCAGATCAATACGCATACGCATAATCTTCAGATTATACGTAATCCTAGCCAACAAGGACTTTTTGCAGCAGACCCTTGAGAGGTAGGTGTGAGATCTAAGTGCAGACGATCACCAATCAATTTCAATATATAGTTAGTGAGTACTACACTCACCCTAATATCGACGCTCAAGGGTACTCGTCATACCCATTGATTTGCCATTGATTGATATAGCGCACATGTCAACCCTCATTCACAGGTTCTGACCACACGACCACATAAGCGAAGGTAGCGTAGTGTGGCGGTCACAGTCTCCACTGGGAAGCTCCGACTGCACCCCAGCAGTGTCGTATGGGACAGAACGCCGGTCAATGGATAGTATAGCCCTCGTAGGGTTGTTCAACGCACTTCAAATGCACAATGGGGCTGATACGGGCGGGGGGGAGGGGGTCAACCGACCGTCTGGCCTACTCCACAGCAGTGACCAGCGCACTCAGTCTACGAACTCAGCGTCCCGCCGCTTCCCAGGGCTGACCGACATGCGGGTGCAAACACAGACTTTCGCAACAGAAAAGTTACATATCGGAACAGTTTTCAGAAGCACATTGGAGAGTATAGTATCAGTTGACACCAGATAACGTCAAACACAAAAATAAGGCTTTGCTGATTGACGATTGACAATTCTTGCAAAGATTTTCCGACGTCAAGTGACACGCGATTTCGTATTTGACAGCACGCATCGACGAGCATATTTGCGTTGTCGTCATCTTATTTCGACCGGGAAAAGACATCACGAGCCAATCAATGCGTGTGATAATATGTACATTAGTGAGCTCACACGACTGCATTTCAAACGAAACCATTGACGTCAAACTGAGCACCCCCAGGGCGTCAATCCTGACACCTCCACAGTCGAGTCCGAGTGTCGGAATGCGGCCATTTCCGCGATTGCACCACTCGAAGGCACCTATCCGCCGCCGGGGGACATTGCAGGGCCGGGGCCGGGGTGATAGCCAGAGCGACATGCAACAACTCCTATCAACGTGTCACACTATCGGTCTTTAATCCCGTCGGAGACAGACCAGGGGCGGGGGCGGGGGCGGGCCACTCAGGATGCATGTTATGGTGAGCACCGTCGTATCACACAATCAAGTGATCAGTCAATACAAGTGGTGGATCAAATGTGACAGGTTACAACGTACGGAAATCATTGGCGATGAAGTAATCGCATTGCGAAAAAGATATTGTAAAATTTGACTGAAGTGTGACAATGAATTAGGAAACAGAATGGTACATCTACCCGAAGAAAATATTGGAAAACAAAACTGGTGCAATTAATTCCGAAACCTTTAAATGACCCTGAAAGGTCAGCAACATACCATTGTTTACGTATGTAATTAGCACAGTGACTGATCAGTGATGAATGTTGTGTTGTGTCGAGGGCGTACAATTGTGGCCATAAGACGATGGGGTCAGCTGGTGAAGCCTGATGTGCGATATAGGTATTGATGAGGGCTGATGCCTCTGTCTAGTTAGCGGGGTCGGAATACCTGCCTGTATGTGTCAAACATGGACCCACCTTCCTGCCTTTTTGTCCAACAGGGACCACAGCTGTCTGGCTGTGTACAGCAAGGACCCGTTTGTCTGTCTGCCTATCAGTCTGAGCAGGAGCCTGCTCTGAATGTGGCTGTCTGTCCGTCTATCCGCTGTGACCGCTCTGGCTGGGACCTCACCTGGTTGTCGTAGCAACGTGCGGCGAAGTAGCCGGCCGTCTGGATGACCAGGCGCAGCAGGTTGGGCTGCTCGTGGTGCGAGCAGTACCACAGCAGGTAGCTGGTGACGTGACGAAACTCCACCGAGCGGCCCTCGAAGCCCAGACATAGCTGGAACAGAGGCATATACACATTATAACCATCAAACCCCAGACAAACCCAAAACAGATAGACAGACATACAGACACGGTCCCCGAATCCCAAGCACAGCTGAAACATACAGATATGCATAGAGACAGACAGATACGGCAGGAACAAACAGACAGGTAGACATAACACAAACACTGCCCTCGAAATCCATCAGCTTATCAAACACATCCTCATGACACATCACATAAAAATCCGACTTTTTGCATCTACGAGTATAGTCTACACGCTCGGAGCACAGTACCCGTCCCCCCTCCCGTACACCCACTCTCCGTGCAATGTCTGATCCCTACCCTGCCTCCCTTGTCTCACACGGTCCCTCTCCCTTACCGGGACTCTAACTTTCCCTCCCTACGTCCCGGCTAGCCTCTGACCTGTACTCATCCCTCTGCTCAGTTATTCCACCAGCTTCTGTCGAACCCTTCTCCTGCCAATCCCTCGCCTAGTCTCTCGTTTCATCTTAAGCTCCATTTCTTCACGAAGAAGTCGTTCTGCCAATGCTCACACCTCGTTCGTCCCGTCCGCCCCTACCCAGTCCCGCCCGTCCCTGTTCCGTCCTCTGTTCCCACCGTCCCCCCTCCCTCCCCCGCTCGTTACCGCACCTGGAACATGTGCAGGTCGAGCTGCGCCAGCTGCAGCAGAGTGGACAGCGCCTCGGCGGCCAGCAGCACGGTGGCCTGGTCCAGCGGCGGCGGCGGCGTGCTGCGCCGCTGCGCCGGCGAGTGGTGGCGCAGCAGCGCGTCGTACAGCAGAGACACCACCCCGCACAGCTGGGTCACCTGCAGTGTGGCGATCAGACCGGTCCGGTCCAGCGGCTCCTTGCTCTGTGTGCTCTGTGGGTGTCTGGGGGAGGAGAGGGGAAGGTTAGAGAGACCGGGGAGAAGGGGAGGCAGGGAGAAAGGGAGGTTTGATATACCTGGGAAAGAGGAGGGAAGAGGAGAGGCTCTCAGTCTGCCTTATTTTGGTCTACATGATTTTTTGTTGCGTTCTTCGGTAGGCAAGATGGGGTCGGGTGTTTCCGTGAAAAGGCAGGCTGAAGCAGCGCAGCAGTGCGCACTTTGTTCGGTAAATTGCCCAATATAACTGAATTCTCATAACTGATCCGGGATCCCATAAACTAATCCCCGCTGCCGGTGGGCCCGCCCCATGGCCACCAGTGTTGACGACGGTCAGATCATGCTCCGATAGGGACGCCTCATAAAACGGACTGGCTTGCGAAACGATTAGCAAGCCCTATCAACCAACTTATCCACGACTTTGATCTAATGGTAAACACTCAGACTGCAACGTCTGGGGCACTGAAATGATGAAATACAGAAAAGTCAGATGTGACACACAGACAGAATTATATTGCAATGAGCTCTAATTTAGATAGTGAAATTGGACGGAATTTAAATTCTAAGCGCTAAAGCTTCAATGATTTTCGTGAAGAGTTTGGCCGTAAACATGAGAAGGTTGCGCTTTATTTACATTCAAAAGAAAAGAGAGGAATAAAATTCATTAGTGCTACTGTAAAATCTGTTGCTCATGTTAATCACATGTTAGCATAACATCCGATTGATATGCAAGGTTCGTGCTAAGAGTAAGATGATTTATTGACGAGGCGGGACATCGAATTATTCAGCCACCTATCACGATACTTGCATTAAAATGGACATTCAATCACCCTCAGGCAAACATTACACAGCAATAAATAGCGCAACATTAGGACTGAGTAGGGTCCGGTCTGCAGTACGCGTAGAGAAGTATGAAACTCGTTAGTCGTTAGCAGCACCTAACCGAGGGGTAGAAGAGACGGGGCGGGGGGGGGGGGGGGGTTGCGGACGGAGGCTCGACGGTCACAGGTCGGGCGAGGCCGGAAAACACAGAATTGATACAGCTGCCCGTTGGCCAGTCTGTCTGCCGTCAGAACCGTCATAAAAAGGAGGCTCGCCCTCCGGCCCGTCGCCCGTCGCCGGCGCCCAGGGGTGGGTTTATGGTCTGTATCGCAGTGCGTCAGCGGGCCCTGTGCTGACGTCTCCGGGTCGCAGCAGCGCGAGGGAACACCGCGCGACCCCGCAGAGGACAGGCAGGTCAGGGTACGGCGGCACGGCGTACAAGTCATGGGGCACAGGTCACATAACGTACGTCAAAGGCGCACATTGGACGTCAAAGGTCATGAAGGCTGTGTATCGAGGATGGAGAATTTCGACAACAGACGCAGAAGAAAACAGTATATCGTCCGGTGGGTTTCATATTTAGGAGAATATCTTGAGACCAAATCAACTCGGTAGGTATTTACGACACATGCTATTCAATAACAATGCGTGCTGTAACTGGAAGAGTAACAGTTATGACGTGCTGTAACTGGAACTGTCGATCCAAGCAGATACTTTCAAAAACACCATCAGTTTAGCCAGCGACGGGCACGGAACATTATAGCCCCGAGAGACGTCCAACATTTCTGCCCCAGACGTCAGCATATGCCAATTAAGAACAAAGCGAACAGCCTCACCTTAAACTGTCACTGTCCCCATGCCTTACACACGTAAGACGGGACCCTCTCCCGTGGAAAGGGGTGTCCCACCCCGCCACCCGCCTGACCTAGCAGTGAGCAGGGCGGCCATGGCCCGCAGCAGGCGCAGACTCTGGGTCAGAAAGTCGGCCAGGTGCGGCTCAGAGTCCGGCCCGCCCTGGACGCAGCTGAAGAAGGACGAGATCTTGTCCACGGTGCCCACACACACCAGGTAGCTGCCGAGAGACCAGTGGAAGAGTGGAGGTCAGTCACGGAGACGGCGAGAACAAAACACTGCATTATGACTTCCTCTTACCGGCAGCGCTGAGCTAGCTGAGCAAGGAGCTATTCTAGGAGCTAAGAGCTATCGAGAAACTATTCTATGTATTTTATAGTTATGCATAATCACTATATATCCTAGCAGAGCAGTCATCTATACGCGGAGGAGTGAGCTTAAATTATTGTGGTCATGTCGCTGCGTTCCTCTTGCGTGAGTGAGTTCAATTTCATTACTTTATTTTGTATGCGCGCCCCATATATAACAGTTCGGCCTAAGGCCCACATAGTAACATCCGAACTACCTGGCAACAAGTTTGGCCTAGTTTGGACTCTTTGACCTAGACCCACCTCGCCAACACCCGTGATTCGGTCCTTTTAAGGCATGCTAGTAACAGATTTAAAACCGGTGCACGATAGCTCGGTGACTCAAGATGCCGCCGATTTCACGCCATAAACAACGCTAATAAACGAATAAAAACAGAGCCAGCCTATCAGTGAGCATACCGCCATCGAAAGACGCTGTTCCAAGAGTCTGACCTGTGCACACAGCTATTGTCAAGGGTTATTGGTACCTGAACTCTGGCTGAACGACTTCTCAGAGCCATCAGCTTTTAATTAGCGTCATTGGATAGTGCAAAACCGGCGGCCATTTCGATAAATGCTACAGACGGAACAAACAATCCGATATCGAATCAAATAAGCGCAAAATAAGCCGTTGCGGAATGTTCTGTAGCCCTTTCGTCGCTAAGCCCAGCAATATACAACTATCAGCTGAATGGGGGGCCCGGGCCGCGAGCCTTACACCAGAGCTGAATGGGGCACCCGGGCCCCGCAGCGGTGCCTGATTTATGGGTTAAATGCCATGTTTATCTACTAACCGGTATTTAACAACTTGATAGGTGCAGATAATTATTACAGCTTAACATGACAAAGCTGCTGGGTTTAAGGCCGACCCACCGACAGGATCAATTGCATCAGAAGAAAAACAACTATGAGGAAACAGCTAACGTCCAAATACCTCAACTAGACTGCATGAATCATTTCCAATGATATGATACAACTCGCCTCCCCTCGCCAAAATCCAGTCAACCAACTTATCCACGACTTTGAACTGATGGTTAACAGACTGCAAAGTGCAAGTCTGGGACACAGAAATGATGAAATACAGGAAAGTCAAAATCCAGCCAACAACAAATAATCCCGGGTACCCCAGTTAATCTAGAGCCACACCCCACTCTTGCGGCGGGGTGACACGGCCGAACTACGTCCCGGTCAGCTCAATCCCCCCCCCCCCGGAGGCAGCGGCGGGAGGGGGGCTGTCGACCCACCTGCAGACGTCCTGCAGCAGCGCCCAGCGCTGGTGGGACAGGTCCGGCCCGGTGAGCGCCGACAGAAGCGCAGAGGTGAGCTGCATCAGGGCGGCCGCGCCCGGGTCGCAGCGAACGCCGCCGGACGCCGCGCACGTGGACGACAGACGGGTCAGCCTGACGGGGAGGGGAAGGTAGGTCAGGTCAGGTCAGGCGAGGGCATGACACATGTAAGCGAAAGCCGAGTGAACCTGACGGAGGGGGAAGGTCAGGTCAGGTCAGATGTGGAGTCGCGATATTATAATAAGTATGGCAAGCGACAAGCCCGGAGCCTGGTCACTGAGCAGGAAGAGCAGTGCCATCTCGGCATAGGTCAGAGTCACAGATCCGTCCGATCAGGTCGTAGCAGGACAGTGTCAGCCCGATAGAGTCACAGGTGCTAGGTCGCGTCGAACGGCACCCGCACGGAAATCTGTAAGGCGAAGTTAACTGGATAGGGACACCACTGGTCATCACAGAATATCTGGCAACATCAGCCACGATCGATTGTGCTCCCCTTCCATCTCCAAAATCCAGCACAAAAATACAGTCGTGCACACATTCCCTCTAGCGTAGAACAATAGCTCCGACAGACATCCCATCGACCCCGCCCCCGGCCGCTGTCAGACCGCCCAGAGTCTCGCGCTCGCCCTCCGTCCCTCACCGTGTCATGAGCAGGTCGAGCGCAGCGCCCACCATGTTGCTGTTGATGACGTGAAGGCAGTTGTCGGCACTCTGACGGCAGGCGGCCGCCAGGGTTCGGCTCACGTTACTGACCGTCCTGTGAGGACGGAGGTCACGGGTCAGGGTGAGGGTCAGGGGGAGGTAAGGGTCAATCACTCCAGTGAGGGTCCCTGACCCCTAACAGTCAGTTCACGGTGAGGGGTCGGGTCAGGATGACGGTCAGGGAGAGTCGGAACAGAGCATCATTGGGTCAGGGTCAGGATCACAATATGAGGCGAGACTGGTTAGAAATTCCGAGGAGAATATAAGGCATCAAATCTAGAGGAGGAGCAGCTAATCATACAGTAAAAGGGTGAAAATATGGCACTGTAATAAGCTCGAGACATAATGAAGTATCAAGACAGCTCCAACATGCAGAGTCTGATGTTTAGCCATAGCACAGGCACCGGCACCGTCCTACCCAACATTCCTCGGGCTGCCGAGCCCGGCTCACTCACCGGGCGGGCACGATCTCGACGTCTTTGGCCAGCTCCTCCTGGATGAGCGCGATAATATCCGAGAGAACCTGGAGTCCGCCGGCGGCGCATAGCGAGAGCTGGTCGGCTGAGATCTGCCGCAGGGACAGGTAGGTGGGGGTCAGAGCACCGCGAGACCACCGGCGGCATACAGAAAGAGTTGGCCGGTAGCGATCTGCAACGGGGCAGGGGGTGGGTGGGAGGGGGGTTAGAACACAGAAAGGTGTGGTTAAAGCACTGTGAGACTGGGATTGGAACACTGGAGTTAGAGCATCGGAAGACCAGGAGCTGGTCGGCCGCAGTCTACCACAGGGGTTTGGAGACAGTTACAGGGAATCTAATGGCCGTATTCAGCTCCGTAAAAAATACAGCTCAAGCACTCTTTCCTATCCCCCTACTCCACACCACTTAATCCCCGGCGTCACGTCTTACCCCCTTGTCTAGGATGCGCAGCATTTCGCCGAGCGTGCGGTCGAGCGCCGAGACAGCTGCGTTGGGCCACGGCCCGCGGCCCTGGCCGGACACCACCTTACTCAGGTCCTTCACACACTTGGTGAGCTTGGCGCGGTGCGGAGACTCGACCGGCGCCGGGCGAGCCTGGCTGCTGCGGGTGTACTCCTGCTGTCTGCAGGAGGAGGGGAGGGGCGGCGGTCAGCGAAGGAGGAGAGGGTCTGACACCGAACAGGGAGAAAAGTCAGGGATGGGGTAAGCATGAGAGTGGGCGAGAGCGGACCTGAAACCGAGGGAAAGTGAGGGGAGGACTCTGTGGCAGGGACGGATTATCCAATCATAACCGAGGTACGGACGGATATATCATATATCCAGCGACTCTGGACTCGCTAGAATATCCATTGTTTATGGCATCGCTAGGGTTTTGGTCTGCCTCGCACCGATTCAACAGCAGACGTTTGACGCTCATTCATTATTCAATGTTGTTAATACACGTCGCGCCACAACACAATGTCGACAGCCCGGTTACAAACGACATCCCAGCTTTTGAAACCGCAGCTGTTATCCTGATAAAATGTTAACAAGTGGAGCAAAGCTGTGGGTCGGCATCAGCGGAGATGAGCAGTCCAAGCTATGCTCAAGCAGCAAGAGCAAACATGTCAGCATTGGAAACCAGACTGGAGGAACTGGCCGTGACTGTAAAGTCAAGCCTAGCCCGCGCCCTGCTGGGGGGGGGGGTGTTTGAACACCCCCCCCTTGTGGTTTTTCGCGAATATCTCAAAAACGGCGGCGCGGAGCGCCGCCGTTTTTGGTACACCTTATCATACATCAATTCTACACATGTTGTGAAAATTTCAGACCAAGGTCATTCAAGGTCAGGTCACCAGGTCACTTGAAGTGACCTCACCTCATAAAAACTTTCAATGTCTGTCATAGCTACACCGAGTGACCGATCGCTTTGAAACTTTCAGCGATTGCTAAGAGCAATAGCATGTACAAAATGTATATCTCAGAATTTTGATATCGATGACCTAAGGTCAGGTCAATTTTGCGACCTCCCCATTATAAGTCAATGGGAGAAAATTGAAATGCGCCTCTTTTGGATGAAAGACATTATAAACACTCCCAAACACCGAATTATAAGTGGTTTAGACACACTGAACTTGAAAATGGTGTCCGTGACCCTTGTTTATGCCCTGAGGTCATCTTAGGTCACGAATGGTATCTAACAGTTTTTCGCAAATAACTTTTGATAGAGGCATGCTAGAGCGATGAAAACGCCTTAGATGTGTTCAGCTCGACGATACGGATCGACTGATATGCAACATGACCCTTTCCGGTCAGGTCATGACCTTGACCTGAGGTCAAATTTTCAAGTTGACCTTTCAAGGTCAAGTTATAGTTCATTCGATGCGTCTTGACGAGAGGAACACGATGCCGGTAAAAATAAGCTCGTACAAGGCTTGGGTCAAAAGTTATTGCAGAAAAATTGTTTTCCAAAAAATCGGCTATTTTTGCAGTTTTTTCCCCCTGCAGGCAAAACCGTTGACGTTAGGTCAAATCTGAGACAATTACTCAGAAAGGGCGTTAATAGGGCTATCGAATGCGCTTTTCCGCGGCGCTGTAGCTCTATTGGTTCCCGAGTTATGCGTTGGCTTCTTGGAAATTTTCGACATTCGACCTGGAAATCGGCGAAATTTTGCCTTCAATGACCTCTGGTGACCTGACCTTTGACCTGACCAAAAAATTGACCGAAGTGATTTCGTCATTATTTTTGACGCTCTTTCGAACGCCGCCTTCCGCGTATCGCTACGTGGCCCAGGAGCCGAGTTACAAGGGGGGGGGTGTTCAAACACCCCCCCCCCCAGCAGGGCGTGGAAATCCAGGACCCCCAGCAGGGCGCGGGCTAGTAAAGAAGGACACAACCGATACCAGAGCCCTGAAGAAAGGACTGACTGAACTAGAAGACATTGAAAACAGAAAACTAAACTTGGTTGTTTTCAACCTCCCCGAGACCGGCAGCAGCGAGGGAGACATTGCAGCATTCAAAGAAATGATCAAGTCTGAGTTCAAGTTATCTGTGAAGTTACAGGAGGCCACAAGACTTGGAAAGATGAAAGACACAGGCTCCAGAATACTTAGAGTGAAACTCGAGGCACTGAGTGAAAAGAAGCTGATCTTGGCTAAAGCGAAGGATCTGCGAACAAGCCGTGATGAAACATATACTAGTGTCTTTATCCGTCCAGATCTTACAAAATGCCAACTTGAGGCTTCAAAAAACTTGCGAGCACTATTGCAGGAAAAACGCCTAGCTTTCCCAGAAAAGAAATGGATGATAAAACGGAACGAAGTGGTCATGGTTCCATCACTGCAAAGCTAAACATCCAAGATGGCACGAAAACAACCGGGCCCCCAGCACATTCAAGTGCGTTAAAAGTGTTTTATGCGAACATCGATAATTCTATCATGAGTAAATACGACTCTATTTTGGCACTCATTGCACTTGAGGACTACGATGTTCTTGCGTTATCAGAAATGAAGCCCAAAGTTGGATTGATACCTGAACATACTGTTATGGAAGTGCCTGGGTATGACCTTTTTACTAGCAAATTTTCTGCCGAAGGTACAAGGGGTACGGGAATTTACGTCAAGAAAAACTTACTGGCCAAGCAAGTGTATCCTACGGTGGGCGGCAACTTTCAAGATTGTACCTGGATTTCAATTGGTGCCCAGGCTGGGGTCAGTATGCTCGTTGGGGTGATCTATAGAAGTGGGTCACCAAATAGAGCTATTCCTTTGGATCATGATCTCCACAAAATGTTTGGTTGGGCGGCATCCTCAAATCATTCCCACAAAGTCATAGTTGGGGACTTCAACCACCCAGAAATATTTTGGACCCCGGACCCCGAAGTTCCAGAAGGTGTCAGCCAGAACAGCCCAGCCCGGAAGTTTATAGAATGCATACACGACACCTACCTTCTACAACATATAACGGAGCCAACAAGATACAGGGATGGACAGCGAGCTACTCTCGACGACCTACTATTTACAAATGAGCGGGAGTTGGTTGAGCAACTCAGCATTGGTGACCCGGTTGGAGCAAGCGACCATGTCAGCATCTCATTTGTTATGTCGTTTGCACCAAAGGCTCCAGCAAGAAAGAGTGCGGTGCTGAACTACCATAAAGCCAATTATGAAGATATGAGGGAAGCACTTAACATGGATTGGCAAGGATTGTTTGAAGGTAAATCTGTGCAGGAGATGGCAGATAAACTTGAACAAACGATCGCGGATCTGATAGAAGAGCATGTGCCCAAGGTTGATCCTAACAAAAAATCGAAAAGGGGATATCCCCTCTGGATGAATCGAAATGCTCTGAGAATGGTGAAGAAGAAACAGCACGCCTGGATTCGTTTTTTGAACACTAAAGATGTCTCTGATTACCAGAGCTATGTTAAGGCAAGAAACGAAGCTACTCACGCGACAAGGAAAGCAAGGCGGGAATTTGAGTCGAAACTGGCTAAAGAAGTAAAAGGTAACCATAAAGTGTTTTGGAACTACGTCAACCGCCGTAGGAAGTCGAGATGCGGTGTATCTGACTTACGCAGTGCTAATGGAGAACTCACGAGTAATGGCAAGCACAAAGCTGACATATTGAACCAGCAATACGCGAGCGTGTTTACAAAGGAGGACGTATCATCAATTCCAACAATAGCATCGAAGCCCTTGGAGTCAGAGATGGAAGTTACAATAACTGTTCAGAGAGTTAATGCCATGTTGAAGACACTTAAGGTCGATAAATCACCAGGCCCGGACAAGTTACACCCTCGTGTATTACAGGAACTTGCAGACCAGCTTGCGCCACCTATCACGGCATTATTTAGAAAAAGCGTTGAAACTGGGGAAATTCCCCTGCAGTGGAAGCTGGCGATCGTCACACCGATCTTTAAGAAGGGTGACAAAAGTGATCCTGCAAATTACCGACCAGTTTCATTGACATCAATACTATGTAAGCTTTTGGAGAGGATAATTGGCGAAGACATCATTACTCACCTGAAGGCAAATAACTTTATCGCTCATCAACAGCATGGCTTCATCACGGGAAAATCCACGGTCACAAACCTACTGGAAGCACTTGATGTTTGGACAGAAGCGCTTAGTCACAAGTTACCTGTGGATGTTGTATTTTTAGACTATGCCAAAGCCTTCGACACTGTGCCCCATGAACGGCTTCTGGCCCAGGTCAAGGCTCTGGGAGTCGATGACGTAACATGCCGATGGATAAGGAGCTTCCTCACTGGCAGACAGCAGAGGGTGAAAGTAAATGGATCGCTCTCAGATTGGGGGAATGTAACGAGCGGGGTGCCACAGGGCTCAGTCCTTGGACCTCTCTTGTTCTCTATGTTTGTTTGTGACATTCCCGACCTGTTAAATTGTTTCATTTCCATGTTTGCCGACGATACGAAAGTCTATCAAGTCGTCAACGAGTCTGATGATTCAAATGGCTTACAAGAGGACATAAACTCTATACAGGATTGGGCAAGAATAATGCAGATGCTATTCCATCCACTGAAGTGCAAGGTCATGCATCTAGGATCAACTAATCCTGAAAAAGAATATACTATGACTACTATAGACGGAGACAATCACACTCTGGAAGCAGTCAGTGAAGAAAAAGACCTAGGAGTTACTATTGACAAGAAACTATCATTCTCAAAACATGTCATGAACCAGGTTAACAAGGCCAATAGAATTCTCGGAGTCATCAAAACATACCTTTGCAAACATTGACAGTGATGTCTTTCAAGCCTTGTACAAGAGCATCGTGAGACCCCATCTTGAGTATGCCGCTGTTATATCGAGCCCCAAATTTAAGAAGGATAAAGACGCACTCGAGCAGGTGCAACGGCGGGCAACGAGACTGGTGAAGGGGCTGTCTCACCTGTCATACTCAGATCGTCTCAGAAGCCTCAATTTGCCTACCCTTGAATTCCGAAGGCAAAGATCAGATATTATCGAGACATTCAAAATCTTAAAAGGCTTCGACACGGTGAACTACCAAAGAGAGTGCTCGTGTTGTCGCAACAGCATGTTCAAGAACTCTCTTAGCCGTACCACCCGAAGTCATGGTCAAAAGCTGCAGGTTCAGCATCAGTTGGGACCTAGGAAAGCCTTCTTCGCGGCACGAGTGACTCGGGCGTGGAACAAGCTGTCTAGGAACACTATTGAAGCACCAAATGTCGATGTTTTTAAGTTCAGACTTGGGAAAGAATGGAAGGACCACCCCGACAAGTTTAACTACAACTTCTCCTACTAATGCTCAAGAGTGGCTACTCATCGTATTAACAACAGTAGCTACTGTCACTAACAACAGTGGTCGTCATTTTATGGCGACAACAAGCATGGCAGCCAACTCGTCTTCATCAGAAGAGGAGGAGGCGCCTCTTGAGTAAAGGGTCTTATTACTCGAAAGGGTATCTAATGACCTTTACTTAAGGTAAATACTTAAGGTAAATAAAACAGTATCAGTAGTCAGTACCGGCATTACGAATGAGCACAGAATGAAATAAAACAAGACATAATTGTCTTAATATTCAACATCCCTCCAACATCCCATCCGCGTCGGGCACCCACCTGGCCACCATGCGCGCCTTGATCTTCTTGCAGCGTTTGCGGAGCGCCTTGTGTCTCTCCTTGTCGAATGTCATGTTGATGATCTGGTGCGGCGCGGCGTCGGTGATGTGCCGCAGGTTGTAGAGGAGCAGTTCCTCGCCGGCCAGGTCGGAGCCGGCGGCGGCGCGCACCGCTTCCTGGTGCTGCCGGCCGCGCAGGTGGGTGAGCAGGTACACCTCCGAGCCGATCTGAAACAGACGGGGGAAAAGTAGTGTCAGCGGTACACCAGATACCAGGTGAGCAGATACACCTCCGAGCCGATCTGAAACAGACGGGGGAGAGGGACAGAGTCAGACCAGCCGCGGTCGTGGTTGAGCAGATACACCTCCGAGCCGATCTGAAACGGACGGGGGAGAGGGAGGGAGTCAGACCGGCCGCGGAGGTGAGTGAGCAGGTACACCTCCGAGCCTATCTGAAACAGACGGGAGAAGGTAGTCCTGGTAGTGTCAGCGGTATACAACCAGATACCAGGTGAGCAGGTACACCTCCGAGCCGATCTGAAACAGACGGCAGAAGGTAGTGTCAGCGGTACACCAGATACCAGGTGAGCAGGTACACCTCCGAGCCGATCTGAAACAGACGGCAGAAGGTAGTGTCAGCGGTACACCAGATACCAGGTGAGCAGGTACACCTCCGAGCCGATCTGAAACAGACGGGGGAGAGCGAGGGTGTCAGAACAGCAGGTACACCTCCGAGCAAATCTGAAATAGACAATGAGAAACGGGGTAGAACACTGTGTCAGAGCAGCCGGACAGGGAGAGAGGACAGTGCCAGGTTAACAGGAGTAACTCCAAGGCAGTTTGTGCGCTCAGCCGGGCAGGGACGGGGCAGGTCTAAGATAAACTGGGTTCGCTCAGTCATCACGCCACTTGACTGATCACATCCTGATTGTGCGCAGACGCAGGCTATCCCTATCCTCCATTCCCGCTCACTCCCCCTGACCTCCCCGTCCCCGTCGCCCCACTGACCAGCACGTTGCAGAGTGTGCACATTTTCTTGGTGTCGTAGGGCGCCAGCTGGGCGGCCGTGTCGTCTCCCCCGGCCGCGGCGCTGCGCACACTCAGCTCCAGGGCGCGCTGTCGGATCTGCACCATGTTCTCCTCGTGGCGCCGCGCCGACTCCTCCTGTTTTTGTTGGATGCGCCGCTGCAGCTCCTCCGTGTTGGCCTGCTGCGCGGCGTGCAGCGCCGAGCGGCGCTCGTCCCGGTCCCTGACGAGGAGCAGAGGAAAGCTCAGCCACTGCCATAACGGAGGGTGGTCAGTCAGCGTCTGCCGCGGGGAAAGACAGCACATCGGTCAGTTCATCAGTTGCTGCCTACCCGGTGTAGAGGCGGACGCTAATGCAACATATTCCAACGTCTTAGCTTCTTGCTTTTTTATGGCTAAACCTGACATGATAACAATCCTTATTCTTCCCATCCAGTAAGAGCAATCAAATGATTCCACATGCATCCTCCCCCCCCCCCTCCGCCTCTGGCACCCACCGCTGTTTCTCCCTGGCCATTTCGAGTCGCTCCTTCTCCTTGTCCCGCTGCTCGCGGTGGATCCGCTCCAGGCGCTCCTTGCGCTTCTGTCTGAGCTCCTCCAGTTTGACGCGCCGCTCCTCCTCCAGGGCACGGCGTTTCTCCTCCACGGCGGCCTCCTTGGCGGCCTTCTCCTCCTGCCGGCGCTGGCGTTCCTCCTGGATCCCGGCCAGACGCGCCTCCTGGGTCTGGGGGTGGACGGGGTATATGTGAACGTAAAGGACGGGGCGACGAGTCACCTACCCAGGTAACCTGGGTCTGAGGATTGGACGAACTACGTGAACGGGCGTGACGGTGCTGGCCCCTTCTGGATCTGAAGATGGGTACACGTGAGTCGTGCATAGGACTGCCACAGAGTGGTGTAAATAAGGTACTAAGGAACATACTGCGGTTGTGAGTGAGTTATAAAGTTAGATACGACCTTTTACTCCCTCCCCGCGGCCGCAGGCGCCCACCTGAATTTGCGAGTAGAACTCGTGTCGTTTGTTCTTGGCCTCGAGCTCGTTGATGAAGGCGATCTCCTTGGCCTTCTCCTCCTCGTCGTGGGCGCGGCGCACGATGTCCTGCAGGTGCTTACGGCGCTTCTCCTCGGCGCGGGCCATCTTCCGCTCCAGCATCAGCCGGCGCTGCTCGAGCAGCTGCTCCTTCTGCTGACGCACCTCCTCGATCTGACGGGTGAGGCCAGGGTAAGGGCGTGTGAGTGGTGCGGGGTGCGGGTGGTAAGGATGGCGGTAGGGGGGGGGGGGAGGCGCAGAGACCGAGCATATCAAATCGAGCATGGCTGTGCGACGGCAATGCACGATAGTTCTATCTAAAACAACACCGAAATGCGTAATGCAGCAGTCAAACAGGGTAACTTCAGCGCTCCTTGCGATTATCGGCAGCATCGCCTGTTCACCTAAACGGTTCAAGCCTAAGCAGCTCGTCCCCAGCCCAATCACCTGGCTGTCCCCAGCCCGATCACCAGCCCGCCGCCCCCCCCCCCCTACCCGATCACCGCCTTACCTTGATGCTGATTTCGCTGAGTTTCTGCGTCTTGCGGTCCATGAGTGTGCGTCTCATCCTACTGGCTTTCTGCTGTCGCTCCTGGTGCAGTCGAATGGTCTCCGAGAGCGCCTTCTTGCGGCTCGGCGAGGAGAGCTTCTCGTGCATCTGCAGGCCGCGGCCGGGCGTGCGGCTGGAGAGCTCCTCTAGTTCCTCCAGCAGGTCCATACGGTCACCCCAGGACAGACCTGGAGGGTGGGGTCAGAGGTCAAAACAGGTCCATCCAGTCATCCCAGGACAGACCTGAAGGGCAGAGGGTAGTGGTCAGGTCACAACGGGTCCATCCGGTTACCCCAAGACAGACCTGAAGGGTAAGAGATAGTGTCAGGTCACAATAGGTTCGTCCGGTCACCCCAGGACAAACCTGTCAGCGGCAGCGGCGGAATTAAGGTCTCAAACGCAGCACACCAGCAAACTGTCACTGATCTTGCTCACAGCTCACACCCACCCCAACACACCGAGTCAGAATCGTGCCAGCGACTGTCCGCTCCCATCCTCCCCCTCCACCCGGTACTCACTGTCGAGCTCTGGCGCGTACTGGTCCTCGATGAGACTGCGGCTGGGCGGCTCGGTCGGGCCGCCGTCCCCCTCACACTCTGTGTCGATCGAGGTCGAGTCGCCGTCCGTCTCAGTGTCCACCTGAGAGGGGTAGCGAGGGACGTGAGCGGAAGAGTCGGGAAAATGACATGGCAGGTGATTTGAATTCATGTGGCTAAGAAATGGTCCGTGACTGGTGACTTAATGTCGCACTGACCATAAGATACAATACAAATACTAGGTACGCGTATAATTCCTGATAGGCTACTGGACATGTTATTCCTATCGTCACTCTTCAGGAATGACTAAGTCATTTATAGCCCGCCGTACCGAGTATCCACTCTCTTCCCTCGTCCCGCACCCTCACCTCGATGACACAACTCTCCGTCTCGGCCAGCTGCTGCTCCAGGTGCCGTTCAGCCACAATGGCCGACTCGAGCGCCCGCTCCGCCTGTACCATCTCCTCGTCCACGCTGTCCTCATCCAGCTCCGGCGAGGTCAGGTCGCGCGCGGAGGTCAGGGGGGACACGACCGCTGCAGGGGACGGAGCAGAGGTGGGGGAGGGCTCGGTGGGGATAGAGATGGAGAGCGCGGTGGCAGCGGTGGTAGTGGCTGTTGTGTTGACTGTCGTATCGATGGCAGTGACGGTGGTGGTTTCGGTGACGGTAGCGTCCGTTATGGGTGCTGTGACCGTTATTCCTCTCTCTGTAGTAGTTGTGGGGTTCGTTGAGCCCTTATTGGCAGTAGAGGCAGCGACAGACACTGTTGTTGTTTCCGCCCCGCCAGCGGTGACCGTTGAAACAGCTGCCGGCGTGGGCTCTAGAGTCCCGGAAGATGGCGCCGACACGTCGCTCAAGTTCTGACGGACGTCGGAAGGTACTGTCGAGTCGCCACGACTGGCGTCCAGCATCCTGAAACCAAAACGAACCCAAATGACTGTTATACCTGTTCACATGTACATATTTTTTCTTATTATAATGGTAGCAGGGGATGTGATTCGAATTCTGCTTGGTGTAAATTCTTGAGTCGTTTTATAAGAATGCATGGCATACATAACTAATTGAAGCACCAATTCCAAAACCTTACTACACGAACACCGCTCCAACTTACCTTCGCTCGTCTGCGCTCGTTCCGTTCGACCCCGCCTTTCCCCCGGCCGCCACCGCCGGCGCGGGCGCCTCGCCTCCTCCGCCCGCGGTGCCGGGCACCCTCTCCCGGGACCTCCGGAGCGCCGGGCTGTCGGGAGGCGGCGGCGGCGGGGGCGCGGCGGCGCGGGCGGCGCCCCGTCCGACGGCCGCCCGGCGCGCCACCCGCTCACTGACGCCGCTGGGACGGCGCTCGGCCCGCTCCACCGCCGGCTGGCCGGCCGCGGCCGCCAGGGAGGGCAGCGACACGGCTGAGGTGGGCTGGTGGAACCGGGCGCGGGCGCTGTACGGCCGGCCGCCGCCGCCGCAGGCCGCCTCCGCCGAGCCCTTACGCTGCCGGCGACAGGGTATAGACGTGTTAAGACAGGAACACAACATAATGGGAGCTCGTAACAGCAAAGTCACCAGCCGAAAAAACGCCTAGAAATGACGCAGTGACTCGATCCAAAGCTCACCCACACCCTTTAGTACCTAATTAGTTAAGTGTGTAGTGTAATCTGGGTCTTACCTGTAGTGGCGCCCTGACCTGAACCTGGTTCAGGGAGGACAGCCGGGACCGGGACCGACTCTTGACCGTCTCCCAGCCCCCGCCGTCATCTGGAACACGCAGATCGGGCCATTATTTTGGGAAAGAGAGCCGGACCGGCGGAAGGGCGACGAGGTAGGTTTGAAAATAAGGTCTGATCGAAATAAGATCCGGCGTTTACGTGATGCACATTGGATATAAGCATTTCATGGCGTCGACGAAAACAGTGATTGAGGGCACAAGCATATTGATTGTAGCAGCATTTCCCATTGCGTATCACTATCGACATGAGAGCACTCTCCACCTCCCCAGCCCTCTGATCAGCTGACCCAAGGCTATAGCAGACCGTTGCACCTACCGTCGGAGGGCGCGGCGGGCACGGTACCGGAGGCCGGGTCAGCAGTCTCCACCGCGGCGGAGGCGGCCGCGGGCCCGGCCAGCGCGGCGTGCGGCGGCGGCCCGGCCGGGGCGGCCACCCCGCGCACCCGGTCCGCCCAGCTGTGTCCCGAGGAGGAGGCCGTCGAGCTCAGTGACGAGTTGGAGCGTGACTTGACGCAGCTCGAGTACAGCTGGGCAGGCGACGGGCGCGGCTCCGCGGAGCACACGGTGGCTGAGCGCTGCAGGGCGGCCGGCCCGCCGCGGCCCGGGCCGGCGGAGACGGGACGGCCGGCGGCGGCGGCAGCAGCGCGACCCACTGCCGCAGACCGCACCACGGGCGGCGGACCAGCGGCACGGGACGCTCCGCCGCGCGCCGCCCTCCGAGCGGCCAGCCCCGGCCGCTCCGGGCGGGTGGCGCTCACAGCGGAGGAGACCGCAGTGCCCCGGCCCGCCGGCTGAAGACAGAAGGCAAGGGTTACATAAGGAAAACGAAAATAGCTTTCACCGTCACACGATCCTGATAAAAAGCAGAATTTCATTATTTGGATAGCAGCCAGACACACGATCAACATAAAAAGGCAATTAACAAGCACAGGAACTATAAGAAACGATAAGCGATAAAAATATGAAGTCGCCTTTGCAGAATTATAACGTTATAACTGCAGACCAGGAGCAGTCCAGCAGCTAGCACATTTTCCCTCCCGCCGATCTCTGACCGCTGTTCCCGGTGTAAACCCCTGCTGCCGTCGCCGCTCTCACCTGAGTCGGTCCCGGTCGGGTGGGCGCCTTCTGTTCCGTCCTGCCCGCGGCGCCGGCCGCCGCTGAGGCCGGACGGGTCGCCGTCCCGCGCCCTCCGCCGCGGGGTGAGACCCCGGACCCGGTGCGGCTGGAGACGCCCACCGAGGCGGCGGCGCGCCCTCCCCGGGCCCGGGCCGCCGTCCGCGCGCGGGTCGGCTTCGGCGCGCCGTCCTGAGTCGTCTCCGACCCTGTCACCGGCTGAGACGGGGGCTGGGGCTGTCGAGGCGGTGGTGAGCCGCGGGAGGGCCTGTCTTCCACCCGCTCCGCCTCCGACTCGGCCGGCGGCGGGGGCGGGGCCGGGGGCGGGGGCGGTCGCGCGGTGTCCGCCGGCGTCTCCGGCGAGCCCATGGCCGATCGGAGCGCCTGCTCCAGGTAGCGGCCGACAGCGGCGTCCGGCTCGGCGCGTACGCTGCCGGACGACACCGAGTCGGGCCGCGAGTGACGCTCCTCGAACGCCAGCTGTTTGCGGCTCAGTTCCCCGACCAGCCGGCGCTCGACTAGCGCCATCGGCAACTGCTGCCGACAGCGGCCGGACGTCAGGTGGATAACCGGGGAATGTCAACGCCGTACCGTTACACGAGTGATTACCCGGGAGCATCAGCGACAGAGCCGACCGTCAGACGCGCTATAATTGGGAATCGTCAGCGGCAGCGGAGACATATTATTACACGGGGAGCTTCAGCGGTACCGGCGAACCGTCAGACATATAATAAATAGGGAGCGTCACGAGTAGACGTGGAGACACATAAAATAGAAAGCTCCTAGCAGTCGGTGTGGGGACAACCTTACATGATCGTCCTTGCGCACTATGTCGCTTCCATACATGTCGGTAACAGGCAGCCGCGTTGGGCGCGTGTCTAACCGACCTTGCCGGGCGACGTTTTTCGGATCTCCCAGGCCACCGAGGCGGGACGCTGCGGCTTCGGAGTGTGGTCGTACTCCCACTTGATCTTCAGCCACTCGATCAGATTTCGGAAGTCCTGGGTGCATCGCTCCAGGATCATTATCGTTTCCTGGAAATAAGCCAAACACACTGAATACGGGTCGGCGCGGCTGGTTTAAATTTTCGTAGATAGCCGCTCTCCGGGCCGATTTCATCAATCGGTGACATGACTAATGACGACAATTCCGACACCGGTGCAAGTTAGTGGAAAATGCCATAGGAGGGGTTCACAAGGCCAGGTGTAGTCGGATGAGGGAAATACGTATTTGTGGGAATGACGAATAGCGGAAGACAGAAGAACACATATGCCAATAAGGGTACGATGATTCGCCAGCGCGTGGAATAAAATTGATGGGGGAAAATATGCGTGGACGGTGAAAATGGAACTGCAGACGAAAAATTGCGAGGACCGGTTAATACGAGAAAAAATGCGGTAACGAAGAAGTGTCGATATGATAAACGATTTTGTGAAACAAAATGTGATACGGAGACATGCGGCTGCCGGCGTCAATTTTAGGTACATACGTGGTAGAAGCTTTCACGAAATGCGCCGATAACCTCGGTCCAGCTTTGCACACCCCATACCCCCCCCCCCACACACACACCAACTCCTACACACACATTAACGCAGTACTCACCTTACACTCGAGCACGCTGTCGTCAGTCTCACATGTCTGGTAGATCTCGTCCACAGCGCGGCGCAGGTTCTCAAACAGAAACGTCCAGTAGCGCGCGTGCAGGTCCTTGGCCGAGCCACGGCCGGCCGACACGGAGCGCGCGCGGCCGCGTTTGCGCGCGGCGCTGGCGGCGGCAGCGCGCGTCGGCGGCCGCTCCTCCTGGGTACCAGGACGGCCGGCGCGCGGCGAGGCCGCCGGCTGACGGCGAGCCGAGCGCAGCACTGCAGAACAGGGGTTAGGAGGAGTGTGAGGGGAGAGAGAAGAAAAGAGTCCTTATGGGAATGTAGAAAGAATGAAAAAACTTTCAATAGGTACAGCGGTACAGGATGCCATTTCATGGACGGTCAAATATCTTTCTATTTGAAAGATCTATTTTCTATTTCGCACACTGTATAAGAAAGAGAACTTCTGATGATCTTTTAAATATTCCTGACATTAGCTGATGCTAGCTCAGGGCATCGTCAAAGTGCAGCACCTACTTGCAGCAGCATAGAAGCATTACTAACACACCTGAACCAGGGCTTTTGTTGTCCACCAGGACATTGAAAACGAGCAGATTCCTAGCAGCGCGCCCCTCCTCCTGCACAAGCACACGGACGTCAGAGGCAGCAGAGGGCTCGGTGCGGGCCACTGGTATATTGGTGACGGTGTGGCCATCTCGCTTCTCCTCAAGGCCAGCTGATGGTGCTGGAGCGGTCGGTGGAGTCGCCATACCAGTGTCAGTCACTGATTGCTGTACTACTCCAGAGATGCTGAACTGTTGGAAAAAAGGGAACTTCAGATTAATGGACAACATAACATATCATGTCATTCAGCTATGCCCATAATCTGACCTGACTGTAGTCTGTGACTATGCCCACAAACACAACTTGTCTAAATCTCAGGAAAATGCTCAACTTTCAAAAAGAGTCCATGCCCACGGAGTTAAATAGGTACACACACTCTGTGAAATCGCACTCCAGAGTAAATCATCACAGGCATAATAATGCAAACTTGAACTGATGGCACAAATCAAAATATCCTTGATAGCATCAGCATTGTCCAAGGCTATGTCAATGTTGATATAAACCAACTGCACAGATAGCGTCTAGGTACACTATGAAACTAATATATTGATACCCACCCCTTGTTTGCCTTGTTTTCAGAACTTTTACATATACTGCCTCGATTATGCATAATAAACCGACGTATCTTGTAGCAATAGCTAAACAAGTAGCACGGTACATAGAGAACTACAAGTAGCATCGAGCAAAATGACTGTACCACGTACCCTAATTTCCAAATAAAACCTTTTAACTGGTCCTATTACGTCATTGCTTATTCACCAATGAACACCTTCCTTCAAGCTTTTAAAGAACGTAGTCCAGTGAAATCTCCATTACATTCCTATGACATCATACTTATACTTATACTTACTTATACTTATAAAATGCGGAATTTAGGAAGGCCTTTTGGCCTCTTGGATCCGGACGTGACGAGCTTTGTGTCAGTGTGTCACTGCATCAGTCGTTGGAATGTATGGTGTACTTGGCGTGAGCCCAGTGTTCGTCAAGCCTGGCCTTGAAGCTATTGACTGAGGGCGCATCGACGACAGCGGATGGCAGAGAGTTCCAGTCGTTCAGGACTCGTATGCTGAAGGCGTTCCGCCGCACTCTGGAGACAGCTCTTGGCTTGGACAGCTTCCACTCATGCCCTCGAGTTCTGGTCGTCGTCGCCGCAGTGAAGAACTGAGATGGGTCAACATCCACTCCCCGTCGAAGCACCTGGTAAACCGAGATCATGTCGCCTCGTCGGCGCCGATAGTAGAGCGATGGCAAATTCAGGCTCCGGAGTCTCTCCTCGTATGGCAGGTGGCGGATGCTGGCAACCAGTCTCGTGGCCCGTCGCTGTACCCGTTCAATGCGCTTCTGGTCTTCTCGGTTGAAGGGTCCCCAGACCGCGTTGGCGTATTCGAGATGGGGGCGAACCATGGTCCGGAAGAGTGTTGGAAGCGTAGTCTCATCAATTACTCCGAAGGATCGACGAATGACTGTCAGAATGTGTGACGCTTTGGCCACGACTGCGGCAGCCTGTTCCCGGAACTTGAGCTGGTTGTCTATCTTGACCCCCAGGTCCTTTTCCACCAACGTCTGATCTAACAGAGCGTCTCCCATTCGGTACAGGTGATTGGCGTTTCGAGGACCTAGGTGAAGAGACTTGCACTTCGACTGATTAAAAGGAAGTTGCCATTTCTCAGACCATCCGAGCAGGGCATCGAGGTCTCGTTGCAAAGCCTCCGACTCTGAAGCCTGGCCGACACTTCTGTACAGCTTCGTGTCGTCTGCGAATAACTTTAGCCCTGACGAGACACAAGCGGGCAGGTCATTGACAAAGACCAGGAACAGCAACGGGCCCAGGACCGTTCCCTGTGGTACGCCACTGGTGACAGGAACCCAGTCTGACTTTGCCCCATTTATCGACACACGCTGCTGTCGGTCAGTCAAGAAGGCCCTTATCCATTCGAGCGGCCGACCCCTAATGCCGCAGGATTGGAGCTTCAATAACAGGCGCTGGTGAGGCACAGAATTAAACGCCTTACTAAAGTCCAGGTACAGAGCATCCACAGGGTCACCTTCCTCCAGTGCACGGGTCCAGTCTTCGACAGTTTCGAGAAGCTGAGTGGAGCACGACCTCTTCTGTCTGAAGCCATGTTGCAGGTTGCTCAGCTGTTCCGTCTCGATCAAGTAGGACATCATCTGGTCACGGACCAATGACTCGAGGACCTTGCATGGGACGGCTGTCAACGTCACTGGTCGGTAGTTTGCAGGACTGTCCTTCACTCCCTTCTTGAAGATAGGGATGATCTCATCGTTGCGCCAGTCACTTGGTAAGGAGGAGTTGTCCAGAGAAGAACGAAAGAGACGCGCCCATGGCTCTGCCATAACCAAGGCCGTTTCCCGAAGGATGCGCGGGTGGAGTCCGTCTGGTCCCGGTGAGCTGTCTATCTTGAGTTTCAGCAACTTCTCCCTGACCGCGCCAGTGCTGATGTCAATGTTGTCCAGCAGGGGGCCAGGGTAAACAGGTGGTGGTGCTGGCAGGACGGGGTCCTCGACCGTAAATACACTCTGGAAGAAGTGATTGAGCAAGTTGGCTTTGTCGCGGTCCTCCCGAACCATCGTCCCGTCTTCAGCCTTCAAGTCCTCCACTCTTGTCTTGGTCCGCAGTCGAGTGCCTGCATAACGCCAGAAACCTTTGGCGTTCGTACGCAGATTCCTCACCAGATGTCTCTCGAAGTTCGCCCGAAGACTCCGAGTGAGTGACCGAAGCTTGTTGCGTGCACGACAGAAGCGGGCATAATCAAGCATATCTCTGGTTCGCATGTACTGTAACCACAGTGACCGTTTTTGCTTCTTTAGCCGAATGGCTTCGTGGTTGATGTAGATATTCTTATTATTTTGTTTGGACTTGGCAAGGGGTATACAAGTGGTCAAGTGCTCGGACAGTTTGGCCTTGATAAAAAGGTACATAGCATGTGTGTCCTGTGAAGTACTTGTTGGCCACTCTACATCAGACATGAGTTGGTTTAAGAGTGTGTAGTTGCCCTTGCTGAGATTGAGGTGTGGCTCCAATGGCTCAGTGGGAGGACAGTAGCATTTCACTTGGAACTGAAGCATGATATGGTCACTTGTGCCCAGGCCAGGCAAGTATTCCAGGTTCTTAACCATCGCCTCTTCAGAAGACAATATTAGATCAAGGGTATGAGGTGTTTCGCCAAGTCTGAATCTGGTAGGTCTGTCAACATGCTGGTACAGAAATGAGTCGTTCAACAGGTCAACAAACCCATGTGAACAGTGTGAGGGAGGTGCTGAAGAAAGACCCACTTGCCAGTTGATTTGCGGCAGATTGAAATCACCTCCAATAACCACATGTGTGTATCTAGAGTTGGTAGCCTGCTTGAATAAAGATCCAATCTTGTTTAGATCTTCTTCGGCAGAACCAGAGGGGCTTCGATAAATACAGCCAAGTAGAAGGACATCAGAGCTAGCCAGCGGCATTTCTATCCAAAGCTGCTCTCTGAATGTTGAATCCTTAAAAACAACTTCAGATACCCGGAGTGATGATTTGGCATAAATGCAGACACCTCTAATACCACTTGAGCCCAGTTTGGTTTCTGAGGGGTCGAAGTTCAGATACATGACGTAGCCAGGTACAGACAAAAGGGCTGGGGATATTGGGTGAAGTTGGGCTTTAGGTATGACTTCATTAAGTAAGATGAAGTCTGGTTCGTTTCCCGAAATGAACATGCAAAGGTCATCACGTTTCTTCACAAACTGGTCTGCATTTGCATACAGTACCTTGAGACCTTCTTCATATCTCGGTCCTGCCGGCCTGGATTGTCAGCACCTTTCCTGATCCGGGGTCTGACCCGTCTGGGCCGTCCCTGGGGTTGTCAAGGTCTGCCTCTGAGATGTAGCATGTTGCTGGGGTGCTACAGCACCTTGTGGCCTACCCCGAACAAGTTCAGCTTCCACTGTCCGAGTCAGGTCCAGTTTTCTTGTCACAAGCCGACCCTTCCTGATGGTGAGGTTCACTTCACCTGCATCTGTCCTCCTTCGTAGCTCCTCTCGGAGGCGTCTACCCTCTTCCCTCTCTTTCCAGGTAAGGTCAGGTGAAAGGTATACATTTTTCCAGAGATCTGTCGACCGTAGTTGAGGTGCCAGTTTTAGCACATCACTTTTAACCTCAGTGTTTTCAAGTCCCACTATCAACAGTCGTGGCTTCTCCTGACCCGGCTTGCCGACCCTGTATGCCTTTGTTACTCTCACATTGAGATGCATAGCATCGCGGATTACCTCCTTAAACTTTTCTTTGTCTGCTTCTACTCGTTCAGCATACAACTCACTTGTTGGCTCCGGGAGGTTATGCACTACCACATTCAGCTTGCGCTTCTCTTTTTCTAAGAAGTCATCAAAGACACCTGCTATTGCCTTCTCAGTGCAGAGGCTGGTATTCTCCTTCCCTTGGGATGGAATCGCTTCAAACTTTTTGGCTGCTTTTTGCATCACCTCAGCGCTGCCCTTGACGACCTCTGCGTAGGACGCCCTATCATCCTGGATTTTCTTGAAGGAGTGCTGTAACAGTGTCTCCTGATCCCCGATGAGTTTGGCATGAGCACGCATGACCTTCTCCACCTTTTCCATTCGTTCATTTACATGATCTTTCAGCTGTTTGACACCACTCTGTGTCTCACAGTGCTCGTTGTGACTGTTGGCATCAATCTTTGCAAATGCTGTTTGCATGAAATCAATCAATGCATCGAGCTTTGACTCCAGCTTAGAAAGCCTGTTGTCCTCGTCACTCTTCCCCTTAGTTTTGAGGGCTTGTTTACAGGCAGAACAATGCCAAGATAACACCTTGTGCTTCACAAGGGCATTGTAGCACTGCTTTGAAATGCCTTGACACTTAGAATGGAACCAGCGATCACACGTGCAGCACTGTACACCCATTTCCCCATCCTTCACATCAGTGTCACAGATTGGGTTGCTCGGACCACCCTTGCACGAGTTTCTGTCAAAGTTTGGTACATCCGGATCAGGGCTCGTGTTTGAAGACCTTGAGCCCCACAGTTTATAGGCGTCACTACTGAGCCTCCTAATTTTGGGAGCCTCATCCTCTGTGGAATCTGTTGCAAGTGAGCTCAGTTGGGGGGCTCGTGCGACAGCACCAGCCACTTCTTTTATTTTATCTGTCTGGTTTTCCTTGGAGCCTAGCTCAAATATTCCACACGGTTCAGAAATAGCACAGTTCCCTGCCTTACCTCCTTCAGCTCCTTCGGCAACAAAATCATTCACCTCGTTGCCGCCTCCACATTCGCCGCCGCCGGCCTCCACATTTGCATCCGACGGCGTCGATGGCGTCGCTGTAGATCCATTTGCGATCGTCGAATTGAGTGCATTTTCAGTTGCGGTCCGCTGTGGTTTCGACATTGGAGGTGACCTCTGGACTGGCATCTTCGCTCATGAAGATACGCCGAGACAGTTGAAATTGTGCCGTGGGTACCTAACTAATGTGTGCACTGATTGGGTCCTGTGAGAGTGAGAGCTCGATTTGACACCAAGATAGATCAATCAATCAATAAGATCAATCAATAAGATCATAGATCTTATTGATTTTTTCAATTGATGTAAATAATCATTTTCTAGCAAATTCGACCTGACGCGCACTCGCGTGGCTCGCGTGCACGGTCGCGTGGGCGCGCGCGTGGAGTGCGTGGTGCAGAGTGGTGAAAGCGTCGTGGGAAAATTTGCAGGTTATATAAATATTTGTTTGTTTGCTGACGCCGTGAAGGATCAAAGTACCGTGGACGTGGATCGTGGGTACCTTGAATTTCCATAGGTTTTTACTGAAATTGGGGCCCTAGTGAAACTCTTCAGGTTTTAAATTATAAATATAGCTGATGGGTAGTTTTACGTTAATGCCTACAAAGTTAGGGTAAGCTTGCTTTGCTTTAATTAAATAGGATACCACTCTATCAGTTTTACAACATTTTCTGTTTGTTTTGCAGCATGGGATTTCATTTAGGAAGGGTTTGACTCATGACTTTGACTGGAATGGTCCATGGCATAGGCTAATGGCTGGTTAATCAGAATAATATCAATATGTTTGGTTGAAGCAAGGCCATCTATAGAAGGTACAGTCACTCCCCCGCCGACCAATCAGAGACAGATCCAGAGTGACGTCACCCCTGATGCTCAAAAGGGGTACTCCGTTCCTTTACAACGTAAAAATGACTAACTTCATTTGAAGATTGTTGGTGACACTCTACACATATCGCTCAACGATTGATGTCATTAGAAAGTCCAAGTAATTTTCTAGCGATAAAAAGAGCAGCAATATGCTAAGAAATGGCCGGTTTTGAAGATATAGACGATTTAAAAAACCCTCTGCAGGTGCAGGAAAGCAACGTAAAAACGCATCGAGCTTATATTTTTACTATGAATAAATCATTTTTCAGTAAGTTTTTAGATATGGTATCGATTTATTCAACAACTTTATTACAATATTTCTATTACTTGTAACTTTATTTCAAAATAATATTTTCAAAAATGGCAACTGTTGGCAAGTAGCTTTGAAGCGATTGTGGCGCGCCGCGCCATTATTGTCCTGAGGCTCCCTTATGATGTCATCAAAAGTGGAGTGACATGGGCCTGGGTTGAAGCTGCAGTGACCAACGCAATTGATGTCATATTGGGATAAATAACAGGCCCATGAAACTTTGGCATTACAATTATCTTTATTCAACTGACATTGAATGGCATGGCCATAGGCCTCGTAAAGGAAAGGACGCCGGTGAAAACATGGCACCGGAGGGCATATTATTCACGTGACATTTGGAACTTCTCCCCCTCCGTGGGCCTTCAGCCATGCTAAACGTCACGTGTAAATTTCACAAACCTTGATCAAATCGCCCCAGGCGCCCTGTTTTCACCGTCGTCCCTCGTAAAGCCACAACACTTCCGTGGCGCTACCCAAGGCCCTAAAACATAAGGTTGGACGAAGTTTTCTACCAAAAATGTACTAGAATAGCGTACGAGTCAAAGCTATTTCCGTTGTTTCTTTACAAATATGTCGCTAACAAGCTTTTTCTGTAATAAATCATTATTTCGAAGTTAAGCAACCAGTTACTATAAATTCGATAAGCAAACACTTAATTTTTATATAAAAGCCTAGCTTATATAGTCCAATTCTAGTTGAATAATCAAGTAGCTACTAAATTTTCCAGATGTGACACATATTGCGCACTTCAGACAAATGCGTTGCTAAGGCGTTGCTAAGGACTCTTTCGCATGTTTTGCTGCGTGGTTTGTGTTTTTGTTATAAAGTGAGGGGAGTTAGATGGACAGGCTGTTTGATATTTTTTCTGGTTTTCTAGGACCGTCGCAATTACTTAACTTGACATACTTTTCTTGCTTTTTTATCCGAGGCTTTTTCAATAATTGGTAGATTCTATCGTGGAAATAAAAGGGCCAGCAGGCCACAGGGGTAAATGCAAGTCGACTGATAGTGAAATAAAAGGTAGAAGTGTCTGTTCCATTATAAATTTAATGTGATATGCTGGAACATGAAGCAACAGGATCAGACGCAAGAACCACCAATGAAGAGCCCAGAACCAGCAAGCGCCAATCGCCATGCCATCAAGAGCAGCCATGATAACGTTTGATTAGCTTTCAGAAAACCTTGGAACTATACGCCAGACGGTGAGCAATCAAGAGATCTTACAAGACCAGTAGTTACTTGAAAACGAGAGCCGCCAGGAAAATCAGCAGATTCTTCAATGGCAACACATTTCAACATCTATCTAGCAATGATTTGCACCAGCGAGGTGGCTATCATTGTGTTTTGTGTCTGTATCCCTAACTGCTCAAAAATATTTGTCAATAAATAAACAAACAAATAATGCGTCTTTTTCTACTGAAAGTAAGTTCTCCAAGTGGCAAGGGATAAATAATAGCTAGCAGGTACCTAATTAATTGCTATCTATTCATTCAATTCATAAATCATAGGCAATTCAGGGCATCGATCGGCAGCGCCCTTACTGCATGGTACTGCGGATCGTCCATGGATTTCTTGATGACTCCGACTCTGACTCAGACTTTCAAAAATAAACTCTGACTTTGATTTCAAATGTCGGCTCTGACCGACTCCGACTCCACAGCCCTAGCAGGTCTGCAGAGGCAATGAATTTTTGGTGACTCCGACTCCGACTCTGGCTTTCAAAATCGACTCTGACTCTGACTCTGGTCAGAACTGTCGACTCCGACCGACTACAACTCCGACTACGGAACCCTGAAAGGTCTGCGGAGGGGATCGAATTTCGGTGACTGACTCAGACTCCAGCTTTTAAAATCGACTCTGACTCCGACTCGACGACTCAGGTCAGAATTGTCAACTCCGACCGACTTCATGACTCCGACTCCGGAGCCGTACTGGCAGCTATCACGCCAGGGAGCTGCAAATCATATGTTCCGTGGCGGTTTATGGCATTAAAGTCGATAATGCGGCTGAATCGCACTATTAAACACCCTTATTGGCTGCAAGAACCACGAAAGTTAGCGCATCACCACTGGAAAACGTGACAAGATATCGATTAATTGGCCCTGGATTTGGATAAATAACATGTTGATGATCATATTAGCACACATTTACATTATCATCTATCTCAAGGTTGCCCTCCAGGCGGCTCTAAACTATGGCAATTTCCCTATCTTCAACATGTAAATGCCCTCGGGCGTCCTCGTGGTGACGTAGGCATGGGAGTGCCAGGTTGGTAGGAACTAGACTTCGACGCCCCCTGGCGCTACCCACTCTGACTGGCGACTGGTTTTGCTTGCAACGGCCAATGGCCCTTGACACATGGAGACTGCAACAACGAGAGCAAGGATATCAAGATATTTCAATCACTCTAAGGCAGCAAACCAAATTCTAATTTTTTGAAGAAAAAAAGTGATCCCATGTATGCAAGCACATGCACCACAAAGGGTACCATAGCCTAACTTAACATGGCCTTGCCTTGCATGCTGTGGTCTAAAGGTTGACCCAATGTAGAAGTTAAATTGTAAGGAACAAAGATTTGTGATAATGAAAATTTGCCTGGCAATGGTGTCACAATATACCACTGTCCTTTCATTAAAAAATAACCCCTTTGTTGACAAAGTCTATTGTGCAAGAAGCTGAGAAGGTCTGTTAATATGGGTTTGCTTGGCTCTGTAATTTATATATTGAGCAACCAATTCAAAAACATATCTCATAAGGCACCAAGATAGTGCAAAGCAGGCTGTTGTGTTTTTTTATAAATTTAGTCCGAACCTTTTGATGGGAAGGATTCACAAGGACAGAGCCACCGCTAAGCGAAGCTTGTTGCGATGACCCTGCCCTCTACCCTCCGATCGCGCAATTCCGATTCTATGGCAGAATTTAGAGTCCAAAGTTTAACGTGCGCACAAAGCCGCGCACGGCCGGTCCCCTCGCTGACTTCGCCTGGCTACGGCCTGCCACCAACCGCAACCATACCTGTCAGGAGGCCCATAAATGTCAAGCGCCCGTCGCGCTTCGAACCCGGACTGTCATAACCGGGAACGCGTGCTCTCACCACGCGGAGTCCAACGCTCTAACTAACTGAGCTACGGGACCGGTGTTTGCTCCCAAGTCCCAACTCAGCCCTAAATTTCCAACTCTACAAGGTTTCGACCAGAGTGAGAGGCTATATGTGTTCATTTGGCTTTGGCCTGCTGCAGTACCTACTGGTTGGGATGAATTAAGCCAGACCTCTATATATATAGAGAAGTTTGTGACTAAGCCAAACAGAATGCCTAGGTATGTGATGCATAAAATCTTGTTTGACATATCTTCTCCACTTAACCCTTCCCCACTTTATAATTCACAAGACTCAAATTTCCTCAATCAATGTCATAGGTGCAGGCAGACCTTTGCAGTAGTGTACCAACATGGATTGTCTACTTAAAGTAGAGTTCATGATTCCATAATCAAATCCATATATGAGAGCTCTGGCCACTGTATGCATGTGCAAAAGTGAGCCAATGCCAATGAGTAAATGTTTTGGCTCTCATTTCAGGGGGATTGATCATTGCTGTGCACTTATTTCTTCAGGACAATGGCTCTACCTCAGCTGATGTCCCCAAGTATTCTTAGAAGAGCGGACTCTGCAAAGAAGAGTCTGTCTGTGACATTTGAGGATTCAGTTCCCTTTGACCTGAAAAGTGTGCTACAAGAGGCAGATCAGGGAAACACTGGCCCATATGATGAACTATGTCAAGAAATCGCAAAGGGAATAATGCAGGTGAGTTGGGATGCAAAAAAGTACACGATAAGAAAACATAAGACAGCAAACGTAAGAAAACAACATCGTTTTGACAACGCTGTGTTGTTTCCCATCTTAGCCCTCTATGTGCACAACATTTCAGGTGTATTTTACTATCCATCTTTGCTGTAGTCCGCTGTCATTATCGATATTTGGCGTACCCCTCAGTGTCCCGTACCCTCCCCACTCCCCAGTTTGACCCTCCCGCCGTGCGCCGCTCGCAGCTGAGCCGTCTGTCGGAGGTGCTCGAGCAGCTGCACAGCTGCGCCGGCGAGCTGTGTGCCGAGCGGCACGTGCATCTGGTGCGCGCTGTGCTGGCCTGCAGCTGGCACCACCTGCCGGAGCCGGCGCTGCTGCGCTACTTCTCCGTGGTGGTGCTGCTGGCCACCAGCCAGCCGCACTCGGCCACCGACGCCATCAAGGTGCTGGTGCACGCGCTGCAGTTTGTCTCCGAGCCGGACCCGCTGCGCGAGGAGCCGTTCGCCGGCGACCTGACGGACGAGGAGCGGCGCATCCACACGCTCTCGGTGCAGTCGCTGGCCGCCATTCTCGGCGTCATCCCCATGGCGCAGGAGCCGCTGCTGCAGACCATCCAGCAGCGCACGCCCTACCTGAAGAAGTCGGCGCGCTCCCAGGCGGCGTTTTTCAGCAGCGTGCTGCGGCTGGCCGCCCTGCTACCGTCCGCCCGGCTGCCGCTGCTGCGGCTCGTCTACCAGCGGCTGGTGCGGCTCGATCTGCTGTGCCCGCGCGACCAGCTCGCGGCGGCGGCGGCAGAGGCGGCGGAGGACGCGCAGACGCCCGGGGAGGAGGGAGACGGTGAGGGAAAGGAAGAGGGCGGCGCGGCGGCGGCGGACGCGCCCGACGAGGCGGTGACGCTGGACGCCATTATGACGGTGACGCTGCGGCACATGGAGACGGTGTGCTACCCGGACGGCGCCGGGCAGCTCGACTGGCCGGCCACCAAACTGCTCTACGCAGACCTCATCAAGGTCAGTCGGTAGTCGCGGGCGCGGTTTGGAGGGATGGGCAGTCACGCTGGACAAGGTTGTCTAACTGAGGCAGGGAGTGTCGGACTGCTTATGAATGTGGACTCCCGTGTTTGAGGCATCTCTGAAATGAGACGACGTGTAATCGATGATTATTTTACGTTTCAATCGCTTAATAGAGTAAAGTTCAACAACATATCATTGACTACATTGTTTATTGACGAGATTCCCAATGTGTGTGCTGAGGCTGACGAGGTCGTCCCTGGCTGCGTCCACCGTCAGGTGTTTGAGGAGGTGGCGCTGCCGACACCGAGCACCGCGCACGCCCAGTTCGTGCTGTTCTGGCTGGCCGGCCGGCGGCTGGCGCTGGCCGAACACCTGATCGACTGGCTGTGGCGGCGCGTGCAGAACCCGCAGGCGGCCGCTGTGCTCCGACAGACGGCCGCCCTCTACCTGGGCTCCTTCCTGGCGCGCGCCAAAATCGTCAACATCAAGTGCGGACGAATGACCGTGTGTCGACGTAGGGGCAGTTGGCTGATTGGGGTGATGCTATTAGACTTGATGTCTTGGGTTGTTGTATATCGCTCATAATTTTATAACCTAACGGCATGATAAAGCCGGCGTGCCAGTCATAGTAACAGTTTCACTTTGATGCGGAAACCGATTTATGTAGCATATTATTCATTGCACGTCGGATTTCACTGGTATCCATTCGTGTTATGGTATTATATAATTTGTTTCACCAGTCTTCCGAATCATCGTCAAACTTGCCTCGTTCTCTCCCCCTCCCCTGACCACCCCTCCTGCTTTAGCCCGATGGTGCAGAGCTCCCTTCAGGTCAATACGTGCGGCTGGGTGCACCGTTACCTCACCTCCGCTCCTCCCTTCTCTTTTAGCCTGGTACGGAGCTCACTACAGGTCATGTGCGGCTGGGTACACCGGTACCTGAGTCCTGACCTCCCCTCCCTGCTCTTTCAGCCTGGTGCAGAGCTCGCTACAGGTCATGTGCGGCTGGGTACACCGGTACCTGAGTCCTGACCTCCCCTCCCTGCTCTTTCAGCCTGGTGCAGAGCTCGCTACAGGTCATGTGCGGCTGGGTACACCGGTACCTGAGTCCTGACCTCCCCTCCCTGCTCTTTCAGCCTGGTACAGAGCTCGCTACAGGTCATGTGCGGCTGGGTGCACCGGTACCTCACCCAGCAGGACAGCGCGGCTCGCGAGCGGGCCGACTTCTCCGTGCACCGGCCGTTCTACGCTGTTTGTCAGACGGTGTTCTACGTGTTCGCGTTCCGACACACGGAGATGCCGCCCAACGAGACATGTGAGTGGCCGCGGGGGACGGGGCGGGGTTCTTCAGAGGGGGGGGGGGTTCAACTGGACCCCATCCATATGTCAGCGGGCGTGCGGTGGAGAGGGGGATGGGAACGTCAGAGTGCTTCGGGTTTTCCATTCGGAGATTGTGTGCTTAGTTTTATAACTGTGCTAATAAGTGTCTGGTGACGATTTGTTATTCGTGGTAATCGGGCGATGTGCGATGAGCAACCGTTGGCAAATTACTCGCAACTGCGCCTCGCTGACACTGTTTCATCTCTGTGTGTGTGACTCGTCTCCAGACCTGCCGTTCCTGAGATCGCTCAACTACGAGCGCATGGTGACGTCACAGCTGAACCCGCTGCGGTTCTGTCTGCCGGCGGTGGTGCAGAACTTTGCCAACGTGGCGCGTCACTACCAGCTGGCCTACTGCTACACCGTCATCGAGAGGAACAACAGGTCAGCTGCGGTGGCGGTCGGGCTCGGCCCTCCTGGGGGGGGGGGGGGCTCACGGGCGGGGTCAGGGTCAGTTGCGGCGTGGGGTAGTCACAGGAGAGCTGCTGGCTGGCCAGGTTTGTTTGATGGTTAGAGAAACAAGAGGCAGTCACGCTACGGTGGATAATGAGTGTATGATGGACAATAGATAGTGTACTCGTATAATGTGTATTTGCCATGCACATAACGAAAAGCAATGACTGGAAATGTGGATACAACAACTCACACGTGTTTAGTATTGAGCCACACAGGTTTAAACAGCTGGAATTCCAAAGTGAGCTATCTTGCAGTCCCGGCTGCTCAGTTCACTTTGTGCGCGTTTATCGGCCGCTGTTTCCGCGTGTGTCGGGCCGGGCCGACCAGATGGAGTTAGTCTTTTCCTGTGTTCGCTGTCACATCTGCCGTCTAGTTCGGTAACAACTAACACCCCCCGCTCCCGGCAGGATCCGAATTCCCGTGGTAGTCAGCACGGCGTTCGGTCTGAAGCGTCTGAGCGCCGAGCAGTTATACAGCAGCTACTTCCCGTTCGACCCCTACCTGCTCAAACAGTGAGTAAAGACTGGGAGTAACTAGCTTCCCGTTCGACCCCTACCCCTTCAAACAGTGAGTATAGACTAGGAGCTTCCCGTTCGACCCCTGCCTTCTCAAACAGTGAGTATAGGCAGAGTCACTTCAAAATGGCGAGTGTCACTTAGACCAGCGAGTAGAACTTAACCAGTAGAACTGGAAAATAGGATGTCACACAGCGTTGCACTTTGAGTCGTGTCGAAAGCCCCGTACTCGTTAGTAATCTGGTTTTGTGTCGTGGTCCATCGCCTCTCCGTTCACTGTCTGACGCCTCCCCCCCCCCCTCCCCTCGACAGCTCGGCGTCCTTTATAAAGCCGTGCTACCGCGAGTACGAGGGCGATCCGATCGACTCTGACTCTGAGTCCGACTCGGAGGATGACGAGATGGAGGCCGACGCCGCGGCGGCAGCCGCCTCTCTAGAGTTCAGCTACGCCGTGTCGCCTGGCTTCAAACACTGACATCTGGTGGCCGCGAGAGGTAACTGTGCTTCCGTTGACCCCCGCTAGATGGCGACAGCGGGGCGGTCGCTGCCTAGGCGTGCGATGTTGGTGCAGGGAACTGGAGCGGGTGACCGGATCAGGTACCGTCTTGTGCGCGGAAAATGGATATGTTATTGCCTGATAAGCTGCCTGATAGGCTTGGTATGCCGCATTTGGCTTTATATGGATGTGTCGTTTTTGGTTTCTGCCTTCTTTCAGCTGTGGACGTCTCATGTGGCTGGACATTGGACAATGACATTTCTCTTGTGGCTGGACAGTGGACAATGACAATTCTCGTGTGGCTGGACATGAGACAATGTCTATGTGGAAGTTTTCGACTGTTGCGTTTGATAAAGCATTGTAAATATTTTCATATGCCCTGGAAGTGGAGCGTGCCCACTGCCCTCAGTCCCCGAGTGCCGGTAGACAGGCGGGGTCGTTTCGTGCTGTAGATGTGCGATATTATTATAGTAACATAATGCATCATATAATACATGCACGATATACTTATTTTTCGGCTTTTTAATATGCGTTCATCCTATAGTTCATTGCGTCCCCAGTTCGGGTTTGTTGACCTGACCTCTGATTTTAGATCAATAAAACTTTTTCCTATTTTTCTCTAGGTCAAATGCTTCACAACCGTGGTCGTAATTTGTCTTGATCTCTAAAACTATTTTTGGCAGCTATTTAAAGTTCACGTCTGTGACGCCAAAGTCTGCCGTGCTTAGGTCTAGACAACTCGACCCTGTGACGTCATCAAGGGGGCTAGGTCAAATTTTGTTTACTTCAGAAGATGTCGAATTGATAGGGGAGCAGGTACTACAAGTTTTGCTTTCCTATCATTAAGCGTTCGGGAGCTATCGCCAATATTCTCCAGGGGGGGGGGGATGAAAAACGCCCCCCCCCCCGGACCGCGAGGGTTAAAAAAGAAACTGGTCAGTCTATAGGTACTAGGCGAAGATACATACTGACATGGTGTGTAGTGACAATGGTGCTGTGACGGCCGTGCCGTGACCGCTGGGACGTGGCTGGACGTGGACCCAACTGTCAGGTGTTAGCTGTCAGTGTCCATGTGGCAGCTGTCCGGTGTCAGCCGTCAGTGTCAGCTGTCAGTGTCAGCTATCGGTGTCCATGTGGCAGCTGTCCGGTGTCAGCGCGGTGACGCCAGGGGAATGTCCACGGTTCACTAAACCCGTAGAGTGGCAAATGATATCATGTGCTCAGAAATAGAGATGGCATAACCGCATAATGGACCAGAAATTCATCTTTAAAGCTTTCTGATCGCACCAAACACTGGAGCAAGGAACTTTTGTGGTTAATTTGGTGAACCTGCGAGCGGCAGTGTAATAAAGTAGGTGTATGAGCGGAAAAACACAAAGGGTGGATACTTCCATTTCGCGTCTAGCTAGACGCGTCTAAGTCTTAGATACGTCTAGCTGGACGGGGGCTGCGTCTATCTGACGACAGCTAACTAAAGGCGCTTCTAGCTTGGAAGTCTCCGTGCGACAGTTAGACGCCAAATTGGACGTCTGCTCAGTTAGACGCCAGTTGGACGCCAGTGGGTGGAAGTCTCCGCCCAAAGGGACAGACAGTTTTTGGCTCTCTGTTTCGCAACTGCGCAGCGAGGAGACAAATTAATAATGACATTGATACGTTTATTTTAAAGACCAGCCGTGCCTAGTAATTCTATCGCAGAACTCCTTGATGCTCTTAGTTAGATACGCTACCGAAGAGTCAACTACGCATTTCATCTCACTCCTTTGAGAAGAGTCGCCAGGTCTTGCGACAGGTGTTTCTTAACCAGCTGATTTAAAAACTTCTTGGCCTTATTCTCCAAAATCGGTTTGTTTTTCGTCCACCACTCCTTTGTCAGTTTTTCAGCGTACTTGTCGGAAGGGTTACGGAGCATATTATCCAGAACTCCCAGAAAGCCGTTCAGATTGACGTTTATGTACAGTTTCTCGATGTCAAAGCCTACTTGCGTGTTCCTGGGCGTCACTTTGAGAGTTCCATTTCTCAATGACAGGTATAGTTCCGTCGCCAAACTGGCCACTGCACCTTTGACCCGAAGACGAGGCTTGGCGGTAAAGGAGAAACACTGCGGCTTGCCGAGCACCTTGGGGCAGGTGGAAAACCAGCCGGCGCCGGAGCCGGCCAGGCGCTGCCAGCCGAGCGCCGCCTGCACTGTGAGCGACAGATTTGCCGAGTGCTGCACCTCCAGGACGATAACCTGGAACTGACTCAGGCCGTGAAACTGCACACCGGTCAGAGTCCAGTTGATGGCGCCCGTGCCGCTGACGCCTCTGAATCGCAGCGGGTCGAAGCGTTTCTTCAGTGCCGGTCTGCTGGCGGACAGAATGCTCCCGACGCAGCTGGTCAGCGACGCCGCATCACGAAAGTTACAGGTGATGCCGGCTGCGGAGGTGACGATAGCCAGCAGCAGAAGAACGGCAGGCAGCAGGCCGCGGCCCATGGTGGTACACGGCGCTGAACGGGGGCCGCGCACCTCAGCTAGCTGAGAGGGGAACACCAATATCTCCAGCAGCGGCAGCGGCAGCGGACGGTGGCTGCCACTGGGAACTGAAGTCACCGTTGGAGCGCTACTGAGTCTGCAATCGCCACCGGTTAGAGCCACGTGGAGCGGCCCGCCACGACCCAGAACATTTACACACCTAAATGTCAACTTGACACTAAACCTGACATCTGTGAGAGGTCGCAACGTATACATACAGCTATGGCAAAAGTTAGCTATGCGCTATGTCTCCATGAACATGAAATATCTGCATTTTGAGTCACCGAGCGTCTGGCGTCATGTCCAGGAGTTACGTCCATGTCCCTATCTGACCCCGATCTCGATAAATGAGCAAATCTCAACTTCGACTGCAGAGCGCTTACTTTCGAAACAATCTTATCGCAGTTCTCATGTTTAGTTTTCAAAACTGATAACACCCGATCGCCGACGTAAGCATCGAGGGCCTTCTTTGCTGCTGTTCAGCTGGCATTTCGGTCTGTAAATGTTTGAGGTCGTGACGGGCCGCTTCAGGTGACTCACCCCCCGGTGGCGCCAGTACCACTCTGACACGGCGGTGTCAGTTCCCAGTGGCAGCCTCTGGCCGCTGCCGCGCCCGCTGTCGCTGCTGCCGCTGCCGCTACTGCTGCTGCTGCCGCTGCCGCTACTGCTGCTGCTGCCGCTGCCGCTGTTGCTACTGCTACTGCTGCTCCCCCTCCGCTGTGTGAGGTGCTCGGTCGACTCTGGGTGCCGTGTACCATCATGGGCCGCGGCCTGCTGCCGGCCATCCTGCTGCTGGCTGGGTGCGCGGCTACGGCCGGCTCCCCGGCCGGAATCACCTGCGATTTCCGCAGTGACCGGTCGCTCTCCAGCTGTATCCGAGGCCTTCTGGCGGCGGGACAGCCAGCGCTCCAGCGGTTTATCGACCCGCTGCCGCTGGCCGACTTCAGCGGCTCGGGGGCGCTCAACTGGACGCTGACGGGTGCGCAGCTGCACGGCCTCGGTGCGTTCGAGGTGCCGAAGCTGAGGATCCGCCACTCGGCGCCGCTGCTGCTCACCATCGTCTTCACCCTGCAGTGGCCACAGGTGACGGGCACGGCGGCCGGCTGGTTCGCCACCTGCCCCAAGGTGTTCGACAAGCCGCAGTGTTTCTCCTTTACCGCCAAGCCTCGTCTTCGGGTGATGGGCGCATCAGCCACCTTGGAGACGCACCTGCACCTGTCACGGAGAAATGGAACTCTCAAGGTGACGCCCACGCGGACGCACATAGGCTTTGACATCGAGAAACTGAACGTGAACGTCAATCTGGACGGCTTTCTGGGAGTTCTGGATAAAATGCTCCGTAACCCTTCCGACAAGTACGCGGAAAAACTGACAAAGGAGTGGTGGACGAAAAACAAGCCAATTTTGGAGAGTAAGGCCAAGAAATATCTGAATCAGCTGGTTGATACGCATTTATCGCCAAATTTAGGTACTCTTCTTAAAGGGGTAGGGCACTAACTAAACCTAATTTAGTGTCCGAAGTGCGGGTATTTATGAAAGAGGCATGAAGCCACTTACCTTTTAAGTGGGCCGCCTGTAAAATGAAATATGTCTATTCCCCTTTTCGCTGAATTTCTTTTCCTCAGTAACTTATTGAAGTTAATATCGTCATAGTTTTGTTTGCGATTAAAATCATTTTGTCACGTCGAGTCGCGGGCGTCACTGAGTCAGCGAGCTGTCAATAAATCCTCAATAACCGTTGAAATAAAGACAACGACGGATGCTCACCAGCGCTGTTATACAGATCCCACGAGCCGCTAGGGGAGGCAGTAAGTTCCCCCCCCCCCCTTTACGTTTTATGTAATATATCCGAAACCTACTAAACTGCCAACATGAAACTTGGCATACCTTCAAATGAATACCTAGGCCATATTTGAGGAAAGTTTGGTGGTTTTAGCACTTAACCCGCGCATGACTGGGGTATTTTCCATAACGCGAGTGACTGGGGGGGGGGCTCTCCAGAACCCCCCTGCTATCTCCAAAACTACTGGGCCGATCGTCAAAATTCAAACGGCGTCTGATATCCCTGGAAAAACTGTCGAGCGAAGGCTATTTTCATTGACCTCGAGGTCAACGATGACGACACAGGTCAGGTCAAAGAAAAAATTATCGGCATTTTTGCTTGTTCACAATTTAGGCTCTGGCCGCCAGCTGACAAATCCGATCAGGCTCATTTTTGGTCTACGCACTCCTTGATATATGCCTTAGATACCCTGAGGGTACCGAACTTCTACTTTGAATTTTTCAGGTCAAGGCCAGGTCATCCTAGGTCACGAAAATTGCATATATGTAATGTAGGTATCGGTCACGCATGTATTATGGTTCATTTTACTCGTATATTTCGAAAATAATGTCTGTGTCATTTGAGGTCATTTTCAGCTGAATTTACTGGAGGTCAGCTCACTTTCAGGTCAGAAAAGGTCAAATTTTACAAATGAAATGTTTTAACTAAAAAGGTGCTTATCAGATGCAGTTTGAGCTCAGGAACACGATGGTGCCATTTACATGATATATGGTATACATGGTATATATTAGATGGTATATTGTTGTACGATGTCAAAAACGTACTGAAAAAAATGGTTTTGAAAAATATAGGTATAATTGTAAAATTTTGACAATAATGCTAATAACTTGGCTATTTTTGGAGATATTGGGCTAAAACTTGTTAGAGTAGTTTTTCAGTGTGTGTTCTATCACATATATTCCGGTTTTTGCAAAAAAAAAACTTAAAAAAAATAGAAAGATATTGTTTTGTAATTGTTAAACATATTTTTAAACACTTTAAAATTTCGAAAATTTTAGATAGCAATTTGATAGCTAGGTGTATTTGTAGTCCACTGATGAAAAAATGGATCTAGCTTTAACCCGGCAGGCGGTGGGCCTCCCGGTCACCTTCCGCGCGGTGGGTGGGACAATTTTTGCCCCCCCCCCCGTATCTCCGAAACTACTGAACGGATCCGGAAAATTCAAACGGTGTTCGATAGCCCTGTCAAATTTGTCGAAGGACACCAAATTTCATTGACCTCGGGGTCACTGATGACGTCACAGGTCAGGTCAAAGATAAAATATTTCAGCTTTCACGGGACTTCTAGGGAAAGCGCTATAACACCGAGTAAAACGCATTTTGTCGAAAATCAGTGATAGGGCGTCAGTTGTCTAGTACATATGTTGTTATTAGAGGTCACTGGTCATACCAGGTCAGGTCACAGGTCAGGTCACCACTTGAACCCAACGTTACTAAGGTGCGATGTATGTTTTATGCCCAGTTTTCATTTCCAACTCAATGGTGTTGGTTATAAGACCATCAGGTACAGTTTAGGTCACTCTCTGGTGGAGGTCAGGTCAAGGTCAGGTCAAAAAAGGTCAAATTTCAAAGTTGATATTTTTGCATAAAATGGGTATTGATTCGATGCAGCTCGTCACGGGGAGTCTAATGGTGGTCTTTGTTTTGCGCTACGAGGTCTAGAATTGCTAAAAATTGAGTTTGAAAATTTGACGTCATCAATTTTGAACAGTTTTTTTCGCTACCTATAACTTGGCCAAAAAGAAGAGGTATCGATCTGAAATTTGGTATGTACCTAGATAGAAGACGGTAGGTTTTATCACATACCTATATTTCGTTTTTTTTTTTCAAAACTCAAAGAACTTTTTGGATTTTTCGCTATTTTTGATTTTTGGGGGTCGAAACTCAGTAATTTCACAAATCCGAGGTTTTGTAGCCCTGTCAATTCTACACCTTTTATGTCATGATCATTTTCCTGCATCTTCAAAACTGTAGGCCTGGCAGCTCTTCTCGCGAAGGTCTTTTTTTCGGTCGAAAATGGCAGAACATGACGTCATTCTGACGTCATTTGTGGCCAACCTATCATAGCCTCTGGAAAAAAATGGTCACAATGTGTAAAATTGATGCCCGGAGGGGTCCTAAAAGTTTGGTGGCGATATCTCAAGTCGTGTAGGAGATATCGACGGAAAAGGACAGGGGGGCGTTTCGCCCCCCCCCCCTACGGGGTGCGGGTTAATGATGCTTCCTTTTTATAGCGCCTGCATCGACGGTCACTAAGTTGTGTCCTGTTTTATGACCTTGACTGCAGGCTTTCTTACATCATTGATTTCTCAAGGTACGTAGATACCTACTACACTACATAGTACATACCTACGTACTAATCATCTATCTCAGAAAAAAAAACTTGAGATTCTCCGTTGAAAGGACGTTCCAATAGGAAATCATCATTCAGATCCTCAAAGCTCGTACGTGCATTGACCAATGACCATGATGGACGCTGGTTGGAGCTTGGAGAAACGGCCTGCAAACCCTTATACATGCAAAAGGCGTTTTGTTTCTGCTTTAAACGTTCGGTGACCTTACTGATATGACCCCGTAACCCTGGGAGTGACCTCGTGACCCGTTGCAGCGCGAGTGCGAGTAACCGGACCCGCTCCCACTCTCTCGCCCTGTCGCGCGTGTCAACGGCAGCCGCGCACCGGCCGCGTGAAATCCATTCGAACCACCGGTCATTGTGCGCGGCTGCAGCACGGCAGTCTCCGAGGAGCACAATGGACGGAGGGCCGTGTGGGGCCGGGACGCCGCGGGGCCGCGGAGGGCCTGCAGGGGAGGGAGGCTGCGGGTCAGTACCGAGCACCGGTGCATAGGTTTCCTGGGAGGTATGGGCGCACTTCACCCGCAGTGTCGACTGGAGGGTTGGAGAGGCAGGTGCTGCGTTCAGCTCTGAAGACATGCCAGGAGTTCGGCTTCTCGTTCTGTGGACCTCGGCGGTCACCGCCGCTCTGGCTGCTCGAGACCCTCGCTGTGAGTGCTGAGTTATGAGTAGCTTGACTTGTGCAGTGTAAGAAATAGAGCTGAAGCTCACTGAAACTTCGATAACTTTTCATATCACGTTCGTTCAGTTGCCTTGTTTGCAGCCTGCAGGATATTGCAAAATAAGTTTTAATTTATTGCACCCTCAATAGATGAAAACATCTGAATGAATAAATGTATCGAGGACATGAACATTCGCTAACTACACTTCTTTGCAATAAAATAGCTCATCGAGGGCAGCAAAGAAATTGACTCGTTGCAATATCGCAGGTGCATCGGTCTCAGTAGCCTCGGGTAGTTGTCTGTGCCGTATCATCCAGCGCGTTCTCTGTTGTCCGCCCCACCCATCCCTCCCCTGCTGACGTCTCGGTCTGTCGCTCCGGCTCGTGTTCGTGTTGCAGTTTTCAACGTGTTCTCGGTGACCCGCTTTGAGAACTCGCCCTGTTCGACTGAGAGCGGTCAGGGGATCTGCACCCTGCCCGACGGCTGCGGAGGTGACCAGCGCGGGCCCTGCGCCGGCGGACTGGGCGTCTGCTGCGTCGGTAAGTGCACGGCGCTCAACGAAACTGGCGGTCAGCGTGTTGAACGATACGACACTCAATGCTCGTTGGCTGATGCCGAGTGATTTTGTGTGGAGACGTTCAATGTCATGTAATGCATAGGTGTCTAACTGTCTATACCTAAATTCGTAGTCATGTTGTCATGATTGGCTGTCCTCATTTTCTTTTCGATATTGAAATGGTTGTGCTTATTAGCTGTGATTCTTTTGACCGGTATTTGCCGATGCCGATTGTCGTCGTATCTCGGTCGCGTTTATTTGCTTTATGGTATCCAGTAGTTGGACTGTGCCGCAATGCACAGGTGTAGTGCGGGTCAGTCTACCTACTCACTGCGTATTGGACTATGGTCCGCCAGAGATGAGCACTCAGAGCAGTGTTCTTGCCCTTCGTCCAATCGAATCAAGCATTTTGAATAGGATTTGCCAGCACTGGCTGAATCTTAGCTTGATAAAGGCATGCAAAAATAGTGACTACGGCTACGCTTGGCTAAGTGTCGTTTTTATTCATTTCATTTCAGTGGAGAAGTCGTGTCGGAACACCACCAGTCAGAAGATCGCCTACTTCGTCAACCCCAACTACCCGGAGACGGACTCTGCCGACCAGCTGTGCGACTTCCGACTGGAGGTCACTGACCCCGACATCTGCCAGGTCAGGTCAGTCCATTGACGGCGTTCAGACTGCTCCTGAGATAGGAACACGTTGCCTCGCTCGGTCCAGTCACAAGACGTACCTTGTAATTATTGCACAAAGTCATGCACCTATGCTTTTATTATAGCAACAATTTTCCACAACGACCATTCCCTTTTCTAGGTGGTGACGACTTGTTGAAATACAATTATAAAAAATACAATTCTATAGTTCTAAAAAATCATGCCTATCAACAAGACAGATGAACATAGATGTGTAGGATAAAAAGGTCAAAGGATGTGCTTTCTATGCGGTTGTGCGACTATCCCCTATCCAAATGGGCTGTTCCTGCTCCTAAACAGCATGACCTCCGCACCATCGTTATGAGGCAGTGAACCTGGCCCACCTCGAGGCTATCCCTCAGTACCTTTCTCTCTCCGGTGGCGGCGCAGTTGGAGCCGGTCCTCCAGTCTCCGTCCCCTCACGCACCGCCCGCTGACCCCATGGTGGCTGCGCCCGGGTCAGCCGGCGACTGACGCGACTCCAAGCCTCCTTCTGCGCGCGCCGGGAGCGCTGGTTCAGCACCAGCTCCAGGACGAACACGAGTGTGGCAGCGGCTCCCCCGACGGTGAGCACGAGCAGGGCGGCGGCCATGTCGCCGACGGTGAGCGCCCGCGGCGCCGCCGGCTCCGGTCGGTCGCGGATACGTGCCACACTCAGCCACAGCTCCACTATGCCCGACTGCAGCAGACGCATCACCGATGTGTTGAGCCGGCGCGCGAAACAGGCGCCCTTCCGCACCGGCCACGCCAGGCCCGTCTGGAAGAAGCGGGCGCGCGAGATGTAGTAGAGGTGCCGGTCCTTTCGGTCCTTCAGCGCGTGCTGCAGGTGACCCAGCTCGTTGACGTAGGCGGCCTTGTCGTCCAGCGGTGCGGTGCTGCTGGTGAGGTCCTCGATCGGGAACAGGGTCATCTTCTCCGGAAGCCGGGCGAACAGCGTGTCGGCGCCGCGGAACGACTCGAGGTAGACGGTGGCGGCCGTGCCGCTGGCTGACTTCACTTCGAACGGGGACAGCGCCAGGTCCTCCAGCGAGTTGACAGGCCGGCCGTACACCGGCACCGACAGCTTCGACACGAGCATCGTCTGGTAGTAGACGCCGATGATGACGGAGAAGACGACCCAGAGGAGGGCGACGCACCGTCCGAGGGCGTGCCGCGGGTCGGGCACCTGGTCCTGGCCGGTGATGCTCGCCCAGACCACGAAGCCGGCGTTGGTGAGCCGCGTCCACCTGCCAATGGCGGCCGGTCCTCCGGAGAGGGCCGGCACGGCGGCGAACAACAGCGTGGCAATGGTGAGCGCGGCGGCCAGCACACCCCAGGTGGTGGCGTCGAACGGCGCGGCAATGGCCACCCATCGCGGCAGCAGCGGCGGCCGGCGCAGCATGAACGACACCGGCTCCTGGTGGAACGGGTACGTCACGTCAATCACCCGGCTGCGCGCCAGCGTCACCGATATATCGCCGATCGCCATGTCGGCCGAGCCATTCAGGATCATCCCGATGACGCCCGTCCAGGTCCCGTTCTCCTCCTGTCCGAACAGACCGTGCAGGTCGGTCGGCTCCGTCAGCTCGTACTTGAAACCCAGCGCCTCCGACACCATCTTCAGCATGTTCACCTCCACGCCCACTGTGCGCCGAACGCCATTCTCCGTCACGAAGCGGGCGTAGATGGTGTCGACAGCGGCGGTGGTGGCTACGCGTAGCGTGTGCCCACGTAGTTCATCTCGTCCTTCGACAAACCATGTGGGACCCCGACCGCAGCCCCCTCGGCAGCCGGACGTGCGTCGCTCGGGGACTACAGCCACGTCTCCAGGAGTTCTGGCGGTGGCGTTGGCGACCAGGCTGGTCCCGAGTAGAGTCCTGTCCACACAGTCGATGGTATGAGCGAACACCTGCGCCGAGCGGAGGTCCTTGCTGATCATCACCACCGAGACCGTCTCCGCCTGGTCGAACCTTAGCAGCTTTCTACTCACCGACCGCTCGATATCCTTGGCCGACTCGACGACGAGCATTCGGCGGCAGCGGTTACCCCAGCGCCGCAGTAGGCGAGCCGGGCGGGTGGAGTGGATCCGCCTCCACGTAGCCTCGTGCAGCCAGAGGACACATGTCTTCGCGGGCGGCATGGTGGGCGCCCAGCGCAGCCGACCGACTGGCGCCGCCAGCTGGAGGGAGCGCGTGGCGGTGTGCAGCTGGCGCAGCGCCGAGCCCAGCAGAGGGTGCTCCTCGGCCAGTAGGACGACGTCGTCTCGGGAGGTCATCTGAGCCAGCACCGCCGGCAGGGGGGAGGGTGGGAGCGAGGTCGGCCAGGCGCGACGCCGCGCCGGCGTGGTCAGACGAGAGGAGGGCAGGAGAGGGTTGTGCACAGTGGTGAGTTGAGCGTGATCAGTTAGCGCTGAATTCCATATGGACTCGTTCGTGCCGTTCATGCCGGACGACTTAGCCGGATCCGGTAATGCCGAGGGCTCAGTGGCTTGGGCTGAAGATGACATGCTAATTGGTGAATGCGGTGACTGATTGGAGACTGTCCTGACTGAGGTCGCTGTAGGTTTTGATGGGACAGAATATGACGGAAGACTGGATGTAACAACAGAATTCAACGCCAAGTCATCAGTCACTTTACGTGACTCCAAAGCTGGGAACGACTGCCGTGTCGGATCAGGATGTAAGAAGGAGGGACCTGCCAGTTCGAAAGAAGGTGACAAGTGTTGCATTACGTCGGATGAGGTGATTTTAATTTGCTCGTCGGGTTCCGGGAATGGTTTGGGTCTACCGGAAGTGACGAACTTCTGGCGCAACTCCGGAGAAGGAGGCATTGAATGTACTGTTATATGGGCAACGACTGGAACCTTAGAGCTTAACAAGTATAATGAATTCCTTGGCGACTTAGGTTCATTTTTGACACCGTTCAAATATGTAGAGAGTGTAGTTGAAATAGAACTGGCAGGTGTAAGAGAACTAAGCTTAGATAGCAGAGAACCAGACATAGGCTTTTCCGGTGAGTTTACAGCCGTAATTGTTTCAGGTGACCTCTGGTCTGAAACTATTACAGAAGATGACGAAGGTGAAGCTATCTTTTGTAACAAATGGCCTGGGTCAGACAGCTCTATAACGGCCTTTGTAGATGCTAATTCGATGGACGGGGAAGTAGGTTGATCAATTGCTTCGGCTGTTTGGGTATCTGCAGGAGAGGTTGTTTCAGGAACGGAATCATCCAATGTCGTCAAAGGAGTCGGTGTATCGGTCGAACTAGCTCTAGGAATTGATGAAATTGTGAAACTCCCCTCTTTGGCTGGTGCACGAAGTGAAGCCGACCAAGTAAGTGATGTGTCAGATAACGTTACGTCGGGCGTCGAGGCAAACGAAGCAGTCTCAGGGATTGATCCATGAGAGGAAGTCAACTGAGCAGGAAAATCAGTCGGTGTCGTCTCGGGGCCTGGCATTTGAGATGGCGTCAGATCGGGCGTCGCGTCAGGTTCCGAGGTCTGAGGTGGAGTTAATCCACGAGTTGCTGCACCAGGTGGAGTGGATTGAGTGGATGGTGCGTCGTCCTGCGCCGGTTTAGAGGCCGGTGTTCCACCTTCGCTCACTTCAAACATCACTGCCCCACTTGGATTTGCGTCAGGTACCGCCGTAGCAAACGATATCGACCCTAAAGTTGATCCCGACTTGGCGGCTTCCTGTGCCGTCATAAATGGCTGATCAACCGTGTGAGTCGATGCTGTACTCAGCACTGCGGGAAGAACCGGAGCCGATGTCGCCTCAGGCGGTGGATGAAGTAACACCACTCCAGCCAGCTCTAGTTCAGCCGGAGGCTCCTGGGGAGCGGATGTCGCAGAATTAGTGACATCAGACCGCTGCTGATCATCCCGAGCTAGCTCTGTCGTCTGAGATCCGCCCGGCTCCAGCAACTGTCCGTCCAACGTCACACCGAGCAGCAGCACGAAAACCCAGAGCATCTCCCTCCAGGACGAGGTTCCCGTCTGACCACACACACTCCCGGAGAGTTGTACAGACCGTCTGACCACACACGGACAGAGACTGTCCGTCTGATCGTCTGACCGGCACCGACGGGAGCTGTCTTTCTGACCGTCTGACCGCGCACACGGACAGGAGCTACCCGTTTCTTCGTCTGACCGTCTGGATGTCTGACCGTCTATCCTTCTAACCGTCTGACCGGCACACACGGACCTAGGGGAGCTGTCTCTTCTATCTATCTGACTGTCTCACTGACCGTCTGACCGTCTGGCCGGCACACACGGACGGGAGCTGCTCCGACGCTCGACTGAATGGGAGTCAGTCGCGGAGCCGACGGAGATCGACTGCGGCAGCCGGCTCCGACGATCGACGACGGCGGGTAGCTGTCTTACCCAGTTGTAACCCTGTCGTTATGAGCTGCGAATGTTTTAACCCTTTTAGTTAAAGGCTCACGGTTGAAAGGTCGGACATGGAGCCAATAACAAGGACAGATATAGTTCGCCCCTTACTGAAGTCAAAACAAATAAAAACATAATGGCCATATAATTTTTTACATCCATCTTGATACGCGAATCTGTCATTTTTCTGTCCATACGTACTTGCCTACTGTTTTTATAGCGAAGAGGAAATTGGCTTTCCATGTGTCTAAATTCCATGTGTCTAAATTGCTAAGCGCTTATTAGTCTCGCAATATGCTGTCGTGCAATCATAAAAACGAGGTTGTGCTAACAGGTAATTGACAGTTTGTTCGTGTAAGTGTAACCATTTGTTCGTGTAAAACAAGAGACATATTGACCCTTCTATCTGTGACGATGATTACTGCCGTACATGTCTACAATAATCGTAGGCAATTACCAGCTTGGACGCTTTAAAGTTGAAATGTTCGTCTTACCAGATGTTTTGATTCCCAGGGACATAGACGTTTGGAAAGAAAAGAATGGTCTGCATTTGCGCTGAGCTCTATTCTACTCAGTAGTACTGAGACAATACGAATTTAAACAGATCAATGGCCGGGGCGCATTCGGCTTTATCACAGTGTCCGGCTCCTTATTCAGAAACTACCTTCAAAAGGCTAAGAACAAAGCAAGGAATATAGAGAGAAACGAACTAAGTGCAGGCATCAGTCGCAATTTATGCAGCCCGGTTCACGTTTTGTGCAATGTTGGAGGCTGATAAGCTGGTCAGAGAGGGCATAAGTTGCCGGATAGGTTTCCAGATGTTGATGGACAATGGCCTGCTTGCATCTGCCTCTTTCAGTTGTCAGTGAACTTTGGCCTTAAAACAACAAATATAATAGATACGAGCATATAAAGTATGTGAATTTGATATTTATCTGTAGCTTCGGTTCTTGCACTCACAGAATGCTCAACCAATGATGAAGTTCGATGCATCTCAGTCATGCCAGCAGACCGCACTGACCGTTCAAAATACACGTTATGATTATTCGAGCCCCATACATTGATTGACCACTGACCACCAGACACCGCAGTGTCTCAGAGCTGCACAAATGTTGACTTATTCCTCCGTCGATAACAATGTTTGACTACACCGCTGAACGGGTGGCTGTCGACCCAAATGGTCCCCGGGGGTGTCTGAGCGGTAGCCGGGGACGGCAAATGAGCACACAATGCGGGCAGAGTGCCCAATCAACAATCGGCCCGACATTACCACATACTGCGGGCCGAGTGTTCAGCCAACAGCTGGCCAGGTGGACCCTGAAAGGGGAGGATGGGGTGGGACAGAGATGGCGTGATAAAATGGCTCTGTAGCCGTAGCAGAAAAGCGATTTGTGTAAATCTGTTTTTGTAAATGATAATGTTTACGAATGTGGAAGTATGATATTTATAACACTGACTGATATATGCAGCTGCTTTATCAAATTGAATTGGTTAGTACCTATTCCACAGGTCAGTGTTAACTGTTGATATATCTATAGTGAGGCTCTAGCGAGCCGAGGGTATATGCGCGGGCTAACAACCGCCTGTAAAACGTGCCTAGCCTGGATGTTTTACGTAAAACCTAACCTTCGGTGGACGGTGCTGGCTACTTTACCGCTCCTAAATACTACGCAGCAAATGACCTATTCGAAAAGCAGCTCCTAAAAGGGAGTGAAGTGAACGTCATCCAATCACTATAGATAAGTTACGCAGGGATCCAAGCTGGTTACCACAAAATAAGTGTAATCGATTGTAAAACCTCGCAGAACGAACATTACGGTGAAATAGATGGCTAAGACATATAACAGCCGTCGGGCGAATTGTCTTCGGAAAATACATCATTTGCTGCACATTTCGTAAATTGTGTCGACTGAAATGTGCATTATAATCAACCGTTGATCCCAAAATAATTATCTGTCGAATGACATAAGTCAAATCGTTTCTAAAAACCCATGCCCTTATACCTGCTCATTATCCATATTTTGTGATCTAGCTTTCCCTCCTAATTGTTCGATGTGGTTCGATGCATGATAGGTTAGGCAAACTGTTCCTAATGTCTGTTCCATGTCAAGCTTGCGGCCGAAGTGCCCTGCTGAAAGCAATGCGTGATTTCTGTACACACAACTCTTACATTCAAAGGCGCAAATTATTGAACGGAGCAAGGAACGGAGGAGCGAACTGCCGATGGAACTCCGACCGCAAGTTTGATATGGAACAGACTATAGACGGATTACTTTTTATCCCGCCGTGATAGCCTTTCAATGTCTGTATGACAGATGACATGGCCGCAATCGAATACCTAATTGACTCGGAACCATCAAACGACGAGATCATAGCGAGTCCGATGCTCATGAGCCTGAAAAGACACCAGCGACTTGTAACTAGCCTACACATTTGTTACTACCAGTACTAATTTGTTGACCGCTAACAGCTCACAAGTGGCTCAATTTGTTGTTTATTGGTGTACCTCTAACTCTTTTTCAGAAGCAGCACACCACAATGGCAGCCTTTATGACTTTATAGCCAGGCCTGGACCCGTGCTGGTGACAGCTATCATTGAAAGCCACAGTTAGGGCAGGTCGACGTTGTTTTGTGTTAACTGTTACGGTTTTGGTGCTATACGTCCACATTGTTCGCCGTTCTTTGTCGATGCCGCTAACTACGGATCGATGATGTGATGGGCAGTCACTGCTTCGTATGTGGCTCAGAGACGGAATGCCAGCAGTTTAAAGGGACCCTCCCACCTTAACATTAGTTTTGAGTTGAGATAGCCAAGTTTGCGGCCAGGCTCAGAAACCACCATTTATCCTGGCCGCAACCCCCGCAGCTTTATGGTTTCAATAAATTTCTTCCCTTTACTTGCAGGGTGGGACCAGCGTGGTCCCTATCTCTTAACCATTACGGGAATCTGATGACGTCATCAGGCTTTCGAACGTCCGTCATTAAGTTTGACTAAAACGTTTTGTAGCACGCGATGGTATATGCTATTTGCGCGCAACATCTGCCGCAAACGCCGCACTTCTAAAATAAAGTCGCTAGAAACAGCGGAGATCCCAAAAAAGTAAACAAAAGTAAAAGTATAATATCTTGAAAACCGGTGAATATTTTTCGGTGAAATTTGGTAGATATTCGTTTTCGCTCTTTCTGAACCGAGCGACATCACTTTCATGCCAATTCATAAACTTTTTTGAAGGTGGGAGGGTCCCTTTAACCCTATTAGTGGCAGGCTCCTGGCTACCCCTATTAGTGGCAGGGGGGGCTGTTTACGACCCCCCCCCCCCTGATATCTCGAGATCTAACGGGCCGATTTTCAAAATTCAAACGGCATTCGATTTCGCTCAACGTGATCTACATTTCTAAAAAAAAAAAAATAAAAAATGTCAATAGGGGGGGGGAGTAGAGGGGGGTAAAAACGGGCAAATTGCAGATACTTTTTAGACTGTTTATCACGGCCAGGTTTCTGAACCAATCTTAACGCAACTTTTGCTGATCGATAGAGAATGAACCAGGAATTCACATGGATCCTAAAAATATGCATTTTCAAAAATCATAGGCGGATACAGATCATTGAGATTGGGGGTACACAAAAAGTATAGTAAATAAGGTTTTTGTTGGTACTGTTTCAAAAAAGGGTGGTAATGGTCTTGTTATGATACAATTTTCTTATGAGAGAACGACTACAATTGTATTGGTCATGCATAGGCGGTGTCAGGGCACCTATGTTGGGAGGTAAAACATAACCCCCCTTTTTGGACGCCTGGATCCGCCTATTATAGCAAAAACGTGTCAAAACAGGATGCACAATAACTGTATATGTTATCACATGATACCTTTCATTCACTGTTCGTAAAACTGGTGCAGCATCGTGATCTTCGCCCAAATGACTCGCTTCACGAATAGGACCCCCCAATTCCTAGTGCTCTGGAGCCGCCCCTGGTAAAGTTATGAACTTTGAAGTAACTATGAAGAACTATGAAGAAAACTATGAAGTTTTCAGGGAATGTGCCCAATTTAGTTTTAGGAAAAGTCAGAAAATTTCAGCATCGTAGCTTCAGCGGTTTCGGAGATATTCCCGAAAAACCTGAGGGGTGGATGAAAACAACCCCCCTGCCACTAATAGGGTTAAACAACTTTAGCAAATACGAGACGCATTTTTCAATCCTCATTTACATCTTAGAGCCACCGCCTTGGCCATTTGTACGAAAATTACTGCACTGACATCGCGCGTGCTGCATTCGTAGGCACTTTATCGATGAAACGCGACTATTCAGTAAAAACTAAAAAGTCCATCTTGTCTTTGAAGGTTTCAGAGTCGGTTGATTTTTTTTCGGGCCTAGATGATCGCAGATCCGGGAAGAAGAACGAACGTCTCGATATACATCACTTTCTATGACTTTCTTGGGGAAATATTCAAATAGTGTGATCGTTCAGACACCGCGGTCATATTTACAGCCCAGCGGTGCCGATGTTCACAACGCTGCCGCTAGGTGTCACTAGTGGTATGCGCCTGAATGCATACCTACTGTGCCGCACGACTTCCTGCAATAGCGTGCGCGCCGCGCCGCCGAATAAACGGACAGACGGAAAACTGGGTGAATAAACAAACTCTAAGTGGCCAACCCTCAACCATCAGAGCAGGCTTTTTCCGTCCTCTCCCCCACTCCAGTGATTCTGGAGAGCGCGATTTAACGGGGCTCTGTTGTGCGACAGGCTGGACTTTGACGAGTTCGAGACGCGCGGCCCGGAGACGACCGGTGCCGACGCGGGCACGTGCGACAGGTCCTACCTGGACCTGGCCGGATCGGGCTCCGACCTGCAGATCGGCACAGACAAACTCTGCGGCATGCTCAAAGGCCAGCACGGTGAGTCAGTTGGCTATACCAGATGGCGACAGCTTTGTGACCGCGGTAAATACATATGTATTTCAATTGGCACATTTTGTTTGCGATGATTCAAAAGCCGAAGAAGTGTATGAAATAGTATTTGCTTTAGTCCTTTATGACACTGAGAAAATAGCGACCGCCATGGGCGGTAATAAAATCTCAAGATTTCGTTCCCTCACATTTAGACCACCCCGGTGTCTGAAACCCCACGACGTTACCGTTACGGCCCCCTTCCCCGCAGTGTACGTTCACCTGAACCCGATGCGTCGCGGTACGGCGCACCTCTCGATGATGGTGAGGCTGGAGGACCAGACGACAGGGGCCAAGTGGCGGATCCGCGCCACTCAGGTGGACTGCAGCGAACGCAGCGACCTCATAGGTCAGTGTACCGGGACTGGGTGGCACGACTGTGCGCCTGATGCATGTATAAAAGTTGTAGCACGCGAATGACGCGGGAAGCTTTACAGGATAATTTAATCGTGTTTAGGATAAATATTTGCAATAAAGTACGTTTTTATTCCGTAGGAAACGTTTCCATTCCCTACAAGGAAGCATCTGTCTCGCATTGTCCCAGCAAGCTAATAAACTAAATAAATCAAGCGTCATTGATCGAGAAGCAAATGTTTCATCTTAGTTGATCGACGATCTCGTCTTCCACAGCGCCGACAGGCTGCACTCAGTACTACAACGAAACGAAAGGAACGTTCGAGAGCTTCAACTTCGCCGGGAATGCCTACACCCTCAACCAGGACTACAACATCTGCATCGGGTCCGCCTTCGGCACGTGCAAGGTGAGTGATTGTACATTGCAAGGTGATTTCGAGATTCCCAGAATAATCTGTACCTAGTCACATAAAGTCGGTCTATGTTGAGGTAGGTAGGGAAACCATACGCAACCCGCTGAGATATAAAGCATATTGCCTGAGCAACCTCAACTCGATGAGCTAACTGCTAAGCTTGTGGCCTCCAGAGTCTAGAGTGAAGTGAGTCAGTGACCCAACCGTGAGTTGACTGACGTGTTTCTGCTCTCGCCGGCAGACCACCTTCACGTCGTCCAGCTTCCAGCTGGACATGGTGACCGCCTCGGCGACCTCCGGGGTCGGCATGGCCGCCTGCGACGTCCAGACCTCCGGCACCGGCGGACTCCGGTGAGATAAGGGGTGGCTGGGCCCGGGACGGACTCCGGTGGGTCTAATGTGAATCTGAAATCTGAATCTGAGGCTGTCTTGACAGACGTTCTAGGTCTTGGAGTCCGGGCATGTGAAAGATGATACTGAATAAGATCCTTTACATAAGCTGAGCCGACAACTGTACCTAATTACCTGTAGCTGTATAGCCAGGCATGCTCAGACCGTTCTATGAAAGTATCGTCCATGACTAGACAACAGTCTAAGCACTCGATGGTACTACAGATAATATCGCCCTCTAACGGCCCCGTGTCTCGCTCTCTGTCCTTCCCCAGGTCGGACTACCTGTTCATCCCTGGAGGGTCTCAGACGGGCGAGTCGCCCACCAACGAGAAATACTGCGGCTCGCTGCTCCACTACATGACCGGAAAGTCCACGTCAGAACCCGTGGTGAGTGGCACTGGCGTGTGAGGTCCTGTGTATGGAATGTGGGTATAGGCGACAAATCAGCTGTGCTTGGTGTGAACGACGTTACTGGGGAGTGAGAACAAATTCCGAGCGAGGAGAGCATTTTGATTATATCCGATATGTAGGGAGTCGGCCGTTTCGTGAACGACACGGATCTCGGTGGTCGCTGCTACCTCAGCTATGTAGGTGAGCCTTCAGTTCATCACATCAAGCCGCCTGAAGTCCTGGTAGTCAGGAGGCTGAGTGTGAGGACAAACGTGAAAAATATTCACAGGCATCAGTGAACGAGAATCTACGCGGTTATCCCCGAGTACAATGGCACCAATCTTGTCATCGATTTGTGTTTTCAGGTCACCCGTGCTCCCGGTCCTCTGGTGGTCCGGTTCAAGACGGACGAGCACTTTAACGAGCCGCGAGAGCAGGGGTTCCGGATCGACTTTGAACAGTCTACCACCTGCTGAGCCGCGCTCCGCTGCCGCCAGGCGCTGCAGGCGCTGTTACGGTCACTTCGCGACGACATCGGATATTGGCGTCCGGTTTTTAGCCCAGTCTGATCGGCGGATAAGCCGGCTGTACTGCACGAATTGTTACGATTTGATTAGTTGTGAATTGTGATGGTTGTTTTTGTTAATTGTTACCCTAGTAATAAAGATGTGCACGAATATATTGATTAAGCCAACGTGTAGCGCGCCAGTAAATCCGAAACCCACCGGTTCACAGCTATTCGCTTCAACACCGCCCAACGTAATCGATGTAAACATAAATCGGTATAAGCTTCAACACCGTAATTGGTATAGACATCAACGTGCATATATTCAGCAATAATGTTCAAGATGCATAATACGTATATATTCATTACATAACCTATCATGAATATGATTTACAATCGTACACATATGCCTTACATCGCCGATAAAATTACTGGATGACAGCGCGAAAGCATACTGACTGAAAGCTCATCTGGACAAACGGACAAACACAGGGCAGCTGCGTTACCGGAACCAATCGTTTTGCCGTCTGAATATGCGGCTCTGCGGCCAGCTAACGTTCACAGCCATAGCGCCGCTACCGTCAACTGAACCGGGGGGGGGGGGGGGGCGGTAACACCGTCCCAACCGAGCTCAAAGGAGCGACAACTGCACCAGACGAGCCACTAGCATGGACCAGTGAAGGAATCAATCTGTTAAATACGGAGCAAGCGAGTTTCAATATGAAACTATGCCTGCATACACCTTGCCTTTCATATTGCGGTGGCACTATACATTAGTGACAATGCTACCATAACCGGACACCTTGAAGATCATATACGATGGGTATTTAGTGAGTAGCTTATGCGATAGCTGGCTAGCATCACGTCGCTGTACGGCACAAGCACACTTCCGCACTACGACAACTCCTGGATAAACATCACAGTCTCTGGCCTCCCACCCCGTCCCCGGAGAGGTACGAGAGACACCGCCGCTCCCGCCGTTACCGCCTGAGAGCTCCCTACTGGCCCACTGCGCCCCCGGCCCTCACCGCAGCCTCCCTGCCCCACCCGGCGACCACACACCCCACCACCCCCATCACTTCCACACCTTGACCACGCCGTCCCGGGAGGCAGTCACCGCGTACCACTGGGACGCCTTGGCCAGCACAATGTCACTGATGGTGTCCAGGTGTCCCGGCGGCGTGGGCTCGGGACCGCGCGGGCAGTCGTCGCGCGGCCGGCGCACCTTCTGACACACCTCCTGCACCACCTCTATGCCGTCCACCACCTGAGCGCGGTACGTGCCGGCCACCGGCACCGGCTGCTGCGCCGGCCAGGTGACCAGCTGTGAGGCGCGCGGCTCACCGAGCTCCCAGAGCCGCGTGCACTGGTCCGTCCCGCCGGTGAGCAGCGCCGGTCCCAGCGGACACAGGGCGGTCACCGAGTGGTGGTCCCGGAGCGTGGTGCTCAGCGCCGGGTGCTGGCTGGGCCACAGCGTCATCTGAGGGGGGAGCGGGGGAGGAGGGGTCAGACACGGACAACGGGAGGGGACGAAGAAAGATACTTGTTAGAGAAAAGAGAGCGGGGCGATAAATTCGTATAAAAATGCACGATGAAGCTTGTGAGATTTACCGACGACAAATGCTGTAAAATAATTAAACATACGTGTTCTTCGAAAGATCTGTACGAATCACAGGAATGATGATACAACTCGTCATGCACAGTGCACACGCCCTGGCTCTGAGACCCATCCATCAGCCATGACCGTCGGCCGTTCGTTCCCCGTCCCGCCGCTCACCTGCCGCTCGCCGGTCTCGATGTTCCACATGTTGACCTCCGAGTTACCGGAGACGGCGCTGACGAACCAGCTCGGCTGGCTCGGGTGGCCGCAGAGCCGGCGGACGCGCGACCCGGCCGGGTGAGCCAGCGTGGACACGGCCAGCTGGAAGCGCAGGTCCCAGCACACGTGCACGCCGCTGGAGGTGCCCACCACCAGCCAGCAGTGGGCCGGGTCGGCGCAGAGCGCCGTCACCAGGCCGCGGCGCGCCTTGTTGTCGAGCCGCCAGGCGGTGCCGGGCGCGCGCAGGTCCCAGCCCACCAGTTGGCCGAACATGGTGGCGTAGACCAGCACCGACCCGCCGGCAGAGCCGAAGTGGGTGAGCTCGACCACGCTGCCCTCGGCGGCGCTCAGCTGCCGGTAGTGCAGCGGGTGCGAGCGCGGCGTGCTCGTCTCCACGCTGAACGTCCACACGGCGTCCCCGTCGCCGGCGGTGGCCAGCGCCTGCTCGGCCTCGCAGTAGGTGAGCGCCGTCAGCGGACCGCTGCCCGGCCTGCCGTACGTCTGCCGCGAACGGTTGGCGATGTTCTTGCCCTCCATGCGCGCCACGTCCCAGACGCGCACCTGGCCGTCGGCGGCGGCGCTGGCCACCAGCGGCGAGTCGGCCACGGTGGCCAGCCGCACCACGGCGCCCTGGTGCTCGTGCAGGTGCGCCACCAGCTCACCCTTGGGCCGCCACGTGGACGGCGGCGCGCCGGCGCGGCCGCGCGGCTCGCGCCCCAGCCGGACGGCCAGCCGCTCGGCGCGCTGCCGCTCCAGCAGCCGCTGCAGCGCCGCCTGACAGGGCGACTCGAGCGCGCGCAGGCCCGGGTCGCGGCCGGCGGTGACCGCCGGCTCTGCGGGCTCGCCGCGCTCCACGTCTGACTCGACGGGAGGCGGATCCGAGAGGCGCGCAGCCGCCGCCGCCGCCGCCGCCTCGGCGTCCGAGTCTGAGCGCAGGTGGAGCACCCGGCCGCGACAGACGTCCACCGGCACCGAGGACACGCCCGTGTCGCCCACCGGCCGGCGCACCTCGGCCGCCAGCCGCTTGTGCTTGTGCACCTTGGAGAGGTGGCTGGCCAGTATGAGCAGGTGGTCCTCGACGGCAGCCGTCATCCCGTCCGCCACCAGTCGCCGGAACAGGTTACGCGCCGTGGTGCCGGCGCCGCTGTCGGGCAGGTGCAGCTGCCAGGCGGGGTCGGCGGCGCGCCGCAGTCGCTGCCGCTCGGCCAGCGTGGCCAGCAGCAGTTCCAGGTGGGAGGCGCGCGCCAGGTGGTCGTACACGTCTCGCGGCACGGGCGGACCGAGCGCGGCCAGCAGGGCGGCCGGGCTGTCCAGCGCCGCCACCGGGTGTGACAGGAACGGCTCCAGCCGCGGCAGCAGCCGACACTGCACGTCAATCACTCGCAGCTGGCCGGCGCAGGCGCAGATGAACCCGACGGCCGCCTGGCGCGCCCACAGACTCGGGTGGACCACCATGGGCACCACCTCGTCCAGCAGCTCGTACAGCGCCGGCTTGGAGAGCAGGCCCAGCGTGGCCAGGCCGTGCATCGCGTCCACGGCCTTCACGGCCACAAACTCCTCTGTATCGTTCAGCCCCTGCAGCAGCAGCGGGGTGAGCAGCGGCACGCAGTGGCGGCCGATAAACGACACCACGCCCTCCACGGCGTCAAAGAAGGCCGCGCGCAGGCTGCGGTCCACCTTATCGTTTAGGAATGTGATCATGTGCGAGAGCAACAGGTCGTTGGCCTTGTGCCGGCCGAAGAAGGCGCAGAGTCGCGAGAAGCCGCGCACCAGCAGCGTCCTCTTGACGGCGTTGTCTGAGTCTGTGAGCAGCAGCTGCACCTTCTGGTGCACCAAGTCGTGCAGCGTGTTCAGCTCGGCGGCCAGATGGGGCCGGGTGGCGCGCACGTGCGCCGCCTCGAGCAGCCGCAGCGCCGACTCTGCCAGCGGTGCCAGCTGGGCGGCGTAGCAGACGCGCACCGACACGGCCCGGTCCTGCGCCAGCGCCGCCAGGTTCGGCAGCACGTACTCGGGGAATATGTGCACGTCACTCTCCGGGAGAGAAGTGACTAGTGACAGCAGGCCCACAGTGGTCTCCAGAGCGGCGCAGCGCACGCGCGGGTACGCGTCCCGGCTCAGCGCCAGCACGTAAGGCAGCACACGGTCCAGGATGACATCACTAGCTACGTGACCGGCCAGCCGGAGCAGGAGGCGCAGCGCGCGCACCTTGGTAGCCAGCTGGGAGAGCTGGCGGACGCAGGAGGCCGCCACTCCGATCAGCAGTGTGATGTCCTCCTGCAGTGAGACCGGGTTAGCGGCGGCGAGCTGCGACACCAGCCGGTCGGCGTCGGCCGCCAGCCGCTCCATCTTCTCGTCGGCAGAGGTCAGCGCGCCGGCGGCCAGCTCGGCGCAGTAAGGGTGCAGCATGCCGGCGAACGTCGGCGGGAACACGGCCGGTGTGTGCGCGGCCAGCAGCTCGGCGGCGGCCGGACGCGCCGAGGGTTCCCGCTGCACCATGGCCTCGACCATCCGGCGGACGGCGGCGTCCTCGATCCGTGCGGTGACCTCGCGCGGGTCGTACTCGCCGGCCCGGTATAGCAGCAGGTGCGGCAGGTCGAACGGCACACCGCCCTCGGTCCACAGCTCGGCCAGGCAGCAGCCGGCCGCGAACACGTCCATCGGCGGCGTCAGTCGGCCCGGCGTCGGGTCGGCCAGGGGCAGCTGACCGCCGCTGGCGAACCGTTCCGGCGCCACGTAACACAGCCGCCGCCGGGACGTGTCGAAGAAGTAGCCAAAGTCGGCCGGGTTGTCCTCGGGCAGCAGGGCGGGTTTGAAGGAGGCCCAGTCGGCTACCAGCAGCCACAGGTAGGAGGTGACCAGCAGGTTTTCCAGCTTCAGGTCGCCGTGGCAGACGCCGAGCCGGTGGCAGGCGGCCAGCGCCGTCAGAAGCTGGAAGCTCAGCCAGCGCTTCTCGTGCTCCGTCAGGAACGGACGGGTCGACATACGGTCATAGAGGCTGTACCTGCCGAGAGGGAACGGAGAGAGACTTAGTCTGGGGCAGTCAGGGACATACAGGACGGGTCGACATACGGTCATAGAGGCTGTACCTGTGGAGCGGAAACGGAGAGAGACTTAGGACCAGCTGGGGACCGAAATCAGGGGTTCAGCTGATCAGGCAATTAAATCATCATAAAAAAGATGCCTGTTCGCCGCATTCAGAAAACTAGTCCAGATGCAGATTACTGAAGCGTGATTTCCCAAACCCACACTCAACAGAGCTTAGTGTGTAGATCCTGACCTGAATAACGATTACGACATAATTTATGGTCGAATGTTTTAAAATACATTCAACCTACGACATAGCTGAACACGGTCCATGAAACCAATTCCTGTCTCGTTATTCACGGTACCGCTGTTATGATATCAAAACAACTCAGACATCAAACACACCTTCACCTAGCAGGCGGCTGACCATCAATGCCCCGGCCCCTCTCCGCCACCCCACACCCACCTGATGTACTGTCTGACCAGCAGCGCCGAGCGCTCAGTCACGCTGGTGTAGCGGAACGGCAGGCAGTTGGGCACGCCGCGCAGCACGTGCTTCAGCTCGTCCACCTTCTTCTTGTGCTGCTCCAGCGGCAGCGTCGGGTCGTGCAGCACAAACACCTTGACCACCAGCGAGCCCTCGGCCGAGTGGGCGCGAGCCACCTTCATGAAGCGCGTGCTGCCCAGACTGGCAGAGCAGCGCAGGGAGAGCGGTCATGGATGGAGCATTGAAATGGAGTGGTCTGTGGCGGGTTGTCAGGTGGGAATTCGGGACCGTGTAGGAACCGTGCGTGTTTTATCAGCTAATTGGCTTCGCTCACGGACAACATATATTTGTTTTTATACAAATCTTCGGTACTATTCACTGGACATAAGACGATAATAAAGCAGTACTTATGGCGTCACCTAACTATTTCATAAACAGCCTTCAATTCAAAATCGAGTGATCATCACGTCAACCACACAATGGTCACGTCACAACACTCTACAATTTCAGGGTTTTTTTCAGCGAGGGTGACTTCTGCCACTGACCTGGCGCTGAATTCGACGAATGGCATATCGTTCAGATAGTACTCGACGGGGAAGATCTGCGAGGGCGCAATGCCCGCCAGCTGGTTCCCCATGGCGGCCTCAGCACTGTGGCCGGCTCAGAGCCAGGCTAATGCTGCCAGTCCCGGGAGAGAACTAGTGCTCGATCTGGAAGAGAGAGAATATGTCACAGGGTCATTGGAAATTTTCAGGGTAGGTGTAAAATTGAATAACGCGAAAGTATTGAAAGTTTTGTCGCAATCGGCCGCTTTTAACGCGAGTTATTGTCGAAAAACCGAGGGGGTCAGTTCGACCCCCCCCCCCTGATACAGCCGAGGGGTAAAATGAAAAAAAATATTCAGAGAGATAAAGGATGGATGACAGAAGGTTTCCCCATCCCCACTCCCAGTACAGGAGCTTGGCCTGCATCAGCCTGCCACCTTGCTCAGTGCCCTGGACAGAGAACATCTGAAAGAGATCAACATACTGGAGAATCTCTTCAACCACAGGCCAGAATGTTAGGCACCAAGTTACTGAAAAAATTGTCTGTCATCATTTTTTTTTTTCTCAAGGTCCATGATGGGTCATAGTATTACTTATGCACTTGTGAGCATTTCAGTATTTTCAGGTTCTCCAGAGTTCTGATACAGAGTTCCACAAACTGGAAAACAAGCTCAAATGATCAGATCATAGATGGCACATAGGTGTACGTTTTGAGAGAACAATAGCATAAACTCTGCTAAATGGCTAGCTATTTATTTGAGCATGGTGTGTCAAAAGTGGAAATAGCCGCCCGGCTTTAGTTCGCCAGCCTTGTCAATAGATGGCAGTACCACAATTTGGGCAGCGGATCATGCAATTGACGTCAAATTTTCGTTATCTGCTAAGGATTGAATGGCGGATCTTTTCATGCAAGAATCAAGTAAATCGGTCCACAACTTTTCTAGCAACAGAGATATGAAATCAAACACTCTGCCAGAGCGGCGGCGCGGCGGCTGGCGGCAGTCGTTACGCACCGCCTGGGAGACTGGCGGCGCTGAACGGTTCCGAATTGGCACTGCACTAAAACCTGTTAACTGCTTGGAATAGTTATTATAGCAAAATTTTCATTCAAGTGAGGAATAACCAAGGGCACGAAGTATGTATGCTTGTGTGCGTACTATGTAAGCCAAGAAACTGCATTAGGAGATACTCGCTAATATTAGATCCAGCCAAGTCCAAACGCATTCCAAGTGATGTGTTTCTGATCGGTCAACAATATTTATCGTTCGAGGGCGGATACAGTTTTAACAATACAAAAAATATTTTTGCACAGCTCTATTCCTTGCATAATTCTCTTCAACGCCTCATTCCTAGTTAAGCGAATTAGCCCACCCTGGTTGAATAAATAAAGCGATTTCGCCACAAGGTCGGGGAAGACCGACCGAAAACGGCCGCGCTCAACGTTAATTTGGGCATGCAGACCCTTAAAAGCTCGCATTGGGCGGGTAGGGTTTCCCAGGTATTGGCTCCAAAACACCGTATTCGGCTCCCGAATACGTCCAAGTGACCCGCCTCGTTCCTAGTTAAGCTCTAATTAGATCAAGTGACTCATAGGGAGCGAAAAAGCGACAAAAAGCATGAATTTCCCTATCGCGGTGGGCTGCCGGGTTGCCAGACGGCGCACCAGCTATTTCCACTTTTGACACACTATGGAAATATCTGGTAGGGGCCTCACTTTTGAACTATGTAACTACCCATGTCATGTTACAAAGTAAGCAATGAAATAAAGGTGTGAATCTGCAGCCCTGAATGTCACAGCACTGTGGGATGTGCGTCACACAATAACACATTGACTGATCAAGACATAACATAAGCATTACACAAGGAAGGTGAAGGCCTAATTTGGATTGAAATAACAACACTTTGTGACTTCAAAATTCAAATGTCCCCAAAAATGTGCAGCACCATGAAGCTGGAAATCATATGAATGATGTCATTCCGAACTCCGAAGTGTGTAAACAATGGTCAGAGGGCTGTTCACGGGCCCTGTGTGCGGTCGGACCGCACACAGCCTCCAAGCTCCGCCCACTGCGTCCCTACGTCAGCCTTCCGTCACCGCACACAGCGATCGCTGTGGCCGGTCGGGACTGGCCACAGCGGACCGTCCACCGCACGCAGCCGTGACGTCAGAGCCGCCTACCCATCCCCTACCCCCACGCCTGCTGGACGCACCGCACACACCGCACGCAGCAGTGTGCGGTGCCCGTGAACACCCCTCAGGTGTGCCCTAGTTCTAACCTCTTGGCTCTCAGAGACAGCAAATGTTTCATAGATCAACATAGCTAACCATACCATACATTTCTCTTCAGGTCATCAGCATTTTTAATAGCACATGGGTGAAACACAAAACACTGCTTTATCTTATTTAATAGAAAAAGCAACTGCAATGCCTCAAACAAATAACAATGGCCAGGCCAAGGCCTGGGGGCTGGGAATATTGATATCTTCTCACTCAGTACGATCCCAATCCACAGATGAAACCGTACCATGCTATTCCAGTAATACTTATTTTTTCACCTTTATAGTCTGAATCAGATTTATGAAATGCAGCAACGATAACCCGGTTTACATAGCATATTTGACGAGGCTCTAGCTCGTTAATTTGGCGATAATTTCGATGCAGTGTTCTTCAAATATTTAGAGGGGATCATTTTGTAAATTGTTATGCACCATTGGCATCTTTTGCAACATCACGGACGGAGATATAAGCTTGCAACAAACCCTATGTAAACCGGGTTAATTCATCGATATCCTTTGTCGTACAAAATAAATAAAAATAACACCATTTTTTGTCAGATCCAAAAAGTGTAAAAATGCACCAAATCTTGTAAATATTCATCAAATGTGACATCTTAAACCAATATTGGTAAGTTAGCACCAAACCAGGAATTTGTTTTACCAAAATAAGTAAAATTTATCACCAAAATAGGAATTTTCAGGCAACTCGACCATTTTTAGGGAAAACCCTACCAAATATTACCAATATTAATTACCGTCGTTATTGGAAAGACGTGTAATCATTTAATCAATTAGTGCGGCGAAATTACATTTGGTGCATTGTTACGCTTTTTGGTGCAGATATCCACACATAAACGTAAATACCTGGCAACCTTCCAGAATTTAGTAGAAAAGACTAGATTGGTGCAGAAATTCTGGTTTTGGTTCAAATAACCTGTGATTTATTTGGTGCAAGACATACCGATGAGACAGCAATCACAGATTTGGTGTAGAAACCCCGGTTTTGGTCTGCCAAAGTATTAGTCCCCTTGAGTGAGGATGATGATTGAAGAATATTAGAACGTCACCTACCATGCACTAAAATGACGTCACAAAACTTTGAAATTTTATCATAAATGCCGAAAAAAAGTGAAGCAGTCTCGGAATCAAACAGTGTTTGATGAAGCAATTTTACCAATTTTAACGAATTTTAGTAAAATTGTTCCAAGAACATAAAAACGAAATTGATTAACAAACCAAATGCAAACTAGCTCCCTACTCGAAATGTGAAGCTTGTGATGTCATATTTACCTAATGACTTATACAAAAATTGGGCAGTGTATGATGTACATTTCGTTTGGCGCATGAGTGACAATTGAATATTATGGGAAGCAGTGTTAGATCCCCTTTATTATTGTTGTTATAATTGAATATAAATAATTCTGGGTCGGTAAGATATGCTTGCCCAAGCGCTTGCCGGCTAACGCCTGCCTCTGTATTTTATTTTTTGGTTTTCTACTGAGCTAGCGGCATGGCAGTCACTGGACCTGTACAAGCTTACTTTTTGAACTGGAACCAGTTCAAGTCAAAGTTGTCGTCGCAAGCTTTTCACGATATATGATTTAAATCATCAATTTTAGATCCTTTTAGCGTCCTGAGCTGGACATACGCAGCTTCAGAAATGGCATTTCAGCAACTAGCAACTTTACCTGTTCCGCGGTGGTAAAGATTGTCTTACAGCAACTAATCGCCCGTTTCACCTGCAGGTGGAGGTGGTCCGAATACCGGTGCTCGAAGGCTTAGAATGGAGCTGCTCTCCGACTCCAGCGTCACCTCGATGGAGGTAGCAGCCGAGCACACCGGGCCCGTCGACTCGCCCGACGCCGTCGCCATCGAATCCATGGGTACGTCCTAATTGGCCTATCCTCTGCAGCCCCTGCTTACAGCTCCAAACGTGCCGGCTCTCGTTATTCCTAGGAGTCGATGATTTTTATCGCACGTCCGTAACAACAACAATCCCCGCTGCAAGAAGTGTTTTGTCAGGTACCGCATAAGACTCCTATCATTATAGCTCAAAATCCGATCGGTTCTACTCTGAAGTGCATCCACATCCCGGTAAATGTGTGGAGGAATGACCGGTCGCCGTCTCACCAATAACCGCTGCCGTCTCCGGTCCGGCAGGTCGCCTCCTGGGCCAGCGGATCCACGCTGAGGTTCAGGAGTATACAGCCGTGCTCAGCAAACTCGTGCTGGCCATGCAGCGGGCCAGCACTGACGAGGCTTCCGATCCGACCGGGGCCAGGTAAGGCCAAAGGGGTAACGCTGAGGGGGAGAGGGCTGGGGAACCGTACGGACGGTGGGCAGGACTTCAGTATCGCGGAGACCTGATAGGACCAGGCAATGTCTCCGGGTCTGATGTGTCTAGGACATTATCATGGAACAATAACAGAGATTCGCTATGCTAGACAATTAGATTCGCCTAGGATTTCGATGAAATGGGACGAATGCGGACGGCCGGCGCCGTTCAGCCGGCTCAGTTTGGGTAGGTCCCGAGCTGTCCCCTAGGTGCCGCGCTCGGTGGTGGCGAATATTGTAGATGTCGCCACAGGACAGGATATAGTGTAAGCTGCGGGCGGCAACACCATACCGGTAGGGGACAGCAGCCGGTTCGCGTTGGCGCACTAAGGCCCTAGTGCCACTTGATTTCAAGTCTCACTAGGCGATTTCGGTTCGCGCTGAGCCACTAGCCGATTGGTGTAAAATGCCGCTTAGTGTCACTACCTTCAAGTGTCACTTGGCCACCTAGTCTTACTAGCTTCCTAGTGCGCCATCTCGAATCGACCCCTGGTCACCGGCCCGTCATTTCCCCCCCCCCCCCAATTATTAAGTTATATATGACTTGCGCCTTGGTTAAAACGATTGTGGTTTCCAATTTAATCGGAATGTATGAAATGACACGCACACGGCCATACCAGCCCAAAGGGCAGACTTGGACCGTCTAAAATTGCCACCTCTAGGCTTAAATTACCGTTTCCGGTTCGAAGTATCCCGTATCCAAGGTAACAAACTTCATTAGCTACTGGAATCCAGGATGTCTGATTAACCTCACTAGTGGAAGTTTCTCATAAAAAGCTTCGTCAGCCCCTACATCCAATAATACATGGCGTAAAGTGTGTTACTTCTGCATTATGTACATATTACTGAAGCTGTTCTTATACCTCGCCCGGGTAGGTGTTTCTTATAGCCCCACCATCCTATCCCAGCTCCCTATCCCTCCTCCCACCCTGCCACCGCCCACCGGGACAGTCTCCGCGGAACGCCGGCCCATCCACACCGGCCGATATCGACCATCGCCGGCGGCTGCGTGCACGGCCCGTGCACAGCGGGCTGTGTGCACTGTGCACGGTAAAAACTGGCCGCCGGCGCCGGATGCCGGTCGCCGCGCTGCCAGGCTGTTGCACCGCGGCGCCGTCAAGGCCAGCCGGCCACGCACCGCCGCCGGCGGACGCAGAAGGTGCGCCGTTTGCGGTCGCCCCGGGAGGGGTGGGTGCCAGGATGGTGGGGAACGGGTCCTCCCGGGACGTCAGGGACCGGGCTCCTCCCTGGATGGCACGACGTCCTTCTATGAGCGGAGTTCTCCCTGAATGACAAGGCGTCCCTTCTCTCTGTCGCTGGGTCCTCCCTGGACGGCAGGGCGTCCCTTCTGGCGATGCCTCGGTCCGATCTGTTCCTCTCCTTTCTGACGGCTCCGCCGGGCACAGGTACCGCCTGGATGTCGTCCTGTTTGTTTAACATCAGTCCCGGTAATGTCTCCGGACCGGGCTCCGTCCCGGTGCCAACACTGCGGTCGACAGCCGGCGCCAGGCCCGGTTAGCTGCTGAATTAACCGTGACTGAGACAGCACGCGGGTGTCCAGGCTCCGCGGCGAGTCGCCAGGCTAACAGTGGTGTCAATGATACTAGCTTCTTATGACATCAACAATATAGACCTCTGTATACGGCTGTATAGCATCGATAGACCTCGGTATGCAGAGGTCTATCTATGCAGCAACTGATGACTAATATGCCTCTGACCGCTGACTTCTGGCCTTCTGATGACCGTTGACCTTTGACTAACTACTGACCCACTGGTGACCATTGACCTCTAGTTACTGACCCTCGGATGACCTCTTATCCCTTCTTACTGACCCTCTGCTGACCACTGACCTCCCAGCCAGCCAAACAGCTTCCCACCGACATCCGGGTCGTCCTGGGCCGCTGGCCGTCCCATCCGCCCTGGGACGCTCCTTACAACCCACCGCCCTGAACCCGCGGCCAGCGACTCCCAGCGACATCGGCCAGCGGCGCCGGGGTTGCGCAAGAAGTCGCTGACTTGCAGGGAGCGTCTAGCGGGTCGCTGCGGAGGCGGAGGCGGTACTGTGGCGGCCACTGGCCCGTGAACGGACAGGATGGGGGCGGGAGATTGGAGGGGAGGGGAGAGGACAGGTGGGAGATGGGACTGTGGTCGGCGGAGGACAGGGCAGAGACAGACTGTGGAGGAGTGGAGGCCGGCAGGTGAAGCGATGTCTTAATTTCATGTGATCTTAATTATGTAACATTGTGGGCTAAGGGCTGTAATTTGAGGAAAAGAGTGTCCAATTGCAAAATATTGGACACAATCGAAGTAGTGTAGTAACTATTTCGGTAGATAGCGCTCGGTAGACTGCCTCTGCAATGGTTCTTTTACCAAACCTCTGCTCTATTCTTCTGAACTGCACTGTTCGTGTCCAGCAGAGTCGGTGCCTCTTGACGCTCTCCTCAGCCCAATATAGGCCGTCGTTTCAGTAATCGGCGCCGACAACTGCTTGTTTTGCACGTCGGGCCGCTCCGGCCGTCTGACTGCTCTGCTTAACTGACTCATGTTGTGAGAGGCCGGAGACGCCTGATCCAGTCAACCGACTGACCCGAGGCGGGGTGTTCACCACTCTGGTAAAACTGTGCCTTGGCAATCAGGGGCGGACATATCTAAGTGTGGACGCAGGAGCAACAAATACGGGAATGAAAGTCAAAGCTAGACAATCACTGACCGACAGACAGACGCATAAGCAGACGGCAATGCGACAGGTCGCAAAGAATTGAGTGAATTACGCAGCAGAATATACGGGTTTTGAGGTGACCAATCCTGCAAATCGCTACGGAATGCAAAGCATGCATATTGCATAGCCGCACTAACGAATTCGGCTCAGATCGGTGAAAATATGCTGATATTGTCAAATTTCAACGCTTAGTGAGTTGTGCTAACAATAGGATATAGGGAAGCGCTATACATTCTAATGTATCGCTGAAGCATGGCATTCTTTGTACCTAACCGAAAATGGGAACATTATTCCGTCGAGCTTTGCATCGTTCGTCCTCTAGGACATATTTTACCGTTTTCCGTGAATAGTGGATAGGAGACGTGGAATATGTTACAGTTCATGTTTATTATAGGCATGTAAATGGGCAGTGGTGGGATGAATGTTTTTGGAATCTCGTAGACAGTGGACATTGGCGATTGTGAAGGCAATGAAAGAAGTAAACGCCCTTCCTAACTCTGATTTGAAATAGAAATCGAAGGATTCGCTACCAATCGAGAGCAATTTTTTAAACGTCTCCTGAGAAGAGTTGAGCAGATCGTGCCTGGTTGTTGTTTTGGTTTCCACTTTCCATCATATCACTTTGCACCCTCAGTCAACATGAATTTAGTTGCGTATAATAGCCATCATTGAATGTCTGCTAGAGCTATACCTTAGTGTGCGATCCTACCCAACTTATTCGGGGTAGGTAACCCTCCCTCCGCTCGTGTGCCGTTCACGGGCCTTTACCCAGGTCCCGCCCGGTCAGCCGGCTCTCCTCTGCAATGTCAGAGAGGTCGGCAGGGAGTGCCGGCTGCACAGTGCACGGGATGGGCGCGGCGACCGGTCCGTGGCAGCGCGGCAGACCGCGGACCGGCCGGCCGCCCGCCGTGCCCAGGGGCGGCCATGACGTCAGCGCGGCGAGTTGGGCAATCGCGGGGTGTCTGAACTGGCGGCCCGCCCCTCCGGCAGCCAGCACGTCACGGCCGCGGCGCCGCCTGCGCTGCACGAGCGATGCTGCGCCGCCAAACTGCTGCGGATGCACGCGCTGACGGCCGCCATCGGACGGGCGCTGGACGGGGCCGGCGCCGACCAGTGAGCGGCCGCCACGTCACGGGCCCACCGGCGCCCGGTGCCGGTGCCATCAGCGGGGCAGGTCAGCGCCGGGCGGACGGTGCTGCCGACTGGCGGTCGATTGGCGAACTACCGCGGCAAGATTGCAACCGATAGGACTGCGGACGGTGTCCGAACCGGCTCGGTAGGTAGGTATGGCGTCCTGCTGCCAGCTCCACAGCTGCTGAATAATGAATATCGACCGCTCACAGGGTGATGGGGGGGCTGGAAGGATGTTCACCGGTAATGGTGCTGGTTGAGGATCCTTACTTAAGTCCTTGTTCAAACGAGTGTTCGTATTTGTTCGTTGTCTGTTACATGTTCCAATCACCGATGCTGGGTAGACTTGTGTCTGACACTGGGACTAGACGGTCAAGGAAATATGTAATGCGCACCTCAACCTGGATTAAAATGTTGTCGACTGTAGGACTCGTTCGAAGGCACCAGAAAGGTATAATGATTTATGGATGCCTATCAATTAGCAGATAGTTACACTCACCGTGTAATCCAGATTCAGATATTGATTTCAGATTCAAAAGATGCCAACGCTGCACGCTGTACCTGGTGCGGCGAGCTAATCTCAGTTTTAATTGCTGTTCCTTTCACAGAATCCCGATACCGTGCTGGTTCGCTGTAAATACCTACCCGCCATCTCATTTGTGAGTGCTTCTTCGTACCGTTGTTCTCAGTTCGCATATTCAGCTACACTCGCTCCCACTGAGTCGTTTATCTGAACGCCAGCATCTCCCAGTGTTGCGGCGGTCAGCGATTGCGCGAGCAGCGTCCGCGCGGCGCGGTGACCGTTTTTGCGCCACTCATCCGTCCCACAACATTGTCGCGCTGGCCCTCTTCGATAACCGGCGGCGGCCACTGTTTTGCGGCCGCCGCAAGAAGTCTCCGGGTGTTGACGCGCTCATGAGCCTGTGAACTGAGGACTCTGGCCACTATCTGACCCGGTTACACTTGTTTGTCGTGTTGACACTCTGTTTTCGCTGAGGTGCGAACAAGGGTAACGCTGGCTTTGTGTGATGTTTTGTGTGTTGTAGTTCAGTGTGAACTATGTGGCTATCTCGTCAAACTGACCATTGATTAGGCACTTGTGTTGTAGATAGTGTGAATGAAATTGATCTGTATTGGCTTACTTGCTGCTCTGCTGTAGGTATAGTATATAATTGTGTGGTCTAGATCCGCCTGAACTAGGAGTTCATGGAGGGCACGAACACAAGACAAAAGAAGCGAAGCGACCTTATGTGCATTGTGCGTTGTTGGTTTTGTGCTTTGTGATAACTTGTTTGTTTCTTTCCATCTTTGTGTCACTGGAATCACAATCAGTTTATGTTTGTTTGACTTTGTTATCGACTGTGATCTTGGTATGTTTAAAATAAATAGCCTAACTGCCAGTATAACATTTTTATGGACAATGAACGAAGGAGCGGCTAGCTCGCTTTTTTTTCTCTATAGAGTCATCTTTTTTCGCTTCTGTTCTCCCGGGATGTAGGAGCTAGCCCGCAAGTGGAAAGTGAGACCCCATCTGACTTTTACACCATGCAGATAACCTTGTCCCTTTCAACCGGTAGGTGGTCTGTACGGTTTCAAACATCCACCTGATAGCGATTGTTAGTTGTTACGCTCGATGGACAAACTGAAACAATGTAGGCGAGGCAATGACGTTTCCATTTTTCAGCCCAGTTGAGTTAAAAGTGCTGGAAATTTCTCTCCATTTGCCCCTTGGATGCATTGTCCCGAACAATCATCCAAATGACCCGAATAGCATGAGGAAACATTGAGTCACGAGCTTACACTCACGAGTCACGACCAACTTCATTCTTGTGATTGTTGTTATCCATGTAAGGTAGGTATGATGACGAGCTCACTGTTTTATCTCTATCCCATTGCAACACCACAAAATACTGCAGCAAAGGAAGCCCCTTCGATGAAAACTCTCTAACAATAAGTATATGTTTTGCTAGCCCGCTGGCCGCTGCTCCTTGTTCTACCATTTTATCAGCTGTGCACGCCGTCAGTCGGGTGGGGGCGCCTTGGGGCGGCCGGTCGGATCACCTGCCGCCTTACCCAGTTTTCCTTCCGGCGGATATAGGGTGTGCACTGCAGTTGCAGTGCTGCTTCCTGCTGACAAACAGTCTCCCTCACTTCCGCCCCCCCCCCCCCCGCTCCCCTGCGGTTCCTCATAAACACGTCCGCATGGTGCGCCAGAAACAGTGCGCGTGCATTCGTTGCAGAATGATTAGACGCATCCTTGACAACAGATAAAATAGACGCTATCCTAGAAACCAGCCATTGATGAAATGTCAAGATTGTTTTAGCATTGGAGCGAAGGCGGATGGATGCTGACCACTTCATCGCTTTTTCTATGCTTGCTGTGCAATGTTGCTATAGCAATTGCAGATCCTTTGTTGCGCTCCTCATCCTGGCGTGGTCTGTGCTGTGGGGTCGCGTGCTTCCTGGAGCGCCAGCAATCGACCATAATTCGGAGCTCAAAAGGTTTTCTGTTTACGGACCTCCGTCCCAATTATTTAGTGCAACTGACTTGCTGGTGCTTTGTTCCTGGCTGGGAAACGAGGCCACCTCCACTAATCCCCCCTGTGTCCGGCTCTGGGGGGGAGGGGGGCTGACCAGCGCATCGCTGGCCGCACCGGGCCCAGTAAAAACACTCTGGCTTTGTCCGTCCAACATGACACTGCAGCCGGCGGCCGGCGGAGCGAGGGCGATCAATGGCGACCCCATTGGCGGCGGCTCGGCTCCTCTGCCGTCCTCGCGGCGGCTCAGAGCGAGCTCAGGGGCCGCCACTGTGGGCGTGACGTGTGTTGCAGAGCAGCCGGGGAGCGATGGGGAACTCCTGTCGAAAGGTGGGCGGGGATTCGCCAGAAATAGCCCGATACAGTGTAATGAATGCCATCAGCGCGCTGCTGTGGTTTGCACCTTTGATTTGTGAGTCCTGAACAATGAACATGAGCGCAAGTCACGACTAATATTGACAACGATGGTCTTAGGATGCCGTTGTAGGTATACCTAATTTGCTTACATTTGATTATGATTGCGCCTCTAATTGATATTGATAGCTGCATTCCTATTAACTAAAAATCACGCAATATTTTAAAATTCATGGCTAAGAATCACACCTTTGCCAATTGCCTAGGTAGACATTGTTGAGTTTCATGTTCAATCTCTGACTCTCATAATAATGCACCGGAGAGCGGGGAGGTGGTCGTCCCTGACGCCACCCGCGCCGCCACTGCGCCATGACCGCCGCCGCTGCCGCCGCCGACGGTCGGTGCCGCCACGCCGAGCTGTTTTTGGGGAGCCGGCCCCGCTCGATACGGCTCAGAGCGCTGCAATGGGGCGGCCCCTGGCGCGCGCTGCTGGCAGCGGGATGGTGCTGCGGGCCAGCGGCAGGGGCACATACCCGCCCCCGGCTCCTGAGGTACGGGGACGGCGTCGATCATGGCTCGTCCATGTGATTCTTCGTTCGCGGCACTATGGTCTCTCAGTCCGCACTTCGACAACCCCCCTTCTCGGTCAGTTCAAAATTCCGCCCTTTCGTCCCGCATTATTCAAAATTCCTTCCGCCCCATCGTCCCGCATTATCTTCAACCCTCCATCCCATCATTGATGTTGTCCCACCATTCCTCCATATGCTTTTCCGTCAGCCCTCTGTACCAGCGTCCTCCGTCCCGTTCAGCCTTCGTCCCACCGTCCCACCGTCCCATCATCCCTCCCTTCCCTCTGTCCTCAACTCGGCCGCTGCCTCCCCGGCTGCCGTCGCTGGCGCCGCCGCTGCCGGTGCCCCGTATCAGGGGCGTTTTTGTTGCTCTCGGATGGCATGGCTCGGCCCATGACGACACCCAGTGCCCCCCCCCTGCCCCCTCCCCTGTCCGAGTGACCCAGATCCCCGGCGGCAAGAAGAGCGCGCAATACACGAGCTCAGGCGGCCACAAAAACGGCCGAGTTTTTGCTGTGGGGCGCGGTAACAGGCGGAATGGCAGGACCGATAGTGGGGTGGTGGTGCCTCCCAGAGCCCCACTACCCGGCAAATCTGCCCTTCACTGCCGACTGAATTCGCCGGCACTGCCGCTTAAAGGTAGTGTGCCACCTTCCAATGATTTCCCATTTTATTTTTCCTAGGATAAGAAGCTTCTGTTTTTACCTAATATCGCAAAAAAAATCAAAAGTGGGCCTGGAATAGTGCCTTTTTCGCCTAAAAGTTTATCGGTTTTTCGATATGTATAACCATGGGCGTAGGAACGGCTGGAACATTGTGGGTGCATGGGTGCAGAAATCCAGCCATGGCCGGTGAAGCGGGGGGGGGGGGGGGGCGACACCCGAGCGAAGGCTCGTTACGAGCTTTGAGGGTGTACCATGTCGAAAAGGTACCAACCGATAAGTGCATTTGGAAGCATTGACCCTCGCATGTGTAGGGGGGTCGGATGAACCCCCCCCCCCCATGGTTGTTCGCAAATAACTCGCGCAAAAAGCGGCCGATCGCGACGAAACTTTTAGTACCCTCGAGTTGATCAGTTTTACACCTACTCTAAAAATTTCATGACCCTGACCCAAAAGACCTTTGACCTGTGACCTGATTCTCGAGACCATGTTCGGCCGGAATCGCGATTTGGCGTATGTCGGCTCACATTATCCGCGCGTTTCCAGTCTTTTTGTGATTGTAGACGTCCAAACATGTGAAATGATGTTCTTCCCATGCATCACGGTGGGTGTGAAGATAACCTGAAGGTCAGGTCAGGTCACTGACCTTTGATGACCTCGGTTCACTTTTTCGAGTTTTACATGTTTCTAGGGTAGTTTATAGGGCTGATTTCGAATTTACCATCCATTTGAACGTTTACGAAGTAGTTTTAGTGCTTTCGTGACATGCTACGACGCCGTCAGTGGTAGTTGAACCTACTATGGATAGCCGGTAGGACGCCTAATGGTTGACCTGACCTGACCTGACCCGATCTGGCCTAAATGCATGAAGAAATCATCTGTGATCAAAACTAACATCAGATATTTGTGATCAGCACCCCGAAAAACCCGATAACAGCTTCACTTTACGCAGTTCTAGCAGGTCCCGATTTTCCCGACTTTTGGAATATTGACCTGACCTGGAAGGTCAACCAATGAAGTAGGACCTTAAACTTGGGTATCATCGGCTTCCTCTCGTCACGGGCAACACCCTCGTTTTTTTTTTCGCGAAGCTCTAGCTCGATCAGGGGCCGAACGGCAGGGGGTCCGACCGACCCCCTCACCCTCTCCCTACACAATAGAAGCTGGAAAACGCTGCACACATTCGAGGGCTAATATTGTCAATATTGACTACCGCAAAAAGTAAAAGCGGCCAACTTAGCCATTTTCGAAGATATCGGGCTAAAATTTTTGACAGTGGGTCATCGGTTCGGTATGTGTTCAATCACATGCTCCATTTCCCTTTTTCAGCACAAATGTAAGTTTTGAAGACCATCACTGATCACAGTAGCAAATGCTTCGAAAGATGGATAGTAGGCAACATATCCTGAATTTGCCGTGCTGCATGGGAAGTAGGGGAGATCCGTGTAAGACGCCCAGGGTCGGTAAGAGGCCCCATCGCTTTTTTTACCAAACCAATAATGTTATTTATTTTTTAATGTTCTTGTAAAGCAGAAGCCCTCTTGAAACAACAACTCACGAAACCTGAGGTATCAGGTGCGTCGCAGCGACTTTTGGTAAGCCTGTTTCTGTTTTTGCCCCTTTACTTGCTAGATATATGCATCTTTATCACCCTTATATATCTGAAAAAACAATGACTATCAAATGCAATCTTATCTCATCGAAATTGTCACATGTTAGCTTCAGAATAGACCATGTTCTGGTGCGCTGCAAATGTCTCATAAACCATAAATATTGTGACGTTAAAACACTGCATTTTTTTAAGAGGCCCTCCCTTCGAGGATTATAAAACGCCCCCCCCCCCCCCGATAAAAAACGCCCCCGATGCTAAAACGCCTGCACCTGCGGCAGGCGTGGCATTCTTTTTTCAAGGAGTGTGTTTTTGTTTCTTTTTTCTGTTTCTTTTTCTAGAGGTAATAGGTACCTACAATTTTCGTTGGTCATCAGCGTTTGGTTGTGCTAGTTTTCGCATTGTTCGAGCACTTTGGAAGTGTTATTGGTTTCGATAACACCGTATTTGCTTAGCTTTTCGAAATAAAAGGCCTTGCAGCTGTGTTCGCAAAACGTCTTTTACAAGTCGACTTGCCTTGTTAAACGCCCGAGGGGGGGGGCGTCTTACCATACCCATAGTGTAAGAGGCCCTTTTGCAACTTTTTCCAAAATGTTAAAGTTTACGGTTTGTGTACCCCCTAGATTCATTTTGAATGCAAATATGTATGGGAAAATGATGCATGCTCACAGCGCA